CCAGTGAGGAACTGGCGGAGAGTTTTAAGGACGAGCCGGCGGTGCTGATAGCGGAGATCGATGCGACGATGAACGAAGTGGAGGGCATGGAGATCCACGGGTTCCCTACGATTTACTTCTATCCTGCTGGGAAGGACAGAAAGGAGGGTATTTTGTATGAGGGAAAACGGACTTTGGAGGCGATGCACGAATTTGTGGAGAAGCATGCTGTGATCGAAGACAAGGAAGAGGACGATGATGATGACGACGACGATGATCATGATCATGAGCATAATAATAATAATAATAATAATAAGGGAAGGGAAACAAAGAAGGAGGAAGAGGAGGAGTTGTAAATGTCGGGTGTTTGTTCATAAACAATGGCCGTTAAAGATTTCTCTAGTTCAGTTTTGCAGGAGATTCGGAAGGGTACCGATGTGTATATGGAATTCGAATATAGAATTCGTGGAGTACAAGGATGTGTTACTACGGGATGTCGAGGAGATTCTCGACTCCACAATAATTGTTCCTCACGAATTAAAGCAAGATATAATAAAAATGATCGAATACAACTGTGTTGGAGGAAAAATGATACGAGGTCTCTTTGCTGTATATTCAGCATATGCAATGTGCAATGAATGGAATGAAGAAATGAAGAAACGGTAGGATTCAGAGTGGCAACATCATATCAGAGCTTTTGTTGCCGGATGGGGTGCCGAGATGCTTCAGGGTGCATTTTTGATTGCGGATGACATTATGGACGAGGCAGAAATGCGTAGAGGAAAGCCCGCCTGGTATCGCATCGATAGAGTTGAATAAGTGATGGATCTCTCAATTCTAGATCGGAATGATGAGTGTCAACGATACGTTTATTCTCCAGAGCTTGATATACAAGCTCTTGGAGCGTGTGATATCTTCGGTATCTCTTTTCTATTCAGTGCAGAAAGTTTTTGAAGATATCAAGTTCGTTACGGAATTGGGTCAGATGCTTGATCTCAACACCATCAATCACAAGACGCACTCTATTAACTATCAGTTCGTTTTTCTCTTCATCTATTATCTGCCTAGATACTTTACAAAGGATTATTATGAACAGATCATCACGAACAAGACTGCCTATTACACGATTTTCCTTCCTGTCTATTTGGGCCTCGTTCTTACAGAATCGCCGAAAGAAACCATGCATTCGCCTCAACTCCGCGAGCTCTGCATTCTCCTCGGACGTTACTTCCAGATCCGTGACGATTTTCTGGACGCCTTCGCAGATCCATCGGTTTTAGGAAAGGAAGGAACGGATATCCAGGAAGGCAAATGCTCCTGGGTGATTCTGACTGTTTTCTCGCTTTGCTCAGAGGAAGATAGGGAGGCTTTGAAGGAATTGTATGGAAAGAGCGATCCTCGACCAGTGAAAGCGATCTATGCGAAGTATGATGTGGAGAGCGAGTTTCGAAGATTTGAAGATGAGGCTTTGAGGAAGACGAGGGAAATTCTTGCGTCTGCTTCGTTTCCGGATGCTCGATTGAAACCATTCTTTGATGCTCTAATCGAAAAACTGTTTGGGATGAAGGCGAAAAGTTAACGGAATGCGGATGAAATTGTTTGTTCGAAATAGTGAGAGGCAGTGAATGCATATTGGCTTCTTCATAGAATTACTTTTCAATGGATGACTGTATGATATGTTAAAGTTGAGAAGTGGAAATGTGTCTTATTCACTAGGTATTGTGGGGGAAAAGTATGCTGCCCGTATATTATTCATCGAACGGATCATTTTCATTCTTCATTCTTTATCATTCTTGCTCTTAATCTTAATTCAATTTGTTTTCATTTAACAACTCTTCACTGAAATGATTATTCATGATAATAATTTATCATTTAATATTGTATATTACCTGATACAAGTCAAAACGATATCACAAAAAATCGATAAATCGAACAATGATTTTATGAATAATCTCCTATTGAATCGATTCGAATTATTTATTAATGTTCATTCTTGATTAATGTTTTGATTCATAACGTATATCTAATGATGGAATAATCAATATCAATTATTCTATCACTTGTTTTTATATTTATAGTAAAATATAATCTATATGATAACATAGAATATTCTGTTTTGATTGATTCTCAATATTGCCTAATGAAAATGAACTCCAACTCCAATCAAACCATTGTCTTCGATACTTATTACTATCACAATTTCGAATCATTTCATATCGAGAGACATAATAAAGTATATAAAGCAATATGAACTATAATTTATCTTAGATACAAATCACAGAAGTGACTCAACCTACTCTTGGCATTCATAGAGCTACAACGATTATATTCACACATCAATATCTATTTTAGTATTCCCAAAATATCATGAGAATACAAACTATAAACGAAACAATGATTTGATATTAGTCATCGATTAATACATTTCAATATCCATTTTTTATTTTTGTACATTTCGCAATATTTCAACTCTTTGAAAATGAGAGATAATCAGAGAGTTGACTTCAAAGTTGAGTTTCTGATAGTATGATGGTTCAATTACTATGTTACATTTCATATAGATTTCATATAGAATCAGAAAATCAGAAAAAGCATGTTTACCGATTCTTTATTTCTAATTTGTGTTTTTACTCAAGAATGTTTTATGAGTATTATTTCCATATATGATAATTGATATATGATTCTTGTTGTTATTCCTGATTTTCAAATCCAATCATCAAAATATGCCGAATAATTGCAATTAAATGAAAAGAACCTATTTTTAAATTGTATTGGATTCGTTTCATTAAAGACATTATATTTATACAATAATGAGCGTTCATAATACATCTCAATCTGCTCCAATTATTGTTGTGGAAGTCGATCCTATTTTACTGACTAGTGCAGGTGTAGAAAGTAATAATGAAGATTTAAGCATATGGAATAATTGCATTTGTAGTGAATTTCCAATTGTGAATAAAACCATAATTAAAAAGCAAGCTTTGTGTGAAATTGGTTCTCCTCACGTTGGATACACTTTGAAAGCGTCTGTAAAAGATGGGCTTCTTAATGGGAAGGCAACCATTGAAGATCCAAATGGAACTCTAGTAGCACGCTTGAATTATGAAAAAGGAATGGAAAATGGTAAATGTACATTATACTACAAATCAGGGAAAGTATATTTTCAAGGATATTTGCAAAATGGATATCGTAGTGGAATTGGTAAAGAATTTAGTGAAAAGGGTGAAGTAAATTACTATGGATTTTACAAGAATGGTTGTCGTGATTATCATACAGTGAGAAGAAGTGATCGTTCTGAATACTGGAACGAATTCGATAATTTTGGACAATTAGTTTCAGTTTGTATAAAAGATAATTTAGGGAGAAACAATGGAGTGTGCTATTTTTATTGGAATGGTAATATAAGTTATATTAGTAGATGGTGTAATGGTGAAGAGAAGGAAATATTACACAAATTTGAAGGAGATATAATGACATCATACGAAAAGGGTCAAGTTGTTTATGAAGGAAAGTATTTCCAAAGATCTGATTTTGAATTTTGTCCACATATCCCAGTAGAAGCTGTTCAATATGATATAGAGTCTAATACAGAAAGAGAAGAAAAACGAAAGGAACAAAAGAAGAATGTGAAGAAAAAACAAAAAGTACAAAAGCCGGCATATATCCAAGAGGAAGAAGAACGCTGCATTAAGGATTGGAAGATTTCCGAATACTCTTGTATTGTTATATTGTTGATATTCTTTTGTATTTTAATTGGGGTTACTCACGATTTATGGGAATCATTGATGGTTTGTATATTTTTGCTTATCATATTTAATGTTTTTGCCTTTATATTGTTTTTGTTTCTCGAATGCACCCTATACTGTACATATCAGATATAATGCAATTCCTCATGATTATTTTGGGAAGTAAAAATAAAGAAATAATGTAATAAAACTCTCTGAATACTTTTTCTTTGTTTGTTTGAAATCCTTGGTTTATTTGGTTAGGATAGTTCTCCGAACATTTCAAGGGAGTAATCAACGAAAGATATTATTGCAATGCATTGTGGTCTGAAATTGAATCAACATGATATATGCAATAATCCCTTCTGTTAACATGAAGATTTTTGTCATTTCAAGGTCAGAATGTCAATAGATGGAATCATCATGAGTTTCTATGTTGTCAGCCATCAAACACAATAACTATTTTGTTGAATCGATTGGTGTCATTATCTTAAGACTCGATTGATGAAAGACTGCCAAATAATAGTGTTACATGTAGGGTTCTGTTTATGATAATTAACAATGTTTTCTCCGTTTTGTTTGACTGGTATATAAGTTGCTATATTGCAATACTATTATGAAATCAAAATGTTGTTATATTCAGTTTTACTCACAGATAGCTCATATCAATGAAATAGATAGATCTCAGTATTTACTCAACGGATACACCACGCTTGGTCAACCTTAGAATATGGTCAAGAATGGAATGTAGAACACTGTTCAGCGATACCAGGGAGAGCATAGGAACGAGTTTCTATTACGATCTCCATCTGGAGATGTATATCTATATGAGAATAATGTGCTGAAACAGCATTGGCTGGAAAAAGCAAAAGGAGTAAAATCAGATGAGTTTGTGGCCTACCAGAATGGCAGAGTTCGTTTCCGCCAACGATTCCAAGATATTGTGGATCATAAGAATAACAACCGCATTGTATACCACAGGAAAGGACTTCGAATGGAAATCTGGTCAGCCAAAACAGGGCACTTAATATATCACGGAGAATACAATGAAAAATGTCAAAAAGAAGGTTGGGGTATAGAATATGATGAAGAGAATGGCAATATGGTTATCGAAGGCATTTGGAGCAATGGAACATTAGTAGAAGTGATTCGATGTTTTAATGGAGATACAATGACTGAATTCAAAAGAAATGGAAAAGAGAGTTTGGATCCAACAAGACGTATACCTATTTATATGGGTGGATTTTACTATGATGAAGACAGTGAAGCATTTATTCGTGAAGGAAAAGGTTGCTTGATTGATGCAGAAAGCGGAGTTGCTTACAGAGAATGTGAATGGAAGGACGGAAAAGAAATGAATGGATTAAATATGTATGACGGATGGTTTAATCAACAATCGAAGTATTTATTTTTGACAGCAATGATTCCAAATGAAGTATATACTGAGTATCTTAATTCAACTATTAACTACACATCGGAAATGAACAATTTGAGTTTGCAAGTGACAAATTTGACCATTTCATCGTATTGTTGTAATGATGTCATTTCTTTAAATTTAAATCGGTATAGGTGGCTACGATCTATAGAGATAGGAAGTAATTGCTTTGATTCATTAGAAACATTTCGGATTGATGGTCTCAATCGATTACGAAGGCTAACAATAGACAGAAACTCGTTCACTGAGCAGAATGAGTCTAGATGGGACATTAGAGGAGCCAACAATAAATCGAAATCATTCCACATATTGAATTGCGAATTATTAGAATCCATTCAGATTGGTCGATATAGTTTCAGTGATTTTGCTGGAAACTTCGAATTGAAAAATCTACCTCAGCTACAATCCATTCAAATTGGTGACATTGGGAATTACTCTCGCAATTTTTATTACTGCTCATTTGTAATTGGAGGTAATAACGCGATTTTGAGTTTGTAATGATTAGATCTTCCTAGACTACAATCCATTACATTGGGATATCACGCCTTTTTATAATCTGAGACAACACGAATTGAAAGTATTGATTGACTTTGAGTGCAATGATTGGTCTAGATCTTCCATCATTACAATCCATTCAACTCGGTCAATATGCACTTAGTGGAACTGATGAATATTCCTCTTCATTGGTAATGCGTAGTAGGAATGAATCCGCATGAAGTAATCGAATGTAGATCTTCCCAATCTAATTACCATCCATTCCAGTTCGATGGGAGGTAGTTTCCTAAATCCTCGTTCAGTAAGATTAGAAAGTATAAGAATGGCTGGTATTTGAATGTATATAGATATTCCAAATTTGCAAAATGTGAGGTTACCAAATTCATTTCTGTATGTTAACAATAAATCAATTTCAAGTTATGCTTGATTGACCTCATTTGATACTCAGATGTACATTGGAGGCTGGCTAATCGTGTCGAGATAAGGAAATACTTGAACAGAATCGATTGCTATTGATCTACTTTGTATTCATTCACAAGATATTGTTCAAACCTAAAGAAATTGTGAATTCTATGTTTGACTAATCGAGTCATGAGTTTGTCAACCCGAGCACTATTATTTTTTTATATGTTTGATTCAATAGACTACTATATTCCAAATGAACTACTGGTTTGAAGAATAAGATTATCCTATATTCGATAACACCATATTGTTCATCCAGATAACCGTCAATCAAACAAACAACCCAAACAACAAGCCATCCGCATTACAACCGAAGTCCGAGCTGCTCCCGCGCGGTCTTCTCCAAACTCTCTCTGTGCTTGGGATGCGCAATATCGATCAGCGCTCTCGCTCTCTCTCTGAGCGACTTTCCGTACAAGTCCGCAATTCCGTACTCCGTGACCACAAACCGCACATGCGCTCGCGTTGTGACCACACCGGCTCCCTGCTTCAAGAAGCCCACGATCTTGCTCTCTCCCTTCTTCGTCGTTGACGGCATCGCGATGATCGGCTTTCCGCCCTTCGATCTCGACGCTCCATAAATGAAATCGACCTGTCCGCCGAAGCCCGAGAAGATCCGCGAGCCGATCGATCCGCTCACGATCTGTCCGGTCAGATCGATCTCGATCGCCGAGTTGATCGCCACCATCTTGGGCATCTGCGCGATCACGAAGGGATCGTTCGTGAATCCCACGTCGCGGATCTGAATCGACGGGTTGTTGTGCACGAACTTGTACGTCTTCTCCGTGCCCATCACGAAGCACGTCGTCGAGCATCCGCGATCCAGCGGCTTCTGCGCTTCACCCTTCGCCCGATCGGCCTACGAACTCGTTGGTGATCGCGCCGGACTGGATGAGGTCGATCATTCCGTCCGAGAACATCTCGCTGTGCACGCCCAGCCCTTTGTGTCCCTTCAGATTCGCCATCACCGAGTCGGGGATCACGCCGATGCCCGCCTGCAGCGTCGATCCGTCCTCCACCAAGTTGTCAGCGATCAGTTTGCCGATCCGCATCTGCACTTCGTCCTGCTCTACCCATCAGCACACCGCGCCGTTTCCACCCGGAAGCACGTATTTCGGGATCGGACGGTCCACGTACACCACCTTGTCTAAGTGGCTCATGTGGATCAGGCTGTCGCCATAGCAGCGAGGCATCTGCGAGTTGATTTCCGCCACCACCACGTCCGCGCACTCCGCCGCCGCGCGCGTGCAGTCGATACTCGCTCCCAGCGTGCAGAAACCGTGCTCGTCTACATCGGAATCGAACGGCTGGGGTACCGGGAGGGGACAGCTGAAGAAGACACACATTGAGATGATAGCGTCCGCTGCGGAGGAACTCGGGGACTTCTCCGAAGAAGATAGGAACGTAGTCGTTCTGACCGCGGTTGACGGCCTTTCGCGTGTTTCCACCCACAAACAGGTTGCGAGTGTTGAAAATACCGTCAAACTCTATACGCTCATAAAAGAAAATTAGAAATACCCGGATTGGTGTACGGAGCTTCTCCTAAGGTCAGCATATGGGTCATCTCCACATTCTTAAGATTGCGAGCAGCCGCCGTCTGTCAATTTCACTCCAGAAAGAATCTTCCTTACCTTGCAAACAGAATTCAACAAACCAAGAGGCGAACAGGGACCAATATGAACCCACACCTATCCTCACACTCAAATTTAACGGATTACGTGATCTCCACTCTTGATAGACTCCACCACTTCTTCAGAACTGCAAACCTTAGGCATCTTGTTAGGAACTGTTGCAGTCAGTTCACGGATTTTGCCATAGGATCTTGAGGAAATGCGGGTCGAGATTCGTTTAGCAGCAAGTCTGGAAAATGAGAGCATAGGGGTGAATGACTCACAACCCAAAAATTCCACGTTTCTCCGATGTGTGAAAACAAACAATCCAAGCTAAGAATAGAAGGAAGAAAATAATGAAGAAGATTAAAACAGCAAAGAGCTTCATGATAAGACTGCGATTGCTGAACCTGCGCATCAGTCCAATCCTTTTCCTCCTCCTACACGCTCTGCCCATATTTCACGATTTCCTGATATCCCATGTTTACATTCACCTCGGCAGCGTCCAGATTATCATCGAGACGATCCACCATCTCTCCCTGCTCCGTAATCATCGTCGACAATCGCTCGAAAATGTTCCCCTTCCGTTCAGACGCTTCCTCTCCCCTACCAGCTCCGTCATATGTGCCTCTATGTCCTGAACAGCCTGTGCTCGCTCGTGTAGATAGTCGTTCGCGATCACATCGCTCGTTTGGATCGAGAACGAGGGAGTTTCCTTCTTCCTGTTAGCTTCCCATCCCACTCCTACCTGTGGCGTTGAAGAAAGCAACGGTTGTTTCTCGTCGCCTTGATCCACGGGCGTTGTCTGCTGCTCATAAACAGGCTGCGAGGCATACATTGCGAGACTTGTAGACGATGGGCTTGCCCAGCATATCGGGCGCTGAGCCACCGAAGCGTTGGCGTCGTTTATCCGTTTCTTGGAGATTCTCATGACGAACCTCCAGAACTTTCCGGAAATCTTTCGTCGTTCCCATGAGCTCTTCTTTTAGCACTTCCACAACTCCCTGATCGTATTCTCGGCTCTGTGAAGAGGAATACTTTTGCATTTGCACGAATTTCTACATGGAAAATACCTAGATAAATAAGTACTTCCAATTCTTCCAGTTCCAGGTTAATACTGGTAATGTCAGACTTGATAGAGCCAGTAAGCTGGTTAATTTCTGTAGATTTATCATCGAACAAACTTTTCTTTCTTACAACTACAAATTCAACAGAATTAGGAAACGAACGATCTGTGAGTCTTTGCAACTTGAGTGTCGTTTTACTCACACGGTTTGACAGAGATGCAGTGACTTTCGAAAAATTAGACACGGAAAAGTTCGGAGGAGGAAGATTGACTCTTGGCTGAATGGCACTTCCCATATGAACATTGGATGCTAATCTAAATTCTTCTGTTCTATCAATATACGCCATCGATCCCAGGAGTTTCAGAAAATGAAAATGAAGATGAACTGAATCTCTTCAGGGGTTTAATAGAATCAAGAAATGGTTTAGGATAGGAACATGAATAATGTGAATTGGTTACGCAAAAAACACTTCAAGTTTCGGGTTGATGGAAGATTCGGAAAATTCGAATGTCCTTCTTGAAGATAGTCAAGATGAAATAAAAGAAACGGAGGAAACTGTCAAGAAGAAGAATGAAGCAGAACAAGAAGAATGTGGTAGTGATAGCAGCGAAGACTCGATTTTGAAATTCCGAAACGAGCAAGAAATGAAGAAAAAGGAAGATGCACTCCCCATTCGAGTCCTCGAGACTCCCTCAAAGACCCGAATATCCTTTGAGTTAAATGGAATGAAAGTAACATTGCGCAAACGTCCTTCCCATAAAAGAAGGGCTAAAACATGAGTTGTTTATTGTCACAAAGAAGAAAAGAGTATAGTTAGGGAGTTGGAGGCATATCTAAACTCCAAAAATGGGGAGGTGTATCACTTTGCTGCTTTGTTGCTTTCGCAGACTTCACCTTCCTGTCTTTGATGGGTGTAACACACAGTAACGATCTTCGGAATGCAGAATCAGGCGAGAGAAAAGGTTGTTCACTACTAGGAATAGGTGAGGGATTGTTGGACTGCTCGCTACTCTCCCGTTTTACAGATTGATTCCTTCGCTTGGCCAACACAGGAGAGACAAGCGATTTCGAATCAGTTTGGGATTGGACTGGCGTTTTCTGAGAAGATGCGGTTGTGGGGTTGATAGAAGGCTCTTCCTCTGTAGAGAGAGTCGTTTGTTGCTGTGAAAAAGGGAGGTTGACCAAAGAAGTGTTGAAAACATCTGATTCTGATTCATCCTTTGTACCATTGTTACAATCCGACGATCTAACTGTGAAGTGCACAAAAAGGAGGGACGATAGTGATACATTAGTTTGTTGACTGCTACTGGAGATATCGATTATAGATCCATCGGATTGGTCTGCATCGGAATCACTTTCAAATAATTCTATCGATGACCAAGCTTACAATCACAAACTCACCTTGTAGTTTGCTAAACGTTTCATCAATAATTGCATATAAACTTTGCTCCAATTCGAGTCTGATTTGTTGAAGCTTTTGGCGTTTACTCATTCCATGAAAAATAGTTTATCTGTGGAATTGGTAACGAATCAAAGAGTATTATGGTGTACTAAACAAAACTGGTGAGTCTGAATGGAAGAATAATTATTGAAAATCACCCGTTTTATCTTCGCCCAAATAATTACTTCAAATGCAATCCGAGGGAGAGACTATTCCATCCATTGAATCTGGAACCCAAGAAGTGCCTCCTGAAATCAACGAAGATGACATTGTTGTAACAAGTCACCTTCGGAAGTCTTACAAACTGCAAGATGGTCGAGAAGTGGTCGTCCTGCGCAATATCACGCTTGACAACAGTGTTGATTCGTTTCCTGTGAAACGTGGCGAGTTTGTGATCATTCGAGGACCTAGCGGCAGTGGAAAAACAAGTTTCCTCAACATTATTGGCACAATCGACCAGCCCACTTCCGGCGCGCTCTACTTGTTTGGAAAGCATGTTGAAAACAAAGCCAAAGACAAGGAATTAGCCGAAATTCGGCTGCGTCATGTATTCCTGGAGTGAATACACTACTCTATAGATTGGATTCGTGTTCCAAACCTTTAATCTGATCTCCACACTCACATCTTTGGAAAACGTGCTTCTCCCTATGCAGCTTGCAGGAGACTTATCTGCGCAGGAACAGAAGGAAAGAGCTATGCAACTGTTGGTCGATGTGGGGTTGCAAGATCGGATTTACCATCTCCCGTCCGAGCTGAGTGGAGGAGAACAGCAACGAGTCACGATAGCCAGAGCTTTGGCGAACAAGCCTGAGATTTTGCTGCTGGATGAACCTACAGGCGATCTAGATAGCCGGACAACAATCGAAGTGATGAATATCCTCCTAGACCTAAATCGCGTAAGTTTCGCTTTGAACCTGTAACTCCTGAGAGTGGAATTACCATGATCATGGTAACTCATAACCCGGATTTGGAGTGTTATGCAAACCGGATATTATACATCAAGAATGGCATGGTAGACAAGCAAGTAATCAACCAATATCAATGTAAATACTATCCTGAAGAATATCAAGAAAAGGTAAACTCAAAGAAATTGTTATTCTTTTTTTGTTCTAAAAAACGGTACAAAGGGAATAAGTCATAAAAGTGAGCTACTTGGATTATGGAAGAGTTAACAAAGCTTACACACCGAGCAAAGACCTTCATCGAAAAGAACAAGGAAGATAGGCGGATATTCGGGATTGTAGTGAAAATTGATTGCTGTAATGTAGATATCCAGTTATTACAAAGGACTGTCCTTTCCAACGGTGGCTGATGCCTTTTCCTTTATTGGAAAATCCATTGTATTTAAATTTGGAGAGGAATCAGACTGTAGTTTCCATATTTATATGGATTTCTGACAACAGGTGACACTAGTGTGAAATTCAAAACTCTTCAAATTATTCGTGATTATACATTACTGGGTACTCTTGTATGTGTATATTAACAGTAGAAAATGAGTTCGTTCCATACCATCTTCTGAACGACTCTGGAATCTTAGCCCAAGTTGCTCTGCTCCTCGATCCGGAGTATTCAGAAGCGTTCCAATTCAATGCATCGTGGATTTTTCTAAATGTGTTATCCGAAAAAGAGTATGTCCTTTATTCACTTTTATCTTATTGCGAATAGACTCTACAATAGTCTTTCTATCGATACCATGGTTTCTCAAATCGTTCGGTTGGTTCGCGTCACACCCTCGCCATTGGTGTGCAATAACTGCATTCTCGCTCTTTGTAACGCCGTTGAAATTGACCCCGGATCGATCGAAATCATCCTCAATGGCAACTTTGTAAATAGCGTTCTCGTTCTCGACTTTGTTTTTCTCTTTTTTTTTCAATCCTCACTTTCAGAAAGAAAAGGATTCATTAATGCAGAAGATTCTCTTGCAGTTTATCTCGTCCTGTCTCACAACAATCGAGCTGACGACTCGTCCATTCCAGCGCTGCCTTGAGCTTCTTCCGCTTTTATCCTGGATTCTCTCTGTATCGAGCGACACTTCTCCCAATCTGGACTTCATTCTCAAGATCTTCTACTGGATCGTCTGCGAATTCAACACTCCCGAAGAGATCGAAGTACGATTGCGTGCGGATTGCTGAGCAGATGTTGATGCGACAGTCGGTTTTAACGCAGCTAATCTATCGAATTCAGTTTTTGTCGTATTCTTATCGCATTCGATGCCTGCGAATTCTTCTGACGCTGACGCAGTACGGAGTTCCTCCCGAGTTCCAGCCGCTGTTTCGACATGTGGTGATTCTGATCGAGGTTCTTCTGAAGAATTCGCTGCGATTGATGAGTGAACCGGGTAATTGGTTTGGATGGAAGGTGAAAAACAGGAGAAATGGATTTGAATTCTTCCTCGAATTCTGAAGAGACTGCGAATTCACAGTCGCAATTCCAAGAGAATTCGAATGGAATGGCAACCCACGAAACAGAAGTGCAGATGGTTTCTGCAAGCCATCCGTCGTCTGTGAACTCGGAAAGGAAAATCACGTCGTTCTATCAAGAGGAACTCTATATCGTATTGACTCTCGTACGTGAAATGTGTTCGTACAATGATGTTATGATCGAAGTAACCATAATGAAACGCGATGATCGATAGGATTTTCTTGCCCACGGAGTGTTTTCGATTCTCAAGCTTTTCATTCAAGATCCTTTCTATTCACAAGATCTCATTGCACAGCAATACGCTCTTCACATTCTCACGAGTTCGGTCTTTAAAGCCGATGAGCAGCGTCTCTATTACCTCTGTGAAGCCAATCTTATGACCACGTTTGCGTGGAGATTGAGCGTCGCAACCCATGAAATGGATTCGATTCTTCATGGAGATGAACAGAGACAGTTACCTTCGCTTTTTGAAGTGACAAACCAGACACAGATGATCGTGGATACCGTGTTGAATAAAGAAGATATCGTTCGAGACATCACCAATTCGATTGTGGATTCAATCGTGTCGGATGTGGTGCGTCAAGTCGAAGAAACGAAATCGATCGTGGATCAAACTGTCGCGACCATGATCGATATTTTCTTGGATAAGACGCAGGAGAACAACGATCACTCTCTAGAGGATGAGATTTTAGTGAATGAAGTGGTGGATGAAATGATCGATGGAATCGTGAATGTGGTTTGTCAGCTTCCTCCCAAGCCGATTTCGATCGACCCTTCCATGGTAGATCGATTGAAGGACGCTGCGCAGGTAAGCGAACTGCTGATTCTCGCGATCGCAATCCTCATAACGGTGAGTTTACTCTGTGGAATTGACGGATAGAAAGGACAACAACTGATGAACGCCCAGATTCTGAAATCCAACAAATATCTCAACCAGCTAATCTCCTTCCCTGACATTTCTTTCATTCTGGAGAATCTCATCGTCCCGACGTCTGTCGTGTTTACCTGGAACCGCATATCGCTGTTGCTGAAAGGCATGGCGTATGAATCGTTCGATTGGCAGAATGTTTCGGGATGCGACGTGGACGGCGAGTTCTTCGTGCAGAAAGAAGACATCAGCAATCTGATGCTATCGACCACAACCGATGGAGAGTTTTCGACTGCCAATCTGATCCATGGCTATTCGTTCAATCCTCTTCCAGAGAACAGCTATTTCTTGCTTTCTACGCTGAGTGAAGACTACGACAATTACGAAGCAGAGAAGAATCGAGAAGAATCGAAGCTGGATTTCTTGCTGAATAGCCATCAGAATTTTGCTGCAGCAGAAATCGGGATTTCTCGAAAGAACCGACCGATTCTTTCGCGAATTCGACAGCCTTCGGTTGTTCAAGTGAAAGCGGATGATGCGATAATCGAAGTAGAAGAAGAAGTAATAGAGGAAGAAGGCAATGACTTATCCCTCTAATTTGTGTCTTTAACTCGAGGGGAAAACGATGTAGATGTGTTTCCCAAGATGGATGTTAGAACTCCCAGCATTGTGGCTCGAGAACAGCGGGGAGAAACTGTGAGTACGCATCGAAGAACTTCAAGTATGGGGATTGTGAGTCGTCATGTGAATGATTATTCAAGTCTGGAGGTACGATCTTCTAAAGGAAGCAAAGTATCAAGTGAAAAATGAAAAGTGTTTGACATGTTTGTGTGTGAAAATTGTGTCAAAAAGGGGAAAGAATATGGGAAGTTGGCATGCAAATTGAAGGCAGAGAATAGAATTCGAGGTAGAGAATAGAGTAAACAATTTAGTAGTACCAATGCCAAATCGAATGTGGGATGTGGAATCATCAAAGAATTACTATTGATAAAGGAGAGTATCTCAGAACAAACTAATTCAATACAGCAGTATTTCAATGCTCATTACGTGTTTTTGCCATTCAATAATATCGATTACACACATATATATATATGTATATCGAATTACTATAACTAGCATTATTCAAATTCATTATTCGATTGCGTTGTTCGTAACTGGAAAATGACAAATAACCCTATATTACTTTATAGATAGTTCTTTTGTATTGAATATCTCATAGATTTGTCATTCTTGTGATGAACATAAGATGAATGATGTTTATTCAGTAATGAGTATTATGACATGACATAATAAAGGGAATATCACATATCCGAGCCTTCAAAACATCATATTTAGTTGATTAATAATATTACACACTGATTTATTATTGGTACACAACGCAACAACAACATCCAACAATATTCTCAAATCTACTAAAATGGAAATAATTTAGTAGTTTCTTATACAATAAGAGAAAAAGATACAAACTGTATGCAATTTATTGGTAATATCACTTAATTATACTCATTTTGAGTAATAGAGAATGTATAGTATTGCAATTCAATAATGGAGTATTCATGAATCAAGGATTAGTGGTCAATGAGCAGAAAGTGTTGAAAGTGTTTGGAAATCATCGAATTGGTGCTATTTCATATAAAGAAGAGCATTTTAATGTTGAAGAAGGAATAGTGGATTTGGATCATGGAAGTCGATTTGAAGGATTGATAATGACAGAAAACAAGTTGGGAATTCCATTTGGATATGGTGAAATGTATGATGATGATGGAATATTGGTGTACAAGGGCATAATGATCAATTGGAAACGATTTGGATATGGAACGAGTTATCATAATAATGGATGTATTGAATATGAAGGATATTGGTGTGATGATAATCGATTTGGAAGAGGAAAAGTGTATGATCGATATGGTAAATTAGTGAATGAATGTGAATGGTACAATGGAATTGAATGTGATACTGATTATGAAGGCGATGGAAGCAAGCCACTGAATATTGGAGTGAAACATTTGAAACTGACTAACAATTGTGTATTGGTTGATTGGGATGTTTCATTGTTGTACAATTTGGAATCAATTGAAATCGGCAATGAATGTTTTGGATCAGTGAAAACATTCCAAATCGATGGATTGAATCGATTGAAAACTATCAAAATCGGAAACAATTCATTTACTCAGAAAAAGAATGATGAATATGAATATGAATATGAATATGAAAATGGCGATAGTGAATCGAAGTCATTCCACATATTGAATTGTGAATCATTGGAATCCATTCAAATTGGTGAATATAGTTTCAGTGATTTTGCTGAAGACTTTGAATTGAAGAATCTACCACAATTACAATCCATTTAAATTGAAACAATTGGAAGTGATTCATTCAATTTCTATCATAGTTCATTTGTGATTCGAGGTATTGATATGATATTGAATATTTGAATGATGCATAGATCTTCCAAATCTAACATCTATTCATTCTAAAGGAAATGGTTTCCTTTATCCTCATTCAATTACATTGGAAAGTATTTTTAGGTATGTAACATTGAATGTTATATTGATATTCCAATTATTCAGATAATCGATTGGCGATGTAATCAGTATGATAAACAACCATTCCTGAAAGTAAAATCGAAATTGGTTTTGTGAATTGATTGATTGATTTGATTTCATTCATAGATGTCTCTTCCATTCTCGCTGATCGTGTCTAGATTGGAGTGCTGTTATTAAGCATTTACCTGATTCGATTTTTATATTATTATTAATCAACTCGAAACAATTTGAATGTTGTTCTGTTTCTCTGACTCCTTTTATCATACACCTCACTACCTATTTTCTTATTCATATTATTACTATTCATTGTTGATAATTAATATCCCTGTTGTTCCGAATTGATGATTAACAAAATGCATTCTATGTTCAATAGCATCCATATTCTTTTATAACCTGTTGTACAAATAACATTGATGCCTTCCTTTCTATTTATAAGGTTTTATCTTTTGTATACAATCTAAATAGTAATACTCATGTATTATTTTGATATCACTTTTGTTGTTGAAATTTGTGCAAGAGTTTCCTTAATGAATCTCATTGTACAATTACAATGTGTAAACAGTTGACATTTATCTTTATCTCCGCATAAACTTGCTAACTCTAAGCGGTTGTGAATACAATCATCTATTTTCATCTAGATCCGCTGTCTAGCCTGGCTTTTTCAATTCTCATTATCAATCAATCACTAAGTCGAACAAACAAATTAATATGTTATCCTGCAGTTTACATACAAATATCTTCCCAGTCAATTACTGGAAGGTTAACTCCAGGTAAGCAGATGTTACGTAGTACATTGTTCTGTTTCGCCTGGAGTGGCATTCTCTGTCCACATCTCTCGACCAATTTCAGTGAGAGCTCCTTAACACAATCAACATCGAATGCCTCTACACGAGTATCCAGAGCACTATGAACCGCTTTTTCATTCATCAATAAACGCCCTAGTCGCATCACTTCCACTTCCTGCTTTGCTTGCGCTACCACTTCTCTCTGGTATTCTTCCAAGGCTTTGGTATCGTGACTTTGTGCACGAATAGCAGCCCATTTCGCTAAATGAGCTGGAACATCCGGTACAGCCACATTCACAGAATATTTGTTTCCATTCGTCACAGATCGCAAATGATTGGAAGGCAACAAGCCGAAGAACTCAGCTACCTTGTAATCGCGGAAAGAGAAATCGCCGAACTCTGACACATTTTGATCCGATGTCTTTGATACTGACGTTTTTACAGCATCAGCAATTGCGCCGAATGTGCATTCCGGATTCTGCTCGAGATAGTCCAAAAAGAGATTATCCCACAAACCACCCAAACAGGTACCCAGACTTTTTTTCGCCACAACATCATCAGGAGGGCAGTGAGTCATTTTTGCGTCGTGGTCAGAGTCAGAAGAAGTCATGACATAGATATTCATTTTTGGGGACAAGTTTTTCCACATCGAGCCTGAATGGCAAGCCTCCATGAACCACACCCACTTTCCGTATATTTTCTTCTCATAGGCTGTTTCAAGAGCTTCCAAGAAGGATTTGGCAGTCACACGATCGAGACCAACAACAATCTTCTCATCACTCCCATGATCGATGAAGTAGGTAAACACTGTATCCTCTGGGCCAGCGTTTAATACCTTTGGGTTTTCCATTTTCGTTTCGTTCATCACAGTTTCAATGTCTCCTGTAAGTATACCCAAGAACACTTTTTTGTTGATATGCTGGTTTGTGTAATCAACATGGTCGAAGCAGCCATAGCGAGCCCAATCTCCATCCAAATTGTCTGAGGGATCAGTGAAAATCTTTCCAGGATATGGATTGAAGGAAGAGGTCAAGACCGTGTAATATACCATCATAATAATGTTTTCAGGCTTTATTCCAGCGCGAATAAGATCTGTATACACACGACATGGATCCTAGATTTAAGGCCAAAAATAGATCTAACGCTGGAGATTGAATAGTTATCCCAGCCATTTGCAGTACCGAACACCATGGCGTATTTTTCGGCAACAGCGAGCGTTACTATTAATGCAAATGCAATTACAGCAACCTGTTTCATCAGTGGGTTACAATAAAAGAATCTAATGTATCTAAAAAAATCGTGGGGGAAATGTGTTTTTTGTTTTTGTTGTGGGGATTCATGCTAATTTATAGCAATTCCTATTAATATTTATTTCGTTCTACATCATTTCGATCATAAGACGTGTGAGTATCACTTTAACAGCGCAGACGTTTAGTTTTGATAATTAAAAAAAGTACTAGAGCCGGGTTGATTCAGGAATGTGGATGAACACAAACAGACACATACAGGATTTCATTCAACTCTTGGCTTTAGTTTTCCAGAGAGTTCGGCAAGCATGCTTCGTTTGGGTAAGTCTGAAGGATGGAGAATTCGGATAGAATCGATGGTTTCTTGATTCTTACTCAGGTACAGAATATCCAAATTGCTTCGCACAAAGTTTTCCATCTCTTCGATCATCTGACCAATATTCGATATGTGATCACTATCCGTGGAAAAAGGCATGACAGAGGAGGCCTGTCGAGTCAGCGTTCCATTCTGCTTCGCCACTCCAATCGACTTATTCTCGATGGTTAAGTACAACTGAATGGAAGTAGTCAGACGATACTCCGCTTTCTTCTGTGACGCGTCTGGGATGATTTCAATGAGATGAAGAGAATGCCAGGAACCACATGCTTCCTGTTGAGGATTCTTCGTCACTTCTATGCATAAAACAAGCAACATATCTCCTTCCTTTCATCACGAAAAAACAGCCGCAGATATGGCTGTCACTTTCCCATAGATAAACAGAACTTACAGCTTCATCATAGTACCTTCATTTAAAACAGCATGGAATTATACATTTCAGTGTATTTTTCAAAAAGAAAGTTGGCTGTCTCCTCTAATGACCGAATACGACTGCTGGGGAAAAAGCCATCTGGCGAGGCGGGGTAATACTTATTTGTCCAAGGCGATCTAGAACACTCATGAAGCCCACACAAATCTACCGGTAAGAATTACCGTTGCAGTTGAAGTCACTTAAAATATACGACTTATCTGCTTCATTATCATATCCGACTTTCAGAGGAAAGTCGATGTGCTGTAAAAGCTCATCGGTTAGATCTTCTCGCAGAAGTGTGATAGAGCGGAAAGTAGACTCTACATCTTCTGGAGGCAATCTCCGGAACAGGTTCAGGGCAGATTTTACTGGATCCATTCTTGGACTCGAGAAATAGTTGAGAATAAAGTGAAGCAGAAAATCGCGGTTATTACAACTGTTGATTGTGGTTTAATAACTTTGTTCACCTTGAGAAGTTCTCTTTATTTATTGCCTCGAGCGTAACTATATCAGGGATGGACAGTGATAAGAAACAAAGAGAACATCATGCTCCTCGAGCAGGAAGCAAGGCGAGCAAGAAGAAGGCCGTGAGGAACAAAAAGCTTGGAATTAAGGAGCAACCAAAAAGCACTCATCCAGGCGTAGTTTTGTTTCTTGTGTGTAATGTAGGCATTCTCCGTGAACTCTGCGATCAGCACGAAGAGAGCAATCCAGCGAAATCTCGATAGAGGCTTCAAAAAGGTGCATGCTCCTTTACCAAACCGTTCTGCGGGGACGAACCCTCCTATGGTAGTTGTAGTCATGGGTCCTCCTAAAGTTGGTAAAACAACGCTAATTAAAGTGGGCTTTTTGTTTTTTCTCTAATTGCAGTCACTGATAAAGAAATATACAAAGCAGACTCTTACCGATGTGCGTGGCCCTATCACTGTAGTTAGTGGAAAGAATCGCCGTTTGACTTTCATTGAGTGTCCGAATGACATATCATCCATGATTGATCTTGGCAAGATCGCTGATTTGGTTTTGCTGCTGGTGGATGGTAGTTTTGGATTCGAAATGGAGACCTTTGAGTTTCTGAATGTTCTCCAAACGCATGGTTTTCCGCGTGTTTTGGGAATCGTGACGCACTTGGATGCCTTCAAGGAAAGCAAACTCCTCCGTCACACCAAGAAGGCACTGAAGCAGAGATTCTGGACCGAGATTTACCAAGGAGCGAAGGTGTTCAATATTCCTGGTCTGAGTAACGGGAAATATCCCAAGGCGGAAGTTACCAACATTTGTTTGTATATCAGCAGAATGAAGACGCGCCCGCTGACATGGAGAAACTCGCACCCTTTCGTTTTAGTGGATCGTTTGGAAGATATCACCGACCCCAAGAAGATCGATGAAGATCCGAATTGCAAGCGAGAAGTGTCTTTGTTCGGACTTCGCTTTGCTTTTTACTGTGTAGATACGGCTATGTGCAGGGCTGCAACTTGAAGAAAAGCCAGTCCGTTCACTTGCTGGGCGTGGGCGATTACCCAATTTCATCGCTGGATCGACTCGCCGATCCTTGTCCTCTTCCTGAGAAGAGTCAAGAGAAGAAGGGTCGCCGGAAGCTGAGCGAGAAGGAGGTTTTGCTGTATGCGCCGATGAGCAATGTGGGGCGAATCATGTATGATAAGGACGCGATGTAGGGATTGAAAATCAGTGCGAAGTAGGTACATCAACCTGCCCGAATTGAACTTTACGGATCAGAAATCGGATCTGGTTCAGAAGTCCACTCTGGGAGAGAAGGGAGGAATCGCGCAAGCGCAGGACGAGCCAGGTTTGCTTTGATTGGGAGGCGATGAGATGTGTAGTGTCTGAAGGAGTTCAGATGGTGCGCGATTTGCAGAAACTGCAGAGCGATATTGAGGATAAGCTGCACAATTCGGAGATGTCGCTGTTTAAGAATTCGTAGAAGGAAGAGGAGGGTTGTTAGGCGTAGAAAGGCGTTCACGGGAGAAGAAGTGAAGGATCTGAATGTGTTTGGAAGCGCGATGCCGCATGAGGAATTGGTGGAGGATGGAGGGAGGATTCGCCGCCGCGCTGTGTTTGCTGTGAGTGATGAGGAGTTGGAGAAGAAGGCGATGGATGAGAGCGAGGAAGAGGCGATGTTTTATGGTGGAGGAGGAGAAGGGAAGCGAAGAAGGAGAAATGAGTCAGGAAGAAGAAGAAGAAGAAGAGAAGGAAGATAAGGAAGAAGAAGTTGATGATGATGATGATGAAGAAGATGATGATGATGAGGAGAGTAATGAAATGGAAGAAGAAGAGGAAGATGAAAAGAATAATGTGAAATCTGTAGATTCGAAAATGGAAACAGAGAGTGAAGAAGAAGAAGAAGAAGAAGAAGAAGAAGAAGAAGAAGAAGAAGATGATGATGATGATGATGAAGATGATGATGAAGATGATGATAAGGACGACATTGAGGAAGAAGAGGGTAATGAAGAAGAAGAAGAAGAAGACAATAACGACAGTGAAGAAGAAGAAGAAGACGATAACGACGAAGAAGATGAGGACGAATTATCTCACAAAGTACCCACCGATATAACTCACGAAAGCGATCTTCGCTGGAAGGAAAACCTCTTCTATCGCGGCGAGGAAGAGCTAACGCGCCGCCGCGTGTTTTCGAACAACCTCATGCAGCTCGTCTACGGCGAACGCGACGAAAACGGAAATCTCAAAGACGAAGAAGTCGACGCCTCGTCTCCGTTCCCTCCAAAACAACGCGAAAACGAAGACGAAAACGAAGACGAAGAGAGCGACGACGACTTCTTCCATCCTCGCAAAGAGAAAGACAGCACGCTGGACGAAGCCAAGAAGCAGCAGCGCATGCTGGAAGAGCTGGATTCCGAGAAGCTGGACATTCTGCCCGCGATTCGAAGAGTTTTCGATTGCTTTTGGTCTCTGATGGGATAGAATTGGGACGATGAGGCGTTCGTCGAGCAGTTCAAGAATCATTTCGTGACGGGAGTGTGGGGCGACCAGCTCACCGACGAATCCGACGACGACGACAGTGAAGAAAACGATCACGACGCGATTATTGATTTAGAAAACGAAGAAGAAGAAGGAGAAGGAAGAGGACTACTTCGACCTCCTCAAGCGCAAACGCGCCGAGCAGGAGGAGAAAACGCGCCAGGAGTTCCAGGACGTCTCGCAGGCGGAGCGCGACCTGCTTCTCGGCCTGCCCACCGGAACCTACTGCCGCATCGTCCTGCAGAACGTCTCTCCCGCCTTCGTCCGCCTCGCGCGGCCCGAAATCCCCGTGATTCTCGGCGGACTCCTCGAGAGCGAGGAGATGCTCGGCATGATCCGGGTAGTTCCACGTTTCCCCGTTTCTGGTAGGTGCGAATCAAGAAGCATCGCTGGCATCGGCGCATCCTGAAGTCGAACGATCCGCTGATCCTTTCTTACGGCTGGCGGCGCTTCCAGACGATGCCGGTGTACGCGATGGAGGACAGCAACAAACGGCTGCGGATGATCAAGTACACGCCGGAATACATGCACTGCCAGGCCGTGTTTTACGGTCCCGCGGTTCCGCCGAACACCGGATTGCTCACCGTGCAGAAGCTCGCGGCCAATACGCCCGAGTTCCGCATCGCGGCGACGGGTACGGTGCTGGAGCAGAGCGAGACGTTCCGCGTGGTGAAGAAGCTGAAGCTAGTCGGGTGAGATGATGATGATGATGATGTGATGCGCAGACATCCGTTCAAGATCTTCAAAAACACGGCGTTCATCAAAGACATGTTCAACTCGTCGATCGAGGTCGCGCGGTTCGAGGGCGTGAAGATCCAAACGGTCTCCGGAATCCGCGGGCAGATCAAACACAAGTGTCCCGGCCCCGAAGGAGCCTTCCGAGCCACGTTCGAGGACAAAATCCTCATGTCTGATATTGTGTTCTGCAGAACCTGGGCGCCCGTGCCGATTCAGAAGTTCTATAACCCCATGACCGATCGCCTGGTCGATGATGTCAATGTACCTCTGCGGGAGATGGGTTAGGCGTAGAAGTGGGTGCGAATGCGAACCACGCGCGAGCTGAGACAGCAGAACCACCTGCCGATCCCGTCGAATCCGGATTCGGAGTATAAACCGGTTGTTCGCGTAGAAAAAGCGCCGGCTCCGATTCATATTCGCCATAAGCTGCAGAAAGAGCTGCCGTTCAAGCTGCAGGAGAAGACATCGGAAATGGTCAAGAAGCGGAAGAAGAAGCAGCCGATTCGTCCGGACGAAGTGCCGGAGAAGCTAGTGGTGGACCATGCAGAGCGGAAGAAGTGAGGATGGAGGGAAATGGTAATGGCTAGGAATTCGATGGTGCAACGCTTGATGGTAATGCGGGACGTGATGGTGAAGAAGCGGGAGGCTAAGAAGAAGGAAAAGCTGATGGAGAAAAAGAAGGTTTTGGAAAGAGAAGAACAGAAACGAGCTGCGAATATGAAGCTGAAGAAGAAGCGATCGTACGCTTTAAAGGGAGCTGCGGAGAAGAGAGCAAAGTGACCGAATCTTTTTTACCGTGTTTTTTGAAAACCCGAAAACTTGATATTTTCTTGTAGAAGAAGTTCATAATATTTTTTCGATGTACGCTGCGAATAAGTTTTTTTTGATTGCTACTGTTCTCTGTGCTGCTAGTATCCGTTTTTTACTTGATTCACTTTAGGTGCGATGCTAGTCGGACATATGATCTCTTCACCCGTGGATGAGAGAGTCGTGGAGGTTGTGAATCAAGTGAGACCTCAAGTGGAAAGTCAGATCAATGAGAAGTTCTCCATTTTTAAGCCTGTGGAGGTGGCTAAACAAGTTGTAGGTGCTGGTCTGTTGTGTGATCGCTAGGTTGCGGGTCTGAACTACTTTGTGAAGGTGGACATTGGCAACAACCGAGCTATTCACTTGCGCATGTGGGTTTTTTTGGAAACATCTTAGCTCTAGATACGACCATTTCAATGATGTGTCTCTGACCAAGGTTCTCACCGGCAAGACTCTGGATGATCCTCTTGTATATTTCTAAGGTGATTTCTGTATTTTTGTGACTGTACTACCCTTGTTTTTTGAACAAACGTTCCTTTCCAAAACCCTAAGTTTGTGGTATTTCACTCTAGTCGTATCCACTGAGCGAGTAGATAACAAAATCGCAAGATGGCTAAGCGATCAGCAAGAGGAAGGCAACAGCTCCGTTCTGCAAAATCTACCAAAACAAGCGAGGGAAGTCGCAAAAACGATGATATTGACTGGAATATTTCGAGTGGAGACGAGAGCGAAGAGGAAGATCTGGTTTTGAACTCGGTATCAGACCATTCCGAGAAGGAGGAGGAAGAGGAAGTGAAGGAAACTATCGAGGAGAAGAAACTCCGTTTGGCAAAGGAATATCTCAACAAAGTGCGTCTAGAGGAGGAGGAAGCTTCTGGAAGCGATGTAACAGACGATGAAGGAGTGGAAGAGCGAATTGAGAAGCGTCTCCAACGAGAAGCCGAGGAAGTAGGGCTTTTAGCAGTAATTCAGTGCAGGCGCGAGGCCTCATCTTTAAAGAAGTAGCAAACCAACTAATCGACGCCGATCTGCCGGAAGGTCGTTTCTGCAAAGGCCATCTCGTACGCATTCCTCGTCTCTCCGACTCTAGATGCCGGTCACCTGCACCGACATCTCCGGCGACGAAAAGTACATCGTAAGCGGCGGCAAGGACTGCAAGGCGTGCCTCTGGGACGTGGAAACGGGGAAAGTGACCACAATCTTCGAGGGCAAACGCGAGCGCAAAGACAGCCCCAAACGCCGCCAATTCAACTGCCACCGCGGCGAAATCCTCGCCGTGCAGATCAGCTACGACGGCCACTACGTGGTCACCGCGGGGAGAGAGGGGCTGATCCGCATCTGGGACAGCCGCGTCGGGACGTCGGTGGGCGCCGAGCCGGCCAGCAGCGCGGCGGCCGCGGCCCGCTCGATCGTGCACTGCACGGACTGCAAGGAGGTGCTGCGCGGACACCGCGGGCTGGTGAGCTCGCTGCTGCTGCAGCGCGATAACGTGCTGTACTCCGGCGGACTGGACAACACGCTCAAGCTCTGGAACATCGTCGATACCACCTACATCGACACGCTGTGGGGAAACGGGGAAACTCTAACGTAGGTACGGACACGAGACCCTCATCACCGGCATCAGTGGCATGCGAAACGCCCCCTCATCGCGGGGAAACACGCGGATTTTGAGCTGCTCGACGGACAATTCCGTGCGGCTGTGGAAGATCGAGGCGTCCACGCAGATGGTTTTCCGCGGGAGACGCGTCGATCAGAGCATGGAGTGCTGCGCGATGATTGGGCCGCAGAACTTTGCCGCGGGAGATCTCAACGGATCGCTGAATCTCTTCTCCATTGCCAAAAAAAAGCCCGTTTTTTCGGTTCATGTCGCGGTTTTTTGGGGGGTTGATGGGTAGCAGGCGCACGGGATTGATTCGGTGCGTCCAATCAGCGGAGAGAACGCGGCGGGGCGTTGGATCGTGAGCTGCGCGGCGCTGGGAGGAACGAATCTGCTGGCGAGCGGAAGCTACGATGATTGCATTCGGCTGTGGGATGCGAACGTGTCGAACCGCGAGAAGGACGGGGAATTGCTGAAGGAAGTGCGGGCGATTCCGATTGTAGGCGATTTTTTGATCGGGTTTTGGTAGAAGGGGTTTGTGAACTCGCTGTCGTTCGCGCCGTCGGGGAGGTTTGTGGTGGCCGGAATCGGGCAGGAACATCGAATGGGACGCTGGTGGAGATTGAAGGGAGTGAAGAACGGGATTTTCATCCAGAATTTGAATCTTGATCTGTCTGTTTGAAATGATTGTTGAAACACATAAGTAATATAAATATATATATATATATATATATATATATATATATATATATATCTGGAAGGGAGAATGCTCGTGACAGAGGGATTAAGTAGCAAATAGGGAAGGATGCGATTTGTCTTTGTAGAAATGATTTTTAAATATAGAAAAACACATCGAGAAGGGTAGAATGCTTTTTCAGAGGAGATGGTTTTCTGAAGCTGAGTTCTTGCTTTTTTAGGAAAGAAATAAAAACAATAATTCTAATTCTGATTACTATTATTACAAACAAACAAACAAATCGAGAAGGGTAGCATGTTCTTCCCAGAAAGGCTTATCACGAATCACATCGCAATGCAACACGACCGTTTCGTACGCTCCGTCACTTAACGATTCAATCTCCTCCTTCGAAAATGGGCAGGAAATCGTAGCCGGCTTCGTTTCCATGCGTTCCAGAATTCGCTCCTTTGTCTCTCGAATCACGATGCTGCCCTTCTTAAATACCTCAGGCTCGTTGTTGTAGTTGATTCCGAACCGAGAGAACAGGATTTCGTTCTTTTCGGAACTCAGCGTGCCATTGAGAATCTTCTCTGCAGATGTGGTTGTTTCGTTTCCTCGCTGAACCAACGCCCAGAAGCAGGTGTTGTAGAGATTGTTGATGTGCGTGTCTGCTTGTCTCCAAGAAATGTAATCGCGGATGTTCTGCAATCAGTAAGAAAAAAAGAAAAAAAGCACTTGAAGAGAAGGGTAGATGACGATACGACCATCGAAGCTAGGAGGATATTGCAGTGGGGTTTTCATGAACTGTGGCCAATAGAAGACGTACATTGATGTAAACTGGGAAACAATGGTGGTGAGAATCTTGGTTTTCCGTCGGTTGAAAAGTGTGGTTTTCCTTTTGAAAACGAACGAATATTCGTCGCTTTCTCCAATTGCAAGAACACAATCTCCGTAGGACTTCACAATCTCGGTTGCCACCTACACTTGACCAGAACGCGTTTAAACACACTTTATTCATGAGAGAGAGAGCACCAAGATCATTCGGCTTATCAAAATTGTGAGTATCGGAAAATCTAGGAAATGAAGAAGTAGAGCCAATTCCTACCTGTGAAATCCTTTTCCATCGATTCTCACAACAAAATATGTATTTAATAAAATGGTTTCTTCTTGTTCAAAGTGTCTTACGTATCTACAAGGGAGAATCGATAAAAAATAGCTTCTTACTGATATTTAGTATTTGCCATAGTAAAAAAAGACCTTCAAACTGTAAAACCAATGATTGTGTGAAAAGTACAAAGATACCTGATGAAAGAGTGACACAAGAGGCATGAATACTATTTGAAATACATAAACGTTTGATAGTATGGATTAGAATGTGTGTGAGGCAGAAATGGTATGGCAATTTTAACAAATCACTTTTGTTTTAACTTATAGCTTTAAATATGATTGAAATTGCAGTTGTCCCTGATACATTCAAGCCATTGGACAAAGGTAACACATCTATTCCTATGCAATGTATACTAACCGTTTGTGATTTGTTTTTATCACTTTACTACGTCATTTTCATCACTCGAATTTGGAATAGATACACCGTATTCTTAACTACCTCCTTCATATCCTCTGTCCATCATCTACCAACTTAATATGCGATAATAATAATAGTTACTATTTTTATTATTATTATTATCATCTAGAGTCGTTTGGATACTCGTTCTGAATTCTTCTGCTCTTGTTTCTGCATCTTTTAAGCATCCTACGTACTCCAAATTCATAACATTTCACTTATCTTCATTCCACCCTCCCTTTCCAGGAATAATCTCTCCAAAAACCTAAAAATGCAAGGCTTCATTATCTTCAACATCTCTCACCATACATGTGTATATTTATGTTATTTTCGTAGTAAAGATGAATCTTGCAATGTGAAACGTGGAGAATCGGTATATTCCTTCCACAGGCAATAATAAGCAACAATTCAATGAACAGAGTGAAGTATACCAGCATAAGAGGTTATATGGTATTGGTATAAATACATGATCTTTCAACCTGGTGTCCTATCTATGAATACAACTATAGATATTGCTCACAATTATTACTATACCCATAATTGACATTGAAGAAAGAAAACTCCTATTGTCAGGGTCAAAGAGCTGAAAAATGGTATGTTAACGTTTTTAGTATTACTTTGATCCAACTATTCTGAATTATGAATTTTTCTCGTTGTGATTGTTGTTGCACCGTATAGCTGCTTTGCAAGATTTCTGTCAAGTTTTATTTTTGATTTTTTATCCGCACTTTAATGAAAGTAATATCCATTCTATTATTGCTGCTTGCATGTAACAAACCCATGGGAATGGTCATATGTAGTTTCGTTTGCCATTGAATGCGAGACCGGAATGGTCCCGATCTACATCAATCGCATATATAAGTCAAATGCGTTTGAGGAAACCTTCCAGATTTGGGAGGGAGAGCCCAAAACGGGTACTCTGATGTATGAGAAAAATGGCCTCGACTTGGCAAGTACTCAACAAAATTATGAGGTTTGTTTGAATAAGGCTCTTCATACTTTGGTTCTTTTGGATGCGTATGTAACGTGATCTGCATTTGATGTGTAGTGGCGAAAACTATTGGACTCGTGACTCCTACATGACCATCTCGCAGGAAGGTGGTATCATGATTGGCCGTTACACCCTTGATAAGTATTCACGCCGCGAGTTCAAGTTCCAGCCCCATTCGGTTATGGAGAAGGGTTCATCCTGGAAGTACTCTAGCACATATGCTGAGAATTGGAACACGCAAGACTTTGATGATGCTGGTTGGTCCTCGGGTTCCTACTTCCCTGTCGCCAACACGGACGTTATCACTCGCTACTACCGCAAGACCGTTTCATTCGGTGATTTGGCAGGCTTTGCTTCCTTCGAGCTGGCTGTGAACACAAACTACGGTATCGCCATGTACGTGAATGGACAAGAAATCTATCGCCACAACCTGCCTGCTGACGCTTCGGCCACCACTCCCGTGGAAGCAGAGGAGGAGGAGGCGTACTATCATCGTGCTTTTGCGAATCGCCACTTGCTCGACGGATCGGCTGTGCTGGCTGTGGAGATTCATTTCCCTGCTGATCACGCGCCCATCGTAGATCCGTTCAACGCGTTCGTGAATCTGGTGTACGGCAACTCGCACCGTACCTTCGATGGATCGGTGTCGGGAGATCATCTGGACGACTGGTGGGACGAACTGGGTGAGAATATTTGGGACAATCAGCTGTGCAACAAGTGGTTCGTTGAGGGATTCCCAGCGCAGAATATCTACACGTTCAACAGCAATCGCGCGGAGTACGTGAACTACTACACTATCACCACCGGTAACCAGGATGTGGAGCGTCGCCCCACGCAGTGGAAGCTGGAGGGAAGCAATGACGGAGAGAACTGGGATTTGCTGGACGCGCAGCTCGGCTATTCGTGGGATGGCTACGGCAGCACTGAGCATTTCCCCATTCCCCAGGTGACCAAGGGATACAGAATGTTCAAGTGGACGCTGCAGGCTTCTTCCATGTATGAGGCCGAGACTTCGGATGTCTCGCTCTACGCTGTGGATCTGGAGATCGCTCCCAAGGAGATCTCCTACGGCAAGAACTTCGTGTTCTACCCTGGACAGGCCGTGAGTATTAATCCTGTCGCCAAGGGATTCTCCAGCTGGAGCATTAACCCCGCTCTCCCTAACGGCATGTCGATCAATCCCAACTCCGGTCTCATTTCGGGAACCGTGCCTTCGGGTGTGGAGGTGGCTCAGAAGACTTACACCGTGTCGGCTACGCTGGCGGGTGTGGAGGAGCCTGTGACCGGCGAGCTCTCCATCAACTTCCATACCTGCTTGGGCAATGGATATCGTCGTGTGAAGATCGATGCGATCAAGGGAAATCGCCGTGCTCGCCAGAGTTACGATATCGTGTCCAACGGAGAAGTCGTGGAGTCAGTGATCTTGAACGATATTTATGGAATGTACTCTGAGAGTGATACGTCGTCGACCTCCCAGACCGACTATTTCTGTCTGCCTGAAGGAAGCTATGAGATGGTCTTCCACACGGAGAATGGATTTGAGAAATGGGTGGACGGATCGTCCATCACGCTGAACACCTACACGCACACTGCGGCGAGCTTCTTCATTGGAGTGTATTCTGGAATGAGAAACGGCGATCGCATCACGTTCTCGAACAAGTTCTTGATGAGCGGAGAGATGGACAAGTGGACCTATCTGGCTGACGGAACGGTGCCTGAGGGATGGAACACTGTGGAGTTCGGCGATTCGTGGACAACTCTGACCGAAGGCAACACGGTGTCGCAGTCTGTGTGGCTGTTCCGCTCGACTGTGGAGATGGACACCATCCAGGGCTACAACAGCTACGAGCTGAACATGAACTGCCGTGCGGGTGTGGTTGTGTATCTGAACGGTGTTGAAGTGTACCGTGTGGGCGTGGAAGGAGAGGTGACTTCTGGAAGCACCTCCACGATCAATAGCAACAGCTTGAATCCTCATGTGCTCGTCGGATTGGTGGGTGCCAACTACCTGAAGGAGGGAAGCAATGTGTTCGCTATTGCTGTTGTGAACAGAGATGCCACGGAGCGAGCCATTGACTTCACTGCCACTCTGAATCTGCGTGCGGCGACTGCCGATCTCGCCCATGGAACTCAGATCACTTCCTCTGCCTCTGGAGGTACTGCTGGAAACGCTTTCAACGGAAACATCGCGAACAAGTGGAGCGCGGAGTTAAAGGGTTCCTTCCTCCAGTTCCAGTGGACGGATTCGCAGTATCGTCGCCAGCAAGTGAACAAGTTCTGCCTGGTGTCCGCTGCCAACGCTCCGGGTAACGAGCCTTCTGCGTTCACTGTGTCCACTCTGAACGGAGAGAACTGGACCCCTGTGGGAACCTACACGGGTGTGTACTGGACCAAGCGTACTCAGCGCCAGTGCTTCTACCTCTCCAACCCTGTGGCCATCCAGGGCATGAAGCTCGAGTTCACCGCTGTGGCTGCGCCCGAGAGCACCACCGTGGAGCTGGCTCTGTTCGATTTCCTGGAGGAGAACACGGACAAGGTTCTTCCCGATCTTTCCTTCTCTCCTGCTGCCATCAGTGGAATTGTCAACGTCCCGATCGAGCCCATTGCTCCTGCCAATCCCTACTACGAGGAGTTCTCTGCGAGCCCCGCTCTGCCCGCTGGTCTGGAATTCGGAAGCAACGGAGCGATCTACGGAACTCCCACCGAGACCGCTTCGGGTGTGTACACGATCACCGGTATCTCGATCAACGGCGAGGCCTTCAACACCACTGTGGCCATTAACATTAAGCAGTGCATGGTAGACGAGTCCCTTGTGTATGTCCACATCACCGACACTGGCTCGCGTGGTTATTACATGGGATACGAATTGGTGGATCCTGTTTCGGGCACTGTGGTGGGTAGCCGCAGCGAGTTCGACAACAACGCTTTGTACATGTATCATCCCTATTGCCTGGGTCTGCGCAACTATCAGATCACTATGAAGGATTACTCGCGTGTGGCTTGGCCGGGTAGCCTTGAGATTCTGACGGCCTCCAAGAAGGTTTTGGCCTCGTTCACTGTGGGTGGAAGCGTGACTCCCAAGACGGAATCGTTCTTCCCTCTTCCTGGATACAGTGATGATTTGGATTGGCGCTATCTGATGGACAACACCGATCCTGTTTCCAACTGGTACACGAGTTCGTTCGATGGCGAGTGGCATACCAGCAAACTCGCCGATATGCCTGCTCCTCAGTACACTGCTGCTTACTACTGCACCACGTTCAATCTGTACTCGGCTATGCCCTATGCCACCATGGATGTGACTGTGTACACGCGTGGAGGTTTCATTCTGTACATCGATGACGAGGAGAACGCTCGCTACAACCTGCCTCAGGGAGCCACGAACCATCTGACGCAGCCTGTGACCGAGGCGGAGGCCGCTTCGGGCATTCGCATCTCGATCGATATGAGCCACATCTCCAACCAGAACAACGTGCTGTGCGTGGAAACCCACACGACCAGCGTCCCTGAAGAGAACGAGTTCAACGTGGAAGTGGAATTCGTGTACACTTCGACCGATCTGGTGGTGGATGGAACGATGACTGCTTCGGATATGGGTTACGATGACGGAACGTGGCACGAGACCAACGCCAACGTTTTCGATAAGAGCATTACTAACAAGTTCAACGTCATGAACCAGGATGCGATGATCGGAACGTACCACGTGTGGGTTGCCTGGACCTACAACAACAACCGCCGTGTGATCATCAACTACCTTCGCTTCTATGCTGGAAGTGAGGCTCCTCGTCGTCCCAAGAATCTGGATCTGTACGGATCGAACGATAATGGTGCGACCTGGCAATTGTTGATGGCGCAGCAGCCTACTTGGGAGTCTGCTGGAGGCTACGGCTACAACCGAGAGTACACGTTCACGAACACGGTGGCTTACAACATGTACAAGCTGGAGGCCTACAAGTCCAATCTGCAGGGTATCGAAATGGCCGAGGTCTACTTCGGAAACACCAAGGCTGCTGAGATTTGCGCCTCGCAGGACAACTATTCGAGCGCGTACGTGGGCAGCAAGGCGTTCATTTCCTGCCCCACTGGATACACTGGCTTCATCTATCGTAACTGCGTGTCGACGCCGACGGGCAACCAGCTGGAGGAGGAAGAGGACAACCAGTGCACGCTGCTGCCTCCCATCGCTGTGGTCTACGGCATTAACAACCAAGTGACCATCATCTACCAGAAGGAACAGTCCTTCGAGCCCACGGTCAGCGGATCGGTCGAGTCCTACAGCGTGGCTCCCGAGCTGCCTGCCGATCTGACGCTCGATCCCACCACTGGAGTGATTTCCGGAGCTTTGCAGAGCACGCAGACTGGAAACAAGTACACCATCACGGCGACCAACTCGGCTGGATCGCTGCAGACCGAGATTTCTCTCACCTCGATCGTTGTGAACTGCGAGGCCACGGCTGAGTATCTGGCCACGAACCACGGCGAGTACTCGGTGGCTGTGTGTCCTGCGTTCTATGTGGGTTACGCGATGGCTCGCTGCATGGGAGGCGAGTTCGAGGAGCCCAGTCTGGAGCACTGCACGCCGCGTCTGAGCGGTTTCTTCACCTACGGAGTGAACTCGATCGTGATTAAGACTGGAGAGGCGCTGACCCCGATCTCTCTGCTGACGGACGGAGCGTTCCCTTCGATCTCGTGCAACAAGGATCTGCCGGAGGGTCTGGTGCTGGGTGCGGACGGAACCATCTCGGGTACGCCCACTGTGGCTTCGCCTGCTGCCGAGTACGAGATTACCGGAACCAACAGCGCAGAATCCAAGTCGGTGACGATCAGCATCACGGTGGAAGATAATGGCTGCGAGGCTCTGGACGAGTTCCCTGCTGCGATGAACGGAGCGACCTCGGAGGCTGCTGTGTGTCCTGAAGGTTATTCGGGCATGGCGACGCGTGAGTGTGTCAATGGCGTGTTCCAGCCCATCAACTACGAGGGATGCACGCTGCTGGCTCCTTCCAGCTTCTCCTATTCGCCCGCTTCGATGAGCCGCGACTCGCTGGAAGCGATCCGCATCGAGCCCTCTGTGTCGAACAAGGTGGACGTGTTCTCGTGTCCCTCGCTCCCCAGTGGTCTGCAGCTGCTGGACAACGGAGTGATCGCCGGATCGATCAAGGAGGCAGACACCTACACCTTCACTGTGACTGCGAGCAACGACGCGGGCTCCGCCCAGGCGACCGTGACCATCACGGTCACGCCGATTGGCTGCTCGGGAGTGGAGGGAATCTCGCTGGCTGACGGAGAGCGCTACGAAGAGCCCTGCCCCGAGAACTACCACGGTGTGGCGTATCGTACTTGCAGTAATGGCGAACTGTCGATTCTGAAGATGGACGAGTGCGTGCTGGACTTGCCGACCAATCTGGATTACAAGGAGAAGGAGATCGTGGTTACCACCAACGAGTTCTATGAGGGATTGAGCGCTATGTACAACGGAATGGTGGAGTCGTTTACGATTTCGCCGGAATTGCCCGAGGGAATGGGCATTGTCTCGGATTCGGGTGCTTTCTATGGAACCTCGGCGACGGCTTTGGATCGCACGGAGTTCGTGGTGACTGCGAGCAACTCTGCTGGCAGCGCCTACGTGACGATCTTCCTCACTGTGGAGGTGCCTCACTGCCCCGCGATGGCCGATTTCCCGCGAACCGCCGCGAGCGAGAGCTATTCGTACGATTGCACGCAGATCTCTGGCTACAAGGGAGTGAGCGAGCGAACGTGCGTGTTGAACGAGGACAAGGCTTCAGCTACATGGTCGATTCCGACTTCGTATTGTATTGAGGATAAGCAGGGCACAAACTTCTTGATCGGAATCGTTCTGATCATCATCGGTGTGGTTCTGCTGGTTCTCGGCATTCTCTTCATGGTCAAGAGAGACAGAAAGTATTTGCCTAAGAAGCCTGTTTCCAAAACGGCTCCTCCTTCACCGATTCCGATGGCTCCTGCTCCATATAGTCCTGCTCCTGTGTCAGTTCCTGATTCATCTCCAGTTCAAAATGCATTTCCTATTATAGTTACGTCTTTATCTCCGGCTCCGGCTCCGGCTCCGGTTCCGGCTTCTATTCCTGCCTCATCCCCAGTTCCAGTGCCAATTCCAGTTCCAACTCCAACTTCCACTTCTTTCCAAGCTCCTAAATCGGTGCCAATTCCTCCTACTGTTACATTCTAATTGTGTATACTGCAAAACGATTGTTTGTTTCCCTAATCAATGACTTGTCCCCACGTCACCCATTCCTTCTCTTCCGCTGCCTCTCCATTCCTCTCTCCATCCGTGATTTCAACAAACACCTCACATAAAATATAAAGGACATCAAGTATCCGCCACCGCGGCGTGTTTCACGCTTTCCTCAGTCGCTGAGGTTTCGGTGGCTTCGCAGGAAGCGGCTTCATCTCCGCGCTCCGCACCGGCTTCGGCGGCAATTCTGGCGGCTTCCCCCGCGATCCATTCTCTCGCGCCCCCGCGGAATTCGGTCGCGACGCAGGCCTCGCCGGCAAAATCGGCCGAGGCGAAGGCGATTTCACGGGGGAAGAATGGCGATAGAAGATGGGAACCTCGCTGGACTCCCTTGAAGAAGACGCGCTGTCATAGGTGATTCGCAGACCCTCCGGCTTGGCCGGCTTCTAGAAATGAATGAAAGGAAGGCGAGAAGGGACTTTGGGAGGAAGCACAACGTCGCTTTTGGCGATCTGCGGCGTGTCTTCTTTCCGTTTCTGCACCACTCGCATGTCGATAACGTAACACATATAGAAGTCGCGGCAGTCATCGAGGAATGACAGTAATTCCTTCGGAGCCTCTGCCAAGCTATGCAAAATAATCATCGTTTTTTCGCCCTGTCTCATTAGCTTAAGTTTATGGTCGATTAATTCCGTGATCACGGAGTTCTACGCGTCAATCGCAAGACCTATTTGTACGTCTTGCTCGCCCACGACGTGATATAAAGGATGTTCATTGGTGTTAAAGAACTGATACATATAGCCTCGGATCGAATACCACAAATACAAATGAACGCGCAGAACCACGGTGTCGCCATCCTTTGGGTCACTCCGATCGATTGGGCATACCACAGGCGACCGGCCGTTCTGATCGCTCATCCGCAGCGTCTGCATCGTGATGTGATTGATGCGCAAATCGTCGCTGCACTGAACCGAAGGGAGGCTGAACGGAACGATTCGGCGCAATTGGGAGTAATTCTGCGTTCAACTCTCGCTCGAAACGTACTTTATCTTTGAAACTGTCCATCCAGATGATCTCGCAGTAACGTAGACTGCACCAGCCGCGCTTTTGATTGCCCTCAAGAAGAAGGTAGTCGTCTTCGATGTCCACGAGAGTGTATTCCTCGCCACACATCACAGAAATGAGATTCTTCGCGTTGCCTTCGTCTTCGGATTCACTTTCCGAGACGAGGTTCGTTGTGTGACAGAATACACGCCAATGAGGGCATGGAGAGATGCAAGACTGGGAATGAGTGAGAGAAGGCCAGCACAGCCTACTTTGGGGATAAACTTGAGCCATTTTAGAATTACAGGGGTAACCATTTGGTGAATAGCGAAATACTACAAACTGATTTCGTTCATTTAAAAATACGGCAAAATAATCATGAATCATACACTTAAAATAGTCATTTGGTGCGTCTTGGGGTGGGAGATTGGGGATTCGCAAGTGAGGATAATGAAACTTGATATCCTCATTGAGAGCTATGAAATCCTCGTATACAACTTCGATGACGTATTCTCCATCTCCTGAAATGATATGTGCTAGAATACTACCATTCATGCAACTCAACAAACATACCATCGCTTGTCTTTCATAACCTCAGACGTTTCAGACACAAACTGAATGATGTCGAGATTTGAAATTCCTTTTTTTCCTATGAATTCCTCAAACTCAGGTTCCGGGGGCAATTCTTCCACATAATTATACGGAAAGGTACCTATTCTTCCTGTAGCTGATTCTCCCTCCCACCACAGATTTCCAGGAAGCTTATTTATGATCGTCACCACTTCACCCTCTTCCATTGGTAAATCAGTAGATACAGCCCCATCGAATCGGTACAATGCTTTAGCTCGTTGCATAAAACGAATAAGGATGAGACTATTTTTTTCGAATTATTCCTCATACTTGTGGAATACCCAATTTCGGAATACGAGTGTGAGGAGTTTGGGATTTCCAACAATTCCGCCAATTTCTAGCAAATCCGAAAATGAATAGGAAGCCAGAAGAAGAGTTTCATTTGTACACTCTCAGAAATAATATAACGCTCTAGAAAGGGAACATTTTCAAACGATTTGCTCCAAGAGGGAGAACGCGCTGTGAAAAGTCAAAATCAGAAAGAGACGCGCGCACACATTCGCTACGAATCCAAATGTGATGACTATTTGACGCGTGCTTCCTTTAATGAACAGGTTTTGATTGATTTGAGTTGCTGAACTCTAGTTTAATACATTTTATGAAATTAGGTTAAAAGAAATGAAACCCTTGCTGATTGACGCTTGCAAACGCAAATGGGGGGATACAATTCCGATCGTCGGTATGTGCAGATTGGGTTGATTAAGAATTAGAAGAAATTCGAAATGTGAAGTGTCAAGAAGACTGTATTATTATCGGCACAATGTATTGTTTATTAGTTCTGTGTCTCTCTAGATACAAAGATTTGTCTCTCTTCAAAAGCATTCTCAATGAGGTTTTTTCTATTTGAGTGTCTATTGATTTATAGAAAGTGTCCAGCGCGTTTAATCCACAGCTGATAGGCGTACCAGTCATCTTTTCTATTTTGACATAGACCCAATTCCTCCCAAAGAATAGTCTCCACGGTCCGCTCTCCCAGGAGGGCGATCCCATCATTTTAGAAGATTCGACAACGCGAATCATGATCAAAGACTTCAAAGATCCCATCGTTACCGGAGTGGTCATGGCGATTCGAGGCGAAGTTCGCGTTTCTCTTCGTATTCTCTCCTAGATGGACTCGAATGGTGATTTTTTCTGCAAAGGCACATGCTATGCGCATTCCGAACCCCTTCCATCAACATCATCAACATCTTCTTCTTCTTCTTCTTCTTCCTCAAAATCGCCACTCGTTCTGTTCGTCTCCGGGCTGCTTCTCAGCTCCTCTCTCTCGCTCCCAGCGCAGCTTCTCATCGAATTCCTCAGCGGTCAGCTCGGTTTTTTGGAAGATGTCAAGGCCAGTTCCCGCATTTCACGCGCTTTTTTCCTCGGAAACAGCGCCAAACTGCCGCGTGAGCCCTTCCAGCGCATTATCCAGAACGCCAAAGAGATCGAGGCCTCTTTCTGCGGCGTTTCTCTGCTCGATGAGCTTCTTTCCGAGGTAGAATTTCCCTGATCGTGCGTCTGACCATCGCAGGCGCTTCCCTTCGTTTCCATTTCGCTCATTCCGGGGCCAACCGACGCGGTTTCCTCGCTCGTTCCGCAGCAGCCGCTGCACCCCTCGCTGCTCCCGCGCTCTGCGCGCTTCTCCTCGCTGGAACGCGCCACAAACCCGTTCCACGCGCTGATTCAAAACCGCGACGTGCTGGGAACCGCGGGGCAAAACATTCAGGACATTCTGAGACAGATCGCCCCGCCTTTGTCGGTGCTGGACGTCATGGCGTTGACCCTGCAATGGGGCGTTCTGTTCCCCACGACGCCGAACACGTGCCGTATTTTATTATGGAGAAAGGAGTGATGAGCAGCGGGATTTCCGCTCACGACGCACGATCCGTTCATTGTGCGAACCGTCCCGGACGTGTACGTCGTGGGAAATCAGTCCGCGTTGCAGGTGGAGAAGCGAACCATCGCGGGGAAGGACGTGCTGCTCGTAGCGCTGCCGTCGTTCGCGAGCTCGGGAACGGCGGTGGTTGTGGATTTGGAGACGCTGAGCAGCTCCGTGATGGAGTTTAACACGGAGTCGATCGATGGAGAGGAAGAGAAGGCGAAGCAGGCGAGGAAGGGAGAGGAGGAGGAGGAGGAACAAGAGGAAGAGTTTGTGATCGAAGAGAACATTGAGAATGATGAGGAATGGAGTGTTTGTTGGAGGAAACAAGACATAAGGAGGGAGAGTGGAGCGACATGAGCGCGTTGGCTTCACGCAACTGCTGGCTAAGCGAATAGTACATGTTTTCGGTGAGCGAGAACTCGCAAGAAGTCAAAATCTGGAGAAAAAAACGAAAAGAGAAGGTAGGTACCGATTGCTTCCCGTTCTCGAGGTGAGTGAAACCGTTGTCGGAGGCCATCGATATTACGATGTTGTTGCAGATATACTTCTCATCAAGTCAAACATCCAATCTCTCACACGACCATCATTATCGCTAATCATCGCCTCCACATGCCAATCGAACGACAGATCTGTTGACATCTGCCTGTTCAAACCTACGAAAAGACAATACCAGAAGCCTATCTTCCGAAAGGACTTTCACCAAGTCGATCTTATGCTCGGAATAGGGACGGAAAATGGCTAACTGGTACGTATAAGGCAGTCCCAGCATCTGAAGATCACTCGCAAGCATCACTTCCGTTATGTTGTTCCTGACTGCATTTATTAGAATGAGGCGTAATGAACCCAAAATCGCCTATACTATCAATGCTCTCCTTGTAATACCTTCACTTCACCAATTTGGTCTTTTGTAGCAATATAATCGCGGATCTATTGTTACACTGGGTTGTACAATACAAACATAGGAGAATTTGAGAGTCCCCGTGAGAATGGAGTCGATTACTGCTTCCGTAAAGCGCTTAATACACTTTTCAGACTATTTATGAGAATTCACCGTAAATAAACACACATAGCGAGACATGAAAATCACGTTCACTGGAAGCCATTCCGGTGGTTCTTCGTTTCCAAATGCCTTAAGCTTCTGAAAGTGATAAGAAAAACCAAAGAAAAACCATGACGAGGTAATGTTTAAAAAGTACGGTGGTAAAGTTGTTCTGGCATGAAGAAGATAACTTTAGGCTATTTCGTTTTTGGGAACCAGCCCTTCGATTGTTGAACCAGACTGGTGGTTGTGATTGAGAAAGTGACAGTAGCAATTTATATTCCTACTTCGCCGATTCCCGAAAACAAAGTCGAAGAATTAAAGTGGTAAAACGAGATTTGAGTTGGAGTACATAGGGCTTCGTGTGTTCTATAAATCTATGGTGTTCATTTGTGCAAATGTGACATATATCCAGTAGTGCAAAGGACGGGAATTGTGCGCAACGACACACAATTTCTTCTATTCTTCATATTACTTATAAAAGAGAGTAAAGGTCGGAATTTATTCCTATTCTTTAAGTCATATGTTTAATTTGTCTGCTGTGCCTGAGATTGGACTTGGTAAGAGCCCATTTTTAAGTTCACATTAGGATCGAAAACAATATGCGATATATGTATGAGAAGACCTTCCTCTGAATACTATGATTGTGGGTATCACAAAATGTGCGACATTTGTCGCCAACGTTTTTCTTCTACAGGTGGTTGTCCCCTATGTGGAAAGTGTAACCAACGGTGTATTGAGAAAGTGATAGCCCACATTTGTATTTACGTTTAGTCCGTTGGAAGGAGCTGCATGGTGCCAAACACATACATCCCGGAGCACATTCCCGTTGCTCTGGAGGCTCCGTGCCCTGTAGAAGAGGAGCAGCAGTTTACAACGAGTTCTAGTGATAGTTCTCTCTTTAGTTCGCTCTCCTCGAATGATGCGATCCTCAGCGAAAGCGACGAAAACGAGATGTTCGCATTCGAGGACGGACCTTGTGGCGACCCGTTCGCCTGCCTTGATGCAGCTTACGAGGCGAAGCAACCTTCTTATTCTGAAACAGGCGGACTTATGCGCTGCGGATTTTCCCTTTATTCATCGTCTGCCCCTTCTTATGATGATTTCTGCAATCAATATTCTGATGGTCTCTGCTCGATGCAGGAGGAGTCCAACCAATGCCCGCTAGACGGCGGAGCGAAAAGAGTAAGAAAACAGAATGCAAATAATGCGCAGCGAACCTTGCAGAAGACGAAGCGAATGTCAACCGGAGATTTACAAAGAATTATTGACTTGTGTAAAGAGATTTCTCTGTAATCTATGTACATGTACCTTATGATTGATAACAACGTGCATTAAGTAATCCATTAACCACGACTTGTTTGTTGTGATCGAAACGGACCGAGTCCGCTTAATAATAATATTTGTAATAATATATTGTTTGGAGAGAAGCGGGGGCGTTCGGAGCATCAGTTCATCCTCTTGATATTGGCTGTTTGACAAACGAGACGAGACGAGGTGAGGGGAGGCGAAGCGAAGTGTGATATGTCGGGTAGATTTTTACTGCGTTGGTACGATGACGTAGCGTTTGTTGCGTGCATTCAGTCTAGAAACGAACAAGAATTCTCTCTGGTGCATTTCACTGACATCACTTCCAAAGTGGCGTCCCTCTCGCCTCCATACAAGTTGGATATGATATTGGAGATGTTTGACGAGATAACGAAGCTGTTCCGTATGATACCCGTCATTCGTAACATGCAGACTGTTTGGGTGCTGCAATGTCATTCGCCACATCCGATGTGACTCAGAAGTTAGCACATGTACGGAATCGAACACAGGAGATGCTGGATGCGGGGATCCTGAAGGGAGATCGCGCCGATGTGACACTCCAAGTACTGGCTTCGATTGTAGTAAACAGAAGGATGTAATGCTTGCCGAAAAGAAGATGAACTGGCACATGTCCGGCTCAGGTGAGATGAAGCAGAGAGAAGTTGAGTATAGATGGAATAGATAAAAAAGGAAAGGAATTCCAGAACGCGTCTCGCAGTATCATCCGACTGACCTGGTTTCTGGATTTTGTGTATGAGATGGTTGCCTACATGCGCGCGAATGAAACAGTATGCCTTCAACATGATTCGATTTGCGTGTTAACACATAGGAAACCCTCCCCACAGCAGTCAAATATGCATATAACAAGGTTCTCGCCGATCGACACAGCATGATGATTCGCAATGCGTTCAAGGTCGCCGTCATCATCTGCCCCTCCAAAGACACCTTCCTGACAAAAGTATCAGGAAATCTGACACAGGAACAAGTGAATGCGATGTGGGTGACTTGCGAGGAGAACATGAAAAAGATTTCGGATATGCTGTGGGCGTTCTATAAGAGCGAGGGAATGGAAAACCTTCCTTAAATTGTATTCGTGTTTGCAACAAACTCAGAAAAGCTCCTTTTCCGTTAAATGACTTGTCTTTGATACGGCCTCCAGCACCGTCACGTTCTTCTGGTTCCGAAGTGACATGTCACACCCAGCCTTCTTGAATTCATCCACCAAGTCTCGACATCTATTGAGAGAGAATACAGTATTCCACACCTACTTTTCGTCTTCGATGCAGTTCGGAATGATAAAGTGGAGGGGAGCATTCCCATCGTTTGTTAGCTTGTTCGGATCTGCGTGCAGATGGAGCAACACCTTCGCAGAATCAAAAGCGTTCAGAATGATGGCCAAATGAAGAGGCGTTTCTCCAGCATTGTTTGCAGCATTGATGTCGATAAATTGCATGACCAAATACTCGATGACCGTTTTCTACATTCTAACACGCGAATAAGCAACGCTACATTATTAGAAAACACTGACCAATGCAGAGCGTTCTCTCCCTGCTCGTTCACAGCATTCACATCAATTCCATTATCCACAAGTAACCGCATGAGTCTGTACTGGGATCCCTTTGCAGCCCAGTGTAATGCCGTGTTATTCCACTTGTCATGGGCATTGATGTCTTTCCCCTCAGAGATATAATTCTGCACTACATACATATCCCCATTATAAGCCGCTCGGAATAGCGGATTTGCAGGAGTGAAAACCCTATAAGGTCATAGAAATGCGATAGACATACACCATGAGGTAGAGAGCGGCGATTACAATTACAGCGAGCAATAATTTACAACATCCAAGGTATCTATGTGCGATTAGTGCGCAGACCGCCTACATTTGTTCACAAAGCGACTGTTTGTTCGTTTCCATGAGTTTCTAAAAAAATAAACCCAAATAGCAAGTTCAAATAGCAAATAATCGCATTTCCATATATAGCTATTGTCTTTTTTGAGATAATCTTCCTATAAATGGGACAGTCTACCTCTACTTTCTCTTCAAAAGGCGCGAACGATGGTGCCAACTCACGTTCTGGAAATGATGCGGAAGAGTTGTTTTACTCGCCACCACAGTCTCCTGTCGAAGAGGATGATAGTTCTGCGTTTGAAGATTGCGTTTGGGATTGCAAGTGGGATTTAAAGTTAGGAGGAGGAAGAGTTTTCTTATACCTCTGAATTGGGTGGAGAGATTGTTAAAACGGGGAAGGTTATTGCGGATGATACAGAGATAACAAAAGAAGATGACAGTGAGCCAAGTGTAATAAAGAAAGATAAAAAGAAGCGGAAGCGGAGAGTTCCTCCTGTTTTGTCTATAAATGAGGATGGTATCTTGAGCCGCATTGTTCCCATGTAGTCGTTGCCGCCACTTTTTCCACAGAAGTGCTGACACCCATAGAAGAGGAGGAGAAATCTGTAGCTTCGCCGACCGAGCAGAGTCCCTCGGTGCAGACGAAGGAGGAATTTCCTCTGATAGACGATAAATGTGCTATATCCATTTTAGAAAGCCTAATGAAGGGCGAATATGATGAAAACATATATGAGTTGTGGAACACAGTAAATGGTTCCCAGTTTAACGTAAGAGAGAGTGAGGTGTGTATTGCTGCGGATTGTCAAGGTTTAGTTTTCATTCTTTCTTCCCGCGGTTATCTTGAGCAAATTGATTTGCTTGTATTTCCAGCAAGGAGTGAGATTTTTGAAGGAGAAATTAGGTTTTAGGGAACGTCGTTTAACGATGTTGCAAAATATCACTCGCTTCTGCAGAACAATGTTTCCGAGTGGATCAATTGCAGTGGCTGCGACACTCAGAAAGACTTCAACCGGGTCTATTCCTCCTATTGCAAATATCTCTACACTTTAATCCAAGAAATCGTGTATTACCTCAAGTAGGCTCAAATTTCGCTCATTACCCCAGCATGATCGATCAAAACGAGCTGGCCAATCGTTATTTCTGGATTCTCGAGTACATCACCGTCGACCATCTCGATCCCGTGTCTACCGTCCAGAAGCAGCTTCGCAAGGGTTCCTACCGCAAGAAGCACGGCAGTCGCTACGACAGCCACAACGAGGACCTCGGGCTGTTCGCCATGCTCAGTCCCCCCGCCAGCGATCCCGAACCCGCGGTTTTTTACTCTCCCTCCATCGCCTCGCGCGGCGACGCTTCGTCTCCCGCGGAACCCTCCATCGACGCCGAGTCCTGGCGCTCGGGCGCGTCGCGAGCGCGCGTTTCCCCGACGAAACTCGGCCGCCACGGGAGTTTCCGCGGTTCGAGCCATGGCGGGAAATATTCTTCGCGGGGATTGCAGCGAAGCCAGAGCCTGCAGGTCCCCGCGAATATGTCAAGCGTGGTCAACGGGTCAAACGGGTCAAACGGGTCAAACGTGATGAATGGGTCAAATGGGTCAAATGGGTCAAACTTGATCAATGGGTCAAACGGGTCAAACGGGTCAAACGGGTCAAACGGGTCTGCCGGTGCGGAGCGTTCGTGCGTTTCCCCGCGGTTGGTGCGCGTGCGCGGTCCGAGGCGAAGCACGGAGCGGTGTCTGGAGCGGTGGGAGAGCGAGGGCGCGGGGGAGGGCTCGCTGGAGGAGGGCATCAAGGCGCTGGGCGGCGAGGGCACGGCGTGGGACCAGTTCCGAGTAAATCGAGAACGGTTCGGAGTGGAGTCCGGATTCAACGAAGCGCTGTACACGATGCCGATGAGCAGTCTGGAAATGAACGAGAAGGAGTGGAGAGAGGTGGTGAAGATCGCCGAGGAAATGGGGGAAACGGGGGAAACGGACGGTGCGAGAGAGAAGGAGGAGTGAAATGTAGATGCGGGGAGGAGAGACGCGGATCGAGGGGGCGACGGAGAGGACGCGATGCTGTATAGCGATGTGAGGCGCAGAAGGAAGAGGGAGGAAGGAGAGAGCGAGGAGAGTGATGAGAGGAAGAAGGAAGGAAAGGAAAGGGAAGAAGAAGAAGAAGAAGAAGAAACGGAGGAGGACGATTTTGTGGATAGTGCTATTCGAAAAAGAGCATCTATTTAGTGTATTTTCGTGTGTTTGTTATTATATGCAACAGGGAGATTAGAAGTGTAGAGCATTAAAATTAAAAGATTAAGCGTCTAACGATTCCAATTCTAGGTGAATGGCTTCCTATTCAGTGTCTATTCAGAATATAACCGGATTCCGCTCGAAATAGTTCGTATCTAGTGATTTTCCATTTCTGTTTGTTGGCGGGTAAAATCCGGAGGGAAAATCAAAATGATTATTTTCTCGCTATCTCTGTAGAAGAGGCCATCGTAAAGAATGCTACGTTCTAGTACACAGTGTATTATGGGGAATCATGGGAATAGATAAGGAAAATTCCACTTCTATGCTGGACTCACTCTCCAAGGCGCAAAGTGAAAAGCGAGATTACCCAGTTGCATTGTAACGGCTGTCATTTGTGATTACCCATAGTTCGGACCTAAATACATTCACCTCCAAAACCAGCGGATTTGCTGAGAAGCGAGCTTTCACATCGACCGACTACACATCCTCGACAAGCAGCACAACGAGCGTACCTTCCAATCGAGTTGCGTAGGGTTCGGTCAACATTCTAATCCCAGAGCGTTGTCTGAATCCACAAACTCGGCTCCCCAATCCAAGTCCTCCTCTCTCGTTCACAGAGTATTGCATTCTCTAGAGTTTTCATTGAAGCTCTCTTCCTCTCGTTCTTGCGGTTCCGTTTTATTCAAACTCAACCGCCAATTATCGTACTTTTTCATTCTCTATTTTCACCTAGTTCTAAAAAGCGTTCTGTCCCCGTCGGCAACACTCCAAAAGTATTGACTTTTTTCTCGCCTCCACCTCAGAAATCCCACTGTTTCGCCGTGGACAACAGCCTCAAAACCTCCGTGTCCCTCCTCTTCGATGCGGATCTCCCCGCCTCGACCTTCACCACCCTCCAAATGGCTCTTCGCCGCAGTCAAATCGGTCATTACGGGCTTTTCTTCGCCGCTTCCGAAACGCGGCGCGGTCAATTGACCGCCGCAGCGCTGCAGCAGTTCGTGGAAAGCGTTCTGGACGTCTATCACTCGCTGCGAAGCAGCGACAGCAGCGGTGTGCGCGACCCGCCCTACTTTTTTCTTCGCGGTCACAACTTTGCCGCGCTTTTTACCCGCGAAAAGAGCGGCGTAGGGATCAAATGGGGATGCGATCGTAGGCGAACGTGTGTTATGCCTCGCTCCCCGCGGTTATGATGCGTGAACTGCGTGGAGAGGACGTACGAATGATTCGAATGCGGGACGAAGACGAAGATGATTTGATTGAGTGGGTTTTGGCGGGAATTGCGAGCCGTAGAGAAGATCTGGCGACATGTCAAAGCTGGCAGTCGAACAGCCGAGCGGGAGTGAATCGGAGTGTGCATTCCAATGGCTGGATGGGAGGAAGTCGAAGCGAAAGCACGACGAACGAAGCGACGACGGGGAACGTGGGCGTGGTGGTGAAAGATGCGATGAGTCTGCATCGACTCGTTAATTACTTGGTGAATTATTCGATTCACTGTGAGGATTGATGGAATTTGCTGAGTGGTAGTGCCCGAAACGAAGATTATGACGCATGTGATTTCGTCGTTTCCTTTTATTCATTGCACGTGGTTCGTGTTGGAGCCAGTGTGTAAGCGGAACGTGCTGGTCAAAGGGGAGCGTTTTTCGAGGTAATGCTTCTTCTTTGTTTCGAAAGTAGCATGTCATTTAGCGGGATCATCACACGGAGCCAGCTGGTGAAGTTGTGCGATGTAGTTAACAGTGTTTTGCTGGTAAGGGAGAGAATGGTGGTTGATGGGTAGAAACTGAAAACAACCTCAAAGTATGAAGTGACGATGGCAACCGAACGATTCAGCCAAATCATGAATGTGAAGGATTCCATGTCGACAATAGAGGGAGAAGTTCTTCAGAGTGTTTCGTGCTCGTTGGAAGACAATGAAGACTGTGTAACATATGTAAATACCACAAAGCCAGTCCTTTTATGACTTGTTTGTTTTACAAAAAAAGAATGTCAATCCAGTTCAAAGCCTATAACGAGAAGGAGTACTCGTCTGTGAACATCCCTGGATCTCACATTTCGTGTCTGAAGCTGAAAGAACTTCTGATCAACAAGTTGAGAATCGGGATGAAATCGGACTTTCGGTTTACTCTGCTCGATGAGGAAGGGAAAAAGGGTGTGTTTTGCATGGTGGTTGTAACTCGATAGAGTATCCCGACAACTACCTGATCATGAAGAACTCCTGCGTGCTTTACAAGATCGAGTCCTTGACAGACAGGAATCAGGATGGAGTTCTGGCCACAATCAACAATGCAAAGAGACATTATCGTCCGGAGTCAACGTCCGCGCCTGTTTCTGTATCTGCGGCAGCCTACCCGTCGAATGTAATTCCTTCCACGGCAGTACCGTTATCTGGAAGTAGTTCCTTGATTGGTTCTGCTGCAGTGTTTGTTTGTTTTTGTTGAATAATTGTCAGTCCGACGGAGGTGCACGATCCGGATGTGATCCCGCCTCCAAATTACCTTTGCCCACGATGTTTGGTTAGCGGCCATTACGAGGAGTATTGCCCCACTCGCTTTGATTCGAGTTGGCCGGAAAAGATGCGAGAGTGGAATGTAGTACTCGGAAGAGCGGTTGAGCAATAGTTCAAAATTAGTCGTGGGAACCCAATAGAACGTTTGAAAAAGATAGAAGATCCGAATACAATAGCTCTTTTAATAAGTTGACGCGGTCCTTTCGTGTTAGTCTTAGAACAGGGAAATTTAGTGGTTCGTCATCCAGAAGGAAATCACCATCTGTGTCTGGTAAAGCGGGAGGCTCCAACTGGAGTCGAGAAGGAGCAATCAAAGAAGGTAGGAGTACAAGCGGCCATGGTTATTTTTGTTTTGTTGTTTTGGCACGGAAACGTGTGTTTGATGTTCGCAAACTAAACACCTCTAGATCACACCTCCAGAGATTTTTTATTGTTATGGAAAAGAGCACTTCATCACAGATGCCGTCATTTTGCCTTGCTGCTGCCAGGTCATAGGCTGTCGTGAGCATATTACAAACATTGTAGTCGACAATGGGAAATGTCCTGTGTGCCAACAGGAGGTGACGATCAAAAATATTAAGGAGTTCCCGATTTTGAACCGATCGATCGAGAAGTTCCTTCAGGAAATGAGAACATCTTCCAAGGTGAGCAATGCCGCTTCTGCTCATGATGACCGTCGCTATTCGGTGTCTCCACGTCGCTCGCATCGCTACCATCATCATGGATCCCGCGAGTCTCGCGATCGACGACGAAGTCGAAGTCGAAGTCGAAGTCGTTCGTATCGTCGTTAAAGCGTCCAGCATATATGGGAATAAACTAAGGAATCTGTAAATAAATTAAGGATTGTTTGTGGAAACACGCATTATTTGAACTATTCACACTTTGAGAATTGGTGGTGAACTTGTACACTCGGAAGATGACTAGTGGAAGTACTCAGAAGATGACCAGTGAGAACACTCAGAAGATCACTTCCCTTCCCTTGCTGGCAAGCCCTCTCCATTCACCCCCTACACCTCGATTTGTTTCCGAACAAACACAGTCCCAAAACAAGGAACGTTGCTTCCTATAATACGGTTGGGGTCCGGTAAGATCACTTCAGTCTCTTCAAAACCACCTGGGAATTCCCATTGATCACGACATTTTCGCGCTTAAAGAAGACGGGATGATACTTTTCAGGTAGCTGCATCACCGTCCAGTCCTTGCAAATGCGTCTCATGTCCCGATTGCCCTGAATGCGCGCATACACCACTTCGCACGTTTTCTTGCTGGAGGTCTGCGGCCATTTCTTCATATGCATCTACGCCTCACCGCGCCGCTGCACGCCGCCTACGCATTCATAAAGCTTCACGAGGCTTGCGAGGTCCGAAACGGACACATAGCCAAAGCCGAGGTTGCAGTTGGTGTCAAAATCGACAGGCATGTAGACAAATACGTAGCTCGCCGGAATAATACTCTCAAGAATGTGGATCAAAAATTCCTGAGTAAAACTAGCCCTCAGACCGCCCTTCTGCGCCCACCTGTTCGGAATGTTCTTCAACATAACGGTGCGACGTGTGTCCTGGCCTGCCTTCACTTTTTCAATATCAATTCGATATTTCTTCGCTCTTCGCTCCGCAGCGTCACTCTCCGCCGCAGTAGGTTTCTACCAGTATGAGCTTGCTGGCCGCAGACCCTACCTTGGTATTTGGAATAATCGTAGGAGTAGAATTCTTCGGCTGACCCTTCTCCTTCAAACAAGGCATAGCAGAGGAGAGAGAGGGGTCGCGGAATCCCGATCTACGCGTCAGCCCACCGCATCGCAGCTACGCTGGAAGGTCGGGAGAAACAGTATCAGAACTTAAAAAATCTGAATGGCTATCCGAGGAATAGACTCGAGAGCTCCGGTCCATAGAGGAACTGGGTCTGGACGCGCTCTTTACATCCAGACAGTCTAAGCAGTCAGCACGCAGAGAGAGCGGGATACCGGCTCGAGAACGAGGCACCGTCGAACTATTTAATCGATTCGACGGAAGCTCGCAGTCGCTCGAACAACGCAAATCGCATGAGAAAGGGAACGGGTCAAGATAGGAGCTAGTCTTTTCGCGGCATCCGCTGGCCGAAAAGGGACGGACAAAGGAGGGATCACAGTAGAGAGGACTTCGACGATGAATCGACGAGTCTACGTAGCTGGAGTAATTCGCTGATGGTAAAAAGCCCGAAGGATAATAGTCTGAAGAAGGGGCCTGAGGAGGACTAGTCGTCACGCCACTACTCGAGAACCCTACCCAACACGGTACTCATCGTACCACAGAGCCTCATCGGGCTCCTCAGCATATTCATAAGGCAACTAGCCATGACCTCCCTTGCAAAGACCTACATAACTTCTTGCGCCAAACATAGAACGGCTCGGAACAGGCTCCATATAAGAAAGTCCTACACGTGAACGATCTACTCAGCGAGTACTGCCCATGCTGCATGGTCTCCTAGGGTAGGACATATTGTTTCCAAAACTGGGTAAATCGTATGGACTGTAAGAATAGTCGTACTGAGGCTCTGCTTGTCTCTTTAACAAATACTCCTCAGAAGTGGGCAAAACGCGAACGGACTAACGGTCACCAAGGCAAACAGTATAAAACTTCCATAGTTCAGAAGTGGCACTAACAAAACAAAGCAAAAATGTACAACACAAAAAAGTGAGACACAAGTCTTGACTGTGCAAGAATATGACAGAAAAAGGCCCAAGACGAAACGGAGCTTCCGACCAATCAGCTTCAAATTAAAATACCGTCCCAGACAGAATTCTGGAATTCACAAAATAGGGACTTTCCATGAATTACAAACTTTGTTTTCTGAATTACCAAGTTTAATATCCTTTATTTCTATAGACTCGAAGCCCAACGCTTTGCACTGATTGCAATTATTTAGAATACCACAGTACTTCATCTGTTCAAAGCTTTCCACAGTTTCAACAGTGAATACAACGAAAAAAATGTATGTACAGTGATCGCCTTGATCATCAACAACCACTATTCTACAAAAAAGTAGAAATAATAGCCCTTATCTTACCGTTCTATGGTGAGTCATGAATTCTGATACAGAACTGCGTGAGCGTTTGACTGAGGGCTCTTCTTCCGATTCGATCAGTCTGCCTCCGCAGACTAAGTAAACAGTCATTAATGTGTTCCTGATATATAAGATACTTGCAACATTCACCAGAAACTATGTCTATTCAGCTTCCTGCTGTTCACGATTCTTATTTATCCCCTCTAGATGAAATAGCGCCTAGCAGCTATATTGTATATGATAATTTTTATAACAATCCGTCTGGATCAGTCTATTGTAAGTTGTCTTCGGAACAGAGAGGCACAAGTTCGCCAGACGATTTTCGCTATGAACTGCTACCTAATCATTCAGATTCCACTTGTGACTTGACCTCCGATAATGTCTCAGATCCTCTCGATAATGGAGCCCCTTTTAAGAGCTCTACGACTCTGGTAAGTCTATTACACGATATACATCCGGTTTGCTCATTTTTGTAGGATACTGATTTGCCCTTAGATATATCACTGCCTACAGGGGAGTCTGATGATTCTATGAAAGCTATTGATCCGTATAATGTTAACATGTATCCGCTCTTTGTACCAGCGTTTTCGAATTACTCCTACTCTTTTGGTTATCTTGGAAATGAAAATGAGTTTCCAAGTCGCTTTTCCTCTTGTGTAACACTTGGCGGAAGGAGTCACTCATAGTTTGAAGAGGGCTATTCTTCGTTCCACACTCTTTGTAGGGATTTTTCGGGTAATTTTATCTAGTAGCAGAGTGGAATCGAGTGGTGGAAGATGAAGAGTGGTTCAATTATGTGCACCCTTCGTCCTTTGTATCCTTGGCTCGTGCCGATAGCTGTGCGCTAAATTTATCTCTTGCAGAGAGTTCTTCCGATACACTTTGCCACGCGTTTCCTCAAAATCGTATTCAGCATAAGAAGGCAAATATTGCTCTCCCAGAAAATGACGATAAAAAGCAGCATCTGGCTCCAAGCTCGAATCGAAGAGTTACTAAGAAACCGAGTTTGATTGCGCGAAAAACGAAAACAGAGCCGAAAAAAGCTGCTGTAAATCGACGTCTACGAATTAAAGGAAGATTTCTCAAGAAAGAAACTGAGTTACTTTTACGGGAATTTGCATATATTGCTTAACTGCATAATTTTGTTTTCATGAAACATATTTTGGCTATTGGTTTGGGATCTTATCATTGTCAGTGCTATAAATCGGAAGATAATGGAGAGTGTAGTGAACTGACGAATCAGCACAAAGACCCTTCATTTTTGTATCTTGTTCTTATTTGATCGTGTAATATAATAGGAATGTGGTTTCGCTTCAATCTAGATCAAGTCTAATTGCTGAGCATTGCACAACGACGGTTTTCGATCTTTTGGATTTTTGAAATATAGATGCCGAATTATTATCTACGATGTGCTCCATTTTCAAGTCAGTTACTATTCGGTAACAAACGGCCTGTTATCTTTGTTAAACCCTGTTATCTTGATAACAGAATCGAATTTAAAACTGGACTGAGTATTCAATATGAACAAGCATTAGCTTTTCTATATTACTATATACTCTTTTGTTATGGAGTGTTTGATGGTCGAACGGACAACATGCTTCAAACGATGTTGGAAAAAAAGTCCGATGCGTTTAAGGATAAGATTGTTGCTGTATCGGTAATACTATTATGTTTCGTTTGATAACATTCAGATCCCGGATGATTATTCTTCTGAACATGAAAAGATTCTTCACGCAATATTCGAGAATACAACCATTCCTGTTGCGAAACTCCTGTTTGTTAATAATTGTGTGTCGGTGGTGTATGATGTTCTGAGCGAAATACTTCCAAAGCTAGATTCCAAGAAAGACTTTGTGATAGCAGATATTGGATATAATGGTTGTCGTCTCTATTATGTTGAAGCTGATCGTGATACAATCGAGATTAAGAAACGTGTATTTTCGGATGAGATTAGTGGATCGAAATTGGATGAACTCCTTTTCGATTACCTAAAAGATAAATTCGGACGTGAGTTGAATGAAAAAGAAAAATGTAGTTTACTGATGAATATTCGAAAAGACCGACGTCAGTTCTCAGATAATCGTACATATTGGTTGTAAGTGATGAATAGATTGTGTATCAATACCATTTTCGTTTAAGAGCAAAGATACAGTCCAACCAGTTATTGTATACAAGAAAGAATATGACGAGTTGGTAACTGAAACGTTGGTAAAGCTGCAGTCATTAGTTGAATACTTAATGGCTGGAATAGAATTGTCTGGAGATATTTCTATTTATGTAGTAGGTGGGTGTAAATACTATACCAATTTTGCTAACATAATGAAAGAAACACTTGGAGACAAAGCTATTATTTGTAATCCAACAAAAGAAGTCGATCATTCTTCGCATGGCTGTTGGAAAGTGGTAAATGATATGATGGAAGGCAAAGTGAAGATCGAGGGAAGTGATTGTGTGTGGGGATTTGAAGAGGTGAATGAAGAAAGTAAACAACAGTGTGAGGAGGATAAAAAGAAAATGGATAAGCAGGGTGAAGGTGATGGAGGGTGTAAAGGATCGGAAGATGTGAATGAACAAGGAACTAGTGAAAGTGATAGGAATCTTAGAGAAAATAGAGGAGTGATAGAAAGAATTAGAGATCCTAAAGGAGATAAGAATGAAAGTGATAGGAATCTTAGAGAAAATAGAGGAGTGACAGAAGGAATGAGAGATCCTAAAGGAGATAAGAATGAAAGTGATAGGAATCCTAGAGAAAATAGAGGAGTGACAGAAAGAATGAGAGATCCTAAAGGAGATAAGAATGAAAGTGATAGGAATGCTGGACGAATGAGAGATTTATATAAAGAACATAAGGATTCTAATTTTGAGAAATCATCATCAAAGTCATGTTCTGATCGTTCTGAAAAGAGTAAATCTACGTCTCATTCAAGTCCAATAGGTGTAGATAAGATTTTTCAATATGGAAAACCTCCAACAAAAAATCAGAGATATTCAGAACCAAGGAAAAATAGCAGTCACACAAGTGAAGAATCTAGTGAGAATTCAAGTGGTCAAGTACTAAGCCACCCTGTTACCATAAAAGTTTGCGAGTATCAGCGATTACCAATACCTCATAGAATAAAACCTGTGGATTATACTACGAGCATTCGAGATTTCATGAAGAAAATGTTAATACAAGAAAAAGAAATATTAAAAATGAACAATATTAGTACATTATGGAATGATATGTCTAAAATAATATTTGAAGAGATTGATAAGCTTAAAAATCAGGATAAAAAAGACGAAATGTTACTGGAACTACACGCACTTGACAAGAAGAAGTATGCTGTACTAATGGACAGTGTTGATGAAATGAATAAAGAATGGAAAGAACTTGCTGGCAAATTGAAAGTTACAATAGAAAGTGAAATGGCTCAAATAAGTGTAATACAAAACGAATGGAATAAAGAAAAAGCATTTATTGAAAAAGAAGTGGATAATAAAGCCAACTTGATTGATTGTTCCAAGAAGAGAAGCCATGAAGAAATTACGAATGAAGGTAAAGACAATGAGTCCAAGAAAATACAAATTGATGTTCATGGTCAGTATGTGCAAAAGTTGTTACAACTGCAAAAAGAATTAATAGAATTACAGGATCAGTTACTGAAACAAGAAGAACGACAACAACAACTGCAGCAACAATTACTGCAACAGCAATTACTGCAACAACAGCAGCAAAAGAGTAATGAGAATTATACACAACTTGTAGGAAATCTTCAACAACTAATGCACGAACACAAATCATATCTAGAATCGGAATTATATAAAAGATTACAATTATATTATTATGACAAAGATTCACTATGTTATCAGATTCGAAATCAAATAGATGAACTTAAAAATGAATATTACAAAAAAAGAAAATATTATTACCGGACTATTGAGGAATTATCAAAAAACCTAGATGATCAATTACGAGAACTAAAGAAATATGATACAGGCAACAATTTACTAGACATTCAAGAACAATTATTACCAATGCTACAACAATTGGAACTTCAACAATCTGGAAGTGAGTCCACTATTCCTTACAAGGAAATTCTATATCTATTACAATATTATAAGAAAAATAGGATTTCTATCTATTCTCGAATTGAAGAATTAAGGGATACAATAAAATACTATTACAGTAAATATAATATTGATAACTATCTTAATGAGTTAAAAACTCTACAAAAACTACTCTCATTTCGGTTTTATGAAATGAATGAAACATCTCACTATTTGACGTTAGTATTTGAATTACAACAATGTATTCCCCTAAAGCTGGAGAAAGATCAGGACCAAGACCAAGACCATGATCAGTATCATACACAAGACCAGAGCGAAAATCAGAATCAGAAACAGAATCAAAGTGAAAATAACAGCAGTTTTCATATGTCTAAACTACAGCAAATAGCATCTATTCAAAGGGGATTATCAATGTTTTTTTCTGAAGTACTTCCATTAGGAATTGATGGTAGTTCAAGTTATCCACAATTAGATTATTTCATTGAGCTGTTATTAAAATATGTTAATGGATTTTATTCCTATTACAACGAAATACAGGAACAACTAGAGAAACTGCCAAAACTGCTAGAAGAATTAAAACAAAAGAGTATTGAGCAAAAGGAATTGAGTATTATGCCAATTAGTGATAATAAATTGCAATCAGATAATTTGACTAACGATGTGACAGACAATACGAAAGATGTTACCCCAAGTGATGAAAAAAGTGATGAATCATCCTCGGCAACAACACAATCTAGTACAGTAGATGAGAGTAGTAAAGGAACCTGTATGAATAAAACTGAAGAAGCTTCAGCCGAGAACCATGAAGAACCCAATGTATCTGGAGATCAAGGTATGTATTGTGGATAGGCTTTAATGTATATGTGAATCCAACGAATCCGATGGACAAGCAAGTACCTGTTGCCAAATATACTGATTTGTAATTGATGGTAGGAATCATTTATCTATAGAATTATACCTTACTATTCTATAGAATATATAATCAGAAAATATATATTCGGAGAATAAATCGATCGGATTAGAAATCTAACATGTTTGTTTGCCAATTCCATATTCACACGCTGTTTCCGCATTTATACAATCACAAATCAATTCTTTGTCTCCTTTCAAATTCCATTTTCTCACTTAGTACGATTCGAGTATTGATCCTAAAATAGATTTGATTCAATCAACAATGCCAAGTACACCGAGTATTACACTTTCAACTTTGATAATTCACCTTCAAGTTCTTCCAATTTCTTCTTTTTCGTTGCTTCGAAACTGTACATTAACGATCGCAATCTTTCTGTCAATGCACATTTTTCGTCAGCCAGCTCACTCACCGTGTTGATCGCTTGTAAGAGTTCCATTTCTTTCTGTTTTCGAATTTTCGTAGCCCTCGTCAATTCACGATCTATGGAATCGATTTTAGTTCGGAGAGTTTCAATCTCTTTTGTTACAGGAATGTCTAATTGTTGCAGTTCATAATTCAATTTCTCGATTGCCTCTTTTTGTTTCTGTAATTCTTTTTTCTTTTCAACAAGTGTTGATAACATTGTTTGTTGTTTTTTGTCACATTCTTGTTTCATTACTTCTGAAGTACCCTCCATATTCTCTAGTTCATTAGATTCAATTCTTAACCTTCTTACTTCCTCCAACACTCTTTGCACTTTTATCTTCTATTCATTATGCTAATGTATCATTTCAACGTACTTGAAGATGATAATGTTGATAAATCGATGAGATCTTCCTCAATTCGTAATGAAGCGATTCTTTGTTCCTCGGTTTGTTTACGCTGATCCCTAATTTCATTTATGGGAGGCTTTACTGGATTTGCTTTGAGTTGTGTTTGTTGAACAGCAGACTAATCATTATGATTCTCAACTGTTATTACACCGAGAGGAGCAAACATAGCAGCATCCTCCTTGCTGAAAGAACTCATGTCGTTCTTGTGAAAAACAAAATTGTTTTTGGGGTATATTCATTTTGTAACTCCTTATTATGGATCGATCTCTAACCATTTATCATATATCTATTATAAAAAGATTATTCATTGCTTAGCTAATTGAGTGATATATACATATATATATCTAACAAATACAAAATAAAAGAATCGATTTCATTGTCGTTTTAACAATAACGTTCTCAAGCCGTTTTCTGCTCTAAATTAGATATTTCATTGGAATCGGGTTTTGATTCCACCTTGGAGACTTCGTTCAAGTCTTCCTTCACAACTACTACACTCTCATCACCCTCCTTCTTTTCTTTCTTATCTTCTTCGTTACTAACAACCACCGTTACGTCATTTCCTTCTCCGCTCTTTGTGCTCGATTTCGTTTCTCCCTCGGCCATCTCCTTCATCTCCTCTTCATTGCTGTAAAAATCGCGAATGCGACCCATCGGGCGATTGATCGATTTCGGTAAAGTGAAGATGCAGCACGACGTGAGAATCATAAAGATGCCCAGCAAGTGGAAGAATGAAGGAACCTCACCATTCTCATCACAGAACACGGAACACAGAATAAGGATATGTAATAGGTAAACCCATAATTGAACGGGAACGGATGATCACCGCTAATACTCCAAGCAAACAAAGTGGATCCCATGGACGGGCCGACAAAGCGACCCACAGCGGCCAGAACTTGGCCTAAACCGTTGACTTTGCCTCGGAAATCGGAGAAGGCGCTGTTGTTGATTAACACGTTGGAGGTCGTGAAATTGATGAGACGAGAGAAGATGCAACACATGGTGGCGATTAGAACGATGGTCCACTGGAATGACACGGGCAGTGTGTTAGCAAAAGAAATGCAGGGATAAATGATTAAGAAGAAAGAATAAATCATTCCCGTCATGAAGTAAATATCACAATATGACATTAATTGTGCGATCTGTGGATAGAGAAGAGGTGGAATGAAGGAACTCCAAACAATTCAATTCAATTCAATTCAATTCAATTCATCAACATCACACAACAAGGATATGATTAAACACAATCTGGATGGGACCAATTCCAGTATATAACCAACCGATATCCGTCTGGTCAAAGTTAAAACCTCCCTTTTCAACCGAATTGATTAGATAGAGTGGAAGAAGAGAGTCTTGGGCGGACTGGACCATGCCCACGAGTGCATACAACGTGCACGTGATCATTACATTGCGATTACGGAACAGATCGAAATACGTGTCTCGACTGAGCATAAGCAACATTTCTTCTTCTCTCGTGATTTGCTTCTTTGTCTCCAACTTCACTTTGATTTCCTTCACACGCTCCGCGTTCTTCTTTTTGTCCAGTTTCGCTTGTTTGGCCTGTTCGCGCGAAAGAGTTTCCGGTGCACGGAAAATCATAAAGATGGCAGTAAACAGACATAATATTCCACCCACAAAGCAGGGGATCCAGTATCGAACGTTTCGTAGCCATGGCATCATATGAACCAAAGACGGGAAGTTTTCTTCGGGTTTACTCAGAAAACCGCCCACCAAAGGACCCACGACACTATTCATTAGAAATTACGAAAAAAGAAAGCAAACCGAGCCAGACCACCTGCAGAACTAATTACCGAAAAACCAACGGCCATGGTGCGCTCATTGCACATTTCCGCAACATAGGTCTTCACAACTCCGACAGTGGAGTTCATCAGTCCCCAGCAAGTACGGAAAACAATGGCCAAGGCATAATTTGGAGCAAGTCCGAAGAGCTGACAAAAAATGGCAGTACCTTTCCTCATGTTATCCCAAAAAGCCTACCAAACAAACTAATGCAAATAGTTGGCTTCCGACCAAACGTATCAGAGAACCAACCCCAGAATAAATTGCCAAAAATACCACCCAAATTGTAGCACGAGGTAAGATACCCTGAGTAGTAGCCAATTTCTGTGGTATCCAGCTACTTGTTATCACAGGACCGGACTCAATACCTCTGGGAAGAAATCAGCAACCATAAATGGAACATTTGGCATGACCTGATTCATACAGAAGAAGTCTAGAAAGGCGCACATTCCGATAATCACAAATAAGTCGAAAGGTAACTTGTTAGAGTTCTCATCTTTAACGTAGATGCGTGTCATAGGAAATCGAGTTGGAGCGAGAAAAATAGTGCAGAGTCAGTGATAGTAACGTTTTCATATATGATTATCAAGAATTACTGTAGAAACCAATTGTGTATCCACTTGAAAAACGCAGTATTTGCATTGAAATCCACATGGGCGCATCACATATTCAAAAATATGCAAAATGGAACAATGTTGCACAATGTGTTTTGTATGAGCCAGACTGCGAAGATGAGTGGCAAACGATGGGCTAATGACATTTTTGAGCTTCAACAATTCTCTAGAGGGGTGCAAAGCACGCAAATCACGACCAACGGTTGGTTTGACCCAAAATAATAGGTCCCTAATTTGGTTATTCAAATGTAATAGAAGGTGAAGATTATGATCAGATTGGATTTTAACTGTCCCTATTTAAATCATGTCGAATTGTATCGTAATCTTCATATACTGAGACTACTGACCGAACGAATAGCATCTCGGTTCTTCTATTCTCTTAGGTACTGGATTGTAATATTATTTTATCCTTGTGTTGAGTGAATAGCGGTCTTTTGCAATTCTCGTTTTTGTTGCTTAGAATGTTTTATGCTTGTAGAGAACAATAATCTAATATGGATTTCAACGATTTACTATTTGGAGATAGTGAGTTCGCTGCTCCTTCTGCGCAGCAGCCACAAGATGACGTCTTTGCACTAAGTGAACAAGATCGTAATCGTTACAAGAACCTCTTTGACTCGATGGTGCTTTCTTAATTGATCTTGTTACTTTCTAGGATACAGATCATGACGGATATCTGTCGCGAGAAGAGGTGGCAAATTATGTTTCCCAAAATAGCCTGCCCGTGGACTCTTTGGATGAGGTGTTTGCTCTGTGTGATGTGGATCAGGACGGTTTCCTGAGTTTGCCCGAGTTCACGAGTGCTGCACACATATTTTACCTTCACCAAACTGTACTTTGCATGAAAACCGATCCACGTCTAGGGAGTTCCCATTCCATCGGCCCTTCCCAGCTCTCTGACAGACCAGCCCGCCACCGAGTCCGAGGCCCCGACGAACGACTTCATGTTTGACTTTGAAGCAATGGACTCGACGAGCCAGCCCAATCCGATTTCGGTTCGTTTTGCTTGCCACGACCCTATTCATAGCCCTCAGCGCTGCAGTCCTCGCTGAACCTCGACCTCATCCCCACTCCCCGGATGGACGATCTGTTCGACGACGAAGCGTCCGAGGAGGGCGGGAACCCCTTCTCCGCGAGCGCCGCGCGGTACATCGAGGACCACCGCGCCGAGGAGGAGGAGGAGCTCAACGCGCTGAAGGACGCCACCAACGTCCCCGCGGTGGTGTGCGAGAACCGCGAGAAGCTCGCGCAGCTGTGGCAGTTCAACATGCGGCAGTGGCGCGAGCGCGCGCTGTCGCTGCGCGAGAAGGAGAAGGAGGTGCAGGACCAGAAGCGAGAGAACGAGCGGCTGCGGAAGGAGATCAAGGACGCGGAGAAGAAGCTGCGGGAGCTGCAGGACAGCACGGAGTTGCAGCGTAGGAGCGAGGGGGGAGCGTGAGTGGCAGTGAAGCGGATCGTGAATCGTCAGGGCAAGCTGAACAACGCGCTGGTGGACAACCAGCTGGACTACCCGATCCGCGCCGAGTTCGACGACATCGACCTCGCCGATCTGTTCTCTCCCGTAGCATTGTTGGGAGCCATCGATCCTAGCCCGACCCCGCCCCCAAGCTCCCCGTCCCCAAGTCTCTCACCGTCAAGACCGCCATGCAGTCGGCAGCGCCCGTGGCGTACGACGTGCTGGACCAGGACGCCTCGCTGGACGCGCCCTCCACGGTGAACCTCTTCACCTCCCCCGTGGAGGAGATCAACGGCTCCAAGGCGCGCGCCCGCGGCGATCTCAACGCCCCGCCCGCCATCACCTTCAAGGCCTTCCAGCGAAGCCGCAAAGCGCGCTCCTTCGCTCCGTTGGGCGCGGGCGCCGACGCAGATGCGATCAGCGAGAGCGAGGAGAGCGACGAGGACATGAAGCCTGCGGAGCTAGCGGCGTTCCCGGCGTTCTCGCGGAAGAAGACGGGCAGGGAGGAGGACGTGATGGGCTCGAAGCAGTGGTACCGCGGCGTGTACGCGAAGCACCAGCAGCAGCAGCTCGAGGACGAGCGGCGTGAGCAGGAGCTGGAGGAGGAAATGGAGCGACATCGCCGTGAGATCGAGGAGAGGGCGATCAAAGAGCGCGAGGAGCGCAAGCGCGAGCGCGAGGAGCGGCGCCAGGCGCGGCTGCGGCTGCTGGAGTCGAGCAGCGAGTCGGAGTCGTCGAGCAGCGAGTCGGAGGAGGACTTGCCGGTGGAGAAGGAGGTCTTCGTGATGTCCGACACCGACGATGAGGTCTTCTCCGACGACGATCTCCCTGTCGAGCGAGAGGCCACGCGCGCTCCCGCCTCGACCGACGCCAAGCCGGCGGAGCGCCCTGCAGACAAAGCGGCGGAGCCGGAATTGGCTCCTGAGGTCGATCCGGAATTGGCTCCTGAAGTTGACCCGGAATTGGCTCCCGAAGTTGACCCGGAATTGGCTCCTGAAGTTGACCCGGAGCTCGTTCCGGAGATTGACCCTGAGTTGGCTGGTGATGCGGGAGAGAAACCGCTGGAAGAAGGAGCGAGCGAGGCCGTGGAGGACAAGAAGGGAGCGAAGAAAGAGAAGAAGGACAAGAAGAAGGACAAGAAGATGGAGAAGAAAGGAAAGAAGGAGGAGAAGAAGAAAGGAAAGAAGGAGGAGGAGAAGAAGCCTGCAATGGAGGCTGTGGATGATGACTTTGAGGAAGATTTGCCTGTGGAAGAGCCCAAATCGAAGCCTGAATCCGAATCCGGACCCAAAGACAAGGAAAAGGAAAAGGATGAAGGGTTCAGCGATGACGATCTGCCTGCGGAGAAGGAGGAGAAGGCAGAGAAGACCGAAAAGGCCGAAGGAGCGAAGGAGGATGCGGCGAGCGAAGACGAAGATTTGCCTGCGGAGAAGGCCGAGAAAACGCCGAAGAAATCCCCGAAGACGCCGAAAAAGGACGACAAGGACAACAAGGATGAGAAGGCGAAGAAGGGAAGAAAGGGCAGAAAGGAGAACAAGAATGTGGGTGGAGGTGGGTTGATGGACCTGGGTCCAGTAAAGAAGCATACGAAGAAGAAGGCCCCCGCAAAGAAGTGAATTTCGCTGTAGTATTTTTGTTTGATTTGTTTTCTGTACAAAAGAGAATCGCATCTGCTTTCTGTGTGCCAAAAATAAGGAGGTTTTCACAGGAAGCGTTTCTTATCCCATAAAACCTTTTTGTGTTCTTTAGTATTGCTCTAGTATGTCCTGCAAACATACTTATTGTTTTGAACTCGAACCCAGTACTCGTACAGAGGTATTCGCTGCGTGAGTCCTTCTTAATGCATAGTCTGCTGTTATTCGCAGCATGCAGTGCCCTAAACAGGAGAAAGTTAGCACTCGCTTTGCTGAAGTGGAAACACTGTAGGTCATTTCTTGTTTTTGAATCCTGTGCATCTCTGTGCTTACCACTGCGTAGATATGACTGCTTCATGCGTGGAAAGCGAACGAATCCCAATGGCCAGTGCTATGGGTATAGACCTCACGTAATTCTATGCGTTTTCGATCACCTGCAGGATGAGGAAGGCAATGTCCTGGATTACAAGTGGTACACCTACAATGAAGTCTGGGAAATGATCCAGGACTTCGGTTCTGGGCTTCTCCACTATGATCTCGTGCCTGAAAAAGAAGGAGTACGTGCTCAGAAGTGTCTAACACCTAGTATAAAATTCTTGGAATTTATAGTAAAAACTGTATGGAATGGATTCTGGCCGAGCAGAGTTGTAACACCTACAACCTCACTCTGTGCCCCATCTACGACACTCTGGGAGCCGATTCCGTGGAGTTCATTCTCCAGCAGACCGAGATGAAGGCCTGCGTCTGCGCTCCGTCGGAGACCACAAAGCTCCTCACGCTGATCGACCGCGCTCCCGACCTCAAAGTGATCGTGCAGATCGGCTCGATCGACCCGAAGACGCGCGCCATCGCCGAGCAGCACGTGCGATCGCCGCGCCCCTCTCACCGCTAGGGCCTCACCATGATGACCACCGAAGAGCTGATGGCGGCCGGTCGGCAGCACCGCCTGGCGCCGCGCCCGCCGCACGCGACGGACGTCTGCACGATCTGCTACACGTCGGGCACGACGGGGCAGCCGAAGGGCGTGCTGCTGACGCACCGGAACTTTATCTCGGGACTGTCGGGGTGTCTGTACACGGGCCTGGACCCCGTGCCCACGGACTGCTACATCTCGTACCTCCCGCTGGCGCACGTGCTGGAGCGCATCATGCACTGCGCGATGCTGATCAACGGGTCGCACATCGGGTTCTTCCAGGGCTCCACGCGGAAGATCATGGAGGACATCCGCGCGCTGCGGCCGTCGATCTTCACGAGCGTGCCCCGTCTGTAGGAGCGAGGGAGGAGGGCGAAGCGTAGGCTGAACAAGGTGTACGACGCGCTGAACGAGAAGATGAAGCAGCAGAGCGCGCTGGTGCGCTATCTGTGGAACTGCGGCGTGGAGGCGAAGAAGTGGCGCATGGAGAACGGGCTGGACAACACGCACTGGCTCTACGACCCGCTGGTCTTCGAGAAGGTGCGTAGCAGCGATCCTCTGCGACGTGTAGGTGCGCCGGATGACCGGACTGGACCGCGTGCGCGTGACCATCAGCGGCAGCGCGCCGCTCTCCAAGGACGTGCTGTTCTTCCTCCGCTGCTTCCTGAAGGGCGTCATCGTCGAGGGCTACGGCGCCACGGAGACCGCGGGGCCGTGCACGCTGCAGGTGGGCGACGACTACACGATCGGGAACGTGGGCGGCCCGCTGCCCTGCTGCGACTTCAAGCTGGTGGACGTCCCCGAGATGGGCTACCTGACGTCGGACCGGGAGCACAACGGAATCCCGTGCAAGGGCCGCGGAGAGCTGATGGTGCGCGGGTTCAACATCACGCCCGGATACTTCAAGAGCCCCGAGCTGACGGAGAAGGCGTTCGACAAGGACGGGTTTTTGGCGACGGGCGACATCGCGATTATTTTGCCGAACTACGCGGTGCAGATCGTGGACCGGAGGAAGAACTTCTTCAAGCTGGCGCAGGGAGAGTACGTGGCCGCGGAGAAGCTGGAGATTATCTACGGAGGATCGCCGTTCATCTCGCAGATCTTCGTGTTCGGAGACTCGCTGCAGAGCTATCTCGTCGCCGTGATCGTGCCCGAGGAGGAGTATGTCATGAAGTGGGCCAAGGGAGAGTACGAGCTGAAAGACCTCAGTTTCCAGGAGATCTGCAACTCCAAGGAGCTGTATGATGCCATCCGGCAGGACTTGAAGAGACTGCACGCGGAGGCAGGACTCCTCGGATATGAGCGTGTGGAGAAGTTTAAGATCGATAGTGAGAGCTGGTCGGTGGATAATGGATTGCTGACCCCCACGTTTAAGCTGGTTCGGAAGCAGCTGAAGACTCGCTACCAGGGCGCAATCAGCGAATTGTATAAAAGTTCTCTTTACGGCTGTTTGTTGAATCACGGTTATGGCGCGGATTTTCGCGTTCTTTTGGAGCGGGCGTTTCACCCAAGTTTGACCTGTCGTTTCTCAGGGATTGTCCAGTCGAGAAGCCAATGGCTAAACGTTCGGGAAGACCAAAGCCAAAATCGATCAAGAGCAAGGCGATTAACAAGAATAGCAAGCGTAAGCTTGACACTCTTGGAAAGAAGCTGAAGAAGGGGTATGCTGGAGAGGCGATTCTCTACATGACTCGTTCTCAAGCGCTGCGTAAGTTAAGTCTGAGTTTGAAGGATTTCCGGTATTGGGTAGTGTGGGTGGATAACCACTAGCCGAATTTGCATTTTGAAGGGAATCTATCCCCGCGAGCCCAAGCACAAGCCAAACAAGACGCAAACCTATTATCATGCGAAGGATATCGCGTATATCTCCCACGAGCCGATTATCGATTACTTCCGCAAGATGAAAACGTTCCTAAAGAAGGTAGTTTTCGCTTTCCCTTTTCTAGCTAGCTTTCTCGCTCTCACGGTCGTGGTGAGAAATCGGAAGTTCTCCGTAAATGGGAGAACAAGCCCGAGATGAATCTGGATCATCTGGTCAAGGAGCGTTATCCGACGTTCAACGTATTATCTTTTCTTCCAATTTTTTTCTAATATTCCTAGTCCGCTCTGACCGATCTGGACGACGCTCTGTCGATGATCCATCTGTTCGCCCTTCTGCCCGCCACATCGAGCATCCGAGCCTCGAAATCGCAGACATGCCGTCGTCTGTGCCACGAGTGGAACTTCTACATCATCCAGAGCCGCAGTCTGCGGAAGGTGTTCATCAGCATTAAGGGCGTCTACTACCAAGCGGAGATCCAGGGCCAGAAAATCACTTGGCTCGTTCCGCACAAGTTCTCCCAGGACCTTCCAGGCGACGTCGACTTCCAGGTCATGCTCACCTTCCTCGACTTCTACCAAGTGTTTCTCCGATTCGTCCTCTACCGCCTCTATTTTACCGCGGGAATGAAGTACCCGCCCTCCGTCGACGCCCTCCGCGACTGCGAGGGCGCAGAAATCGACGCGTTAACCGCGGAACTCGACGTGGCCCCCGCGGACAGCGAGGAATCGCGGGAATTGGCCGGTCGGCGCGGGCGTTTCATCTGAGGGGTAGAGAAAAGCGCGAAGAACATTGCCGCCATGACGGTTTCGCTGCAGAACCTTCCGAGTCCCGCGGGGGAGGGCTACGAATTGGAGGAGGCGTTCGCGGAGAGCGAAGAAGCGCGGGAATTGCTGCGCAAACAGCGGGAGGCGAAGCAGCGGACCAACTTATTCGCGGGGAAAGTGTTCTTCCTCGCGCGGGAGGTTCCGCGGGGAATGCTGGAGTTCGTGCTGCGGAGTTTTGGCGGGAAAGTGGGGTGGGAGGGCCCCCACTCCCCGCTCTCCCCCGCGGATCCCGCCATCACGCACGTGATCGTCGACCGGCCCGCGCCCGCGCAGGGACTGCAGTCGCCCCGCGGGGATCGGGAGTTCGTGCAGCCGCAGTGGGTTCTGGACTGCGTCAACAACAATCTCATCATCCCCGCGGATCGCTACGCACCCGGAAAAACGCTCCCGCCGCACTTGTCGCCGTTCGTGGACAACCAGGCCGAAGGGTGGAAACGGGGAAACCGGGTAACGGGTAGATACACGCCGGAATACCAGAAGGAGATCGATGCGATGAAACGGTCCGCCGAGGGAACCGAAGGAACCGCGGGAACCGAAGGAACCCAAGGAGACGACGAGGAGGGTAATCGTGGAAACGGAGAAACGGAGAAACCGGAGGATGTGGGGAGATTCGCGCGGGAAATCGAGCGAGAGGAGATTGGGGAGGAGGAAAAACCGCGGGAAGCCGAAGAGGAGAAACCGGTGGAAACCGAGGAACCGGAGAAACAGGAGAAACAGGAGAAACAGGAGGAGAAGAAGGCGAAGAAGGAAGAGGAGGAGAAGGAACGACGATTGCTGATGGCGAAGAAAAAGCACCAGCGAATTTACCGGCAATTGGAGCAGGAGGAGAAGAAGAAGGAAAAGAGGGTGAAAGAGCTGAAGAGCAAGGCCGAGAAGGCAAAGAAACAAAAGGAGGGAATGTAGATTTAGATATGGTCTTTTGTTTGTTTGTTTGAGAAGGGAAGAGAAGAGAAGAGAAGAGAAGAGAAGAGAAGAAGTGAAGGAGATAGAATAAAAGTCGAGAATACTACTCGCAATGTACATAGTTTTATAACTGTCCTTGATTCTTCTCTGATCCTTCCAGATTCTGTCAGACTCTGATGGAAGCAAATTCCAGTCAAGCAGAAGGCCCAGAAAATGAGGCGACACAGGATTCTGAAAGCATCGCCTCCCAATCTACCTTCTTATATTCATTCCCATCAGAACCAGTCTTTTCTCAAAACGGAGAGATGGAAAACAACGGAAATAGAGCCAATTCCCTCTTGGTGAATAATAGCCCTGTAAAACCCAGCAAGAGTGGTAATACACTCAAGAGGGATGACAATGGTAAAGAGCATAACCAAAATCCTGACGTGAACATATTTGAGCAAGCTCTTGGTAATATGCAAGATGATATCAACTTTAAAGAGTCCACGGATTCGGAAAATGATAGTCAACCGCCACCCTCACAGAGCTACACCGATTCTCAGCTCGCTTTTCTTCATTCTCTCGGAATTTCTGTATGTATCAAGCACTTTGCTTACTTTTTAGGAAGGTTCCGTGGACTATTGGAGCATTAAATGGAAGCAACTCAGTTAATGGCTTTGCTGAATTTGTATTTTATCTTCATTTCTATATGTTTGTTCAACAAGGAGAACCGAGAGTTTGACACATAACAACCACGTAACCCACAGTTTTGTTTTTAAGGCCGTATGCAGTACTATTTTCCAAATTACCCTGATATATCGTTAGATAGAACTATAGCTGTTGATTTTGGAACGACAAATACGACCGTTTTTGTAGTGCATAACAATAAGGCCGAGGCTATACAAATTGATGGCCAGCTATCGATGCTACGGTCTGTCGTTTCATATGGGAACAATAATGTGCTAGTTGGTAATGCAGCTGACAAAACCAGAAATTTCACTTTAAAGGTTTATAATATCAAGAGAATCGCAGGCTTGAATTATGATGAAATCAACTTCGATGGAGTAACTTTTGGGTGTGAAGTGATAGAACTGTTCGGTCAGTTGGCAGTAAAAGGAACAAGCCGTGCTAGCGATATCACCAAGACTGTCGAAGAAGTGATTACGGACATCTTCATGTACATTAAACACACAGTTGAGAACAAGTTTGGGACCGAGTTCAACTATCTGGTGCTGACTGTTCCCTCTACCTACCGAAGTACGCAGAAGAAGGTCATTCGTTCTGCCGCGATAAAGGCAGGTTTTGAAGTTGCAAGCATGCTCTCCGAGCCCACCGCTGCCGGTATTCACTATAGATACATAAATTTTGTCAGCAACTCCTCGGTCTTTTTGGTATTCGATTTTGGCGGAGGAACTCTCGACCTTTCTTTGGTTTCATGCACTGGGAATAAGTTTGAAGTGCTTGCAAACGGGGGGAGCTCCCATCTTGGAGGTGCAGATGTGGACAATGCGATCCTTCGATGGATCGAAGACTGCTACACGCAGGATGGGCACGATCGTCTGCATCTGAACAGTCGCGAAATGCGAGCGCTGAAGCAGACAATCGAGCAGAAGAAGCAGGAGCTGAGCGACAAAGAAATGGTGGAAATCGAGGTGACCGAAGATTGTGGTAAGCGAGGATGACGGTGAGTGTAATCTCCAGATCCTTACAAACTCTCCAGAGCCGAATTAGCCGATATTATCTCCAACATCACCAACGAAATCGTGACGTGTCTCGATAAACTCGGCGCCTATGTGCTCGAGCACTACGAAGGGAAGCGAATCGGCGACCATTTGGTCTCGGATATGGACGCTCCGTCCGACATTCTGCCCACTCTCGTGTCGTCTGTGCTGCTTGTAGGCGGCTCGTCGAAGCTGCTGGCGGTGCAGGAGAAGCTGGAGACGGTGTTCGATAAGTCGATCATCCATATGGACAGCGACTCGCAGCTGTGCGTGGGGATGGGCGCGATGGAGAGCTTGATGTTCATCTCGCGCGATAACCAAATCCACGAGTGTCTCTACAACGAGTTCGTGATCCTGGTGAATCAGTGCGTGGTGGGAAAGGTCCCGCGCGGCACGACGATTCCGTTCGATGTGTCGTACACGCTGGGCGCGCGAAAGCGCGGAGCGGATGTGGAGGTGGTCGTGAAGCAGATCATGGAGGAGGAGGGCCGAGAAGAAGTGGTTTTGCAGTATACCAATGCGTTTTTCCAGGATGTGGCGCGATTGTACTTGTCCCTCAAGATCGATATTCAGTACGACGGACTGCTGACGGTGCGGGTTCGCGATGAGATGAGTGGCTTAGAGGAAATTATAGGAAAGGTGGAATATTGTTCTGTTTGTTACAAACACCGATACACAATGGAGTCAAAAATATATAAATAGAGAGAGAATTCTCTTAATCTCAATCTTAATCTTAATACGTATCAATCTGAGGCTTGTCATCGAACGACACCGTCAGCGATCCGTCGCTTCCTTCCTCCTCGAACATCACCAGCTCGTTCTCGCCCTCCTTCAGCACCGCAGCGGGGACGAACAGCGTCAGCTGCGGTCCCACGGTCCAGTAGCGTCCCAGGTTGTATCCGTTCACGAACGCCACTCCCTTCTTCAGACCCGTCGGGTTCAGATAGGTGTTGGCCACCTTATCCACGTTGAACGTGGCGCGGAAGAACGTCATCGGCTCCGCGCGCTCCTTGTCCGTGTACCAGATCGGGCTGATGTTCTTCAGCGGCATCACGCACATCTTGAAGCCCTTCAGCGGCTCGCCGTCCAGCAGAACGTTGCCGATGATTCCCTTGCTCTCCACCATACCACCGCCGAAGTTGATGCGGCCCTCGTTCTCCACCATGATGTTCAGCATTCCAGCGGGAATCTGCACGTCGTGCTCCGTGTCGCGCTGCAGCCAATCCACGTACTTGCCGTCCACAGCGATGTAGCAGCGGTCGTGGATCTTGTTCTCCAGTCGCAGCGTTCCGCCGTTCGTCTGGATCATGTAGTGCACAAAACCATAATCCGTGTCGAGTTGCTCGAACGTCAGAGGATAGTCCGCCTCCACGCAGCGGCCAGCCACAGCGGGCATCACGTCAAACATGTCAGCGAACTCCGTGAAGCGCACCGTGCCGTACGAGCGCACGGGGTCGTTCTCCACCGGCCATTCCGCGATCTTACGGTACTTCGCGATGGTGTCGCGAATAATCGCCCACTTCTCGGTCATGTCCGCAGCCTCCGAAAGAGGAGCGTCGTAGTCGTAGGAAGTCGGGTCCGACTGGTAGTAGTTGGAGTCGCCGTTGGCTCCCGCGAAGAAGTGATGGTTGGTTCCGCCGAAGTACATGTAGAAGTTCACAGAGGCGTTCACCGCCATCATCTGGTCCAGGCAATCGGCGATACTCTTGGCGTCCACAGTGTGGTGCTTCTCGCGCCAGTGATCCAGCCAACCAGGATAGAATTCAGTGTTCACCTTGGGGCCCTGCTTGGCGTACTTCATCTGCATGTCCCAAGCTCCCGAAGGATCGCGTACACCAAAGTCCACAGTCACATAAATCTCTTCGGGGAGGGTACCGCAACTGAGGGCATCGTCACTCGGAGTATCCACGGTGAAGTAGACCACATCGTCTCCCAGAATCTCCTTGTTCAGGTTCAGCAGCCAACGCAGATGGTCCTTGTCGCAAGCGGGGTAGAATCCATATTCGTTCTCAATCTGAACGGAAATGATCGAACCGCCATTCTTGTAGAGGTGAGGACGTGCAATATTGAGCAGCACACGGAAATAGTCCTCCACGTGCTTCTGGTAGACAGGATCCGAGGTGCGTATCTTGATGCCCTCTTCACGGATGAGCCAGTAAGGAAGGCCACCGAAATCCCACTCGGCACAAATGTAAGGACCCGGACGGAGGATCACGTACATGTTGTACTTCTCGGCGATCGAGAGGAAGCGGTCCAAGTTGGCAATTCCGTCAAAGTTGAACTCTCCCTTGCGAGGCTCGTGGATATTCCAGGCAACATAGGTCTGGACAGCATTTAATCCTCCGTTAGCCATCTTCTTGATGGTGTTCTCCCAGTTAATATAGTCTGGGCCGGGCTCCTGGCGGAAGTAATGGAAGGATCCAGACACATAGCTGAAAGGCTTCCCATCCATCTCGAAGTGGTCGCCAACGATCTTAAAGGTGCGAGCCCAGATAGTAACTGCTAAGAGCAAGAACAAAGTGCACGATTTCATAATAATAAATAAAATATGATATTGAGGAGGGCAATTGCGTTTCAATTAATATACGCAATTATATCATCATATGGACCCTAAGTGTGAGTATTTGGAAGCAGCAATCGGGACATCTCTGTCGTCCATAAATGAAACACAATTCGAGATCCTCATTTCCAAAACTGGAGTAATCAATCAGGTCATATGTGAAGATGAAGTCTTTCAGTATGGGAATGACCTGGCTACCTTAGAACACTGATTCTTCAGGTTGCGATGATCGAAACACAATGCTTTCCCAAATGTCTTGACTGGGATGGATAGCACAGCCACAGAGGCACTGCGTGTCTATGAGAATCACTTCCCCCATGATAGTTTATGATGTGCATACTATTCCTATTATTCTGGCTCCATACTCCTTATTCCCCATTTTATCCATACCCCATCTATCGTCCCTTTTTCGAAAGACCGCATTGTTTGTTTTCCAATGAATGTTTGGTACTCTGTTGCCAGATATTTGTTGATTTTTTTATTGGCCTATGCCATGTTTTTCTTCATTTACCCGTTTCAAGTGATCTCTATGTCTATGTGCTCTTTCACACTAACAAATAGCTTTTCACCAATTGTAAGAAGTTTAGTACAGATAAGGAAATATAAAATTTACGAATCCCAAACGTTTTATCGAGCCGATCGTTTTATAGAGGATTGGCATTCTTATTCGCGTAAGGAGATTAACAATCCGCCAGATGTCCTTCTGACAGGAGACAAGGATTTAGATAACGCAGTATTGCAATACAACACTGCTTCTCTTAAGTTAACCCCAGTAAGTACCAAGAAGAACGTGGCCAAGCTGAGTGAGACCGACAAGCTGAAGAGTGGCGAGTTATTCACGACGGTCAAGAAAGTTGTTGAAGACGTGACTTTCGAAGAGGAAGACACGCAGACGGTGTACCCAAGGGACGATGATTCCACAGCCTACCCAAAAGACAACGACAAAGACGACGACGACGACGATGATGATGATGATAATAATAATAATAATAATAATGATCACGAATCCGACGAAGTCGAAGAGCAGAAGCTGCCTCCAACCACCCCTCCTCCTCCACAGAAGACCCCGCGTCTGCGCTCCATCCCGGTCCGTCGCTCCTGGCCGCGCAACCGCACCTCCGAGCGCGGCCGCCTCTACCGCTCCTCCTTTTCCTGGCGCCGCCGCCACTCTTCGCTCCCCGGCTCTTCCAACCGAACCGCGGAAGCGGCCAGACGCCGCCGCGAGTGGCGAGAACGGCGAGAACAGCGGCGCGCGGCGCGCTCTGAACGCAGCCGGTCGCTTCCGTACTCGAACGCGAAGTGGAGGACGGTGCGGCAGCAGCGCGAGCGGCTGGATCTGTACGCGAAGCCCGGGTCTGCGGAGTTCCGACGCGACGCGACGCGGCACATTCTGAACTACGCAGAACGCGGAGTCTGCGCGGAAGGACGGTGCCGAAAGTTCGTAGGCGGCGTGGAAGTGCCGTACGACTACGCCACGGAGTGTAGGAGCGGGTTTCTCGTTTTCCACAGGGAGGTTCTATCCGGAGAACGTGGACGTGACGCTGATCACGATCGTTTCGTAGGATTCGGCGCGCGGAGAATGATCTGCAGACTGAACCGATTCCAGTTCGTCGACTCCTATCTCCATCAATGGGGAGGGTGGGTTCTCCGTTTCCCCTTTTGTGTGTAGACCGATGTGCATCGTGGTGTGGGTGCACGATTACGAGCGCGATGAAATCCTCGCGCGGCTGCCCGCGCTGCAAAACCCGATCAATCTCACCATGATCTTGTACGAGCCCACCGACGACGACCTCGATTACTACGATTTCCCCATTAACAAGCTGCGGAATCTGTGCATTCGCAACATCCGCACGTCGCACTTCCTCACGCTCGATCTCGACATGTGGCCCACTCGTCTCGCTGTTTCGCGGTTTCCACTGTAGAAACCATGTACCAACAGCTCGTCAATCTCCCGAGCTCCATCCTCGACTCGCCTCACAACGCCGTCGTCATCCCGCCCATCTTCTACAACTCCGCCCAGATGGCTTCGCATTGCCGCTCCCTCGCTAGCTGCATCTCTCTGTAGATCCCCGCGGTTGTGCCTCACGCGCAGAAGCCAGAAAAAGGCGCCGAAAACGCAGAAGGAAGCGGAGGAATGCGTGCGAAAAAAGCTCTGTTTGCTCTCCAAAGAAGGCGGCCATGCGCACGTAGGCTAGGGAGTGGCGTAGTATGTAGATGCTGGTTACGAAGAAGTGGTTTAATTTCCCGGAACACAAAAAAGTCGCAAAGATTAAATGTTTCCCTTACCAGCTGCAGGAGCCGTAGCGACCACGCGGAGATTGACAGATAGGTATGTAATGCTGAAATACACGGAGAATACGCCGTTGTATGACGAAAGGTTCGTGAATTATGGGTACAACAAGATCCAGTTTATCGAGCAGCTGAAGTACTATCGTAAGGAACGGAGGGCGGATGGGAAGTCTAGTTGACGCGTTTTACATTCTGCTGCACGAGTTTGCTGTGGATGCATATCATACCAAGTATGTATGGAGGGAAGGGTGAAACGCAGATCCCCGCAAGCGAAGGAGTTTAAGCGATCGATTAACTCGTCGCAAAAGCCGGCAATGGACGTGCTGTGGGGTATTTTCCGATCGGAGCTTCGCACGGCGATGCTTCGCCAGAGGAAGAAGATTCGAAGCTGTTCTGTGATGAGAGAAATGTATGCGTAGATCTGTTTGTTTTGACAGTCTTTGGGATCCCACACTTTGCTAGAGTTTTGAAACAAATCTTGCTTGGTTGGAGTATTTTTTGTGATGCAGCCGCAGGAAGGAGTCGAGACGATTAAGATTATAAGCAGCGACAACAAGGAGTTTGTTGTTGAAAAGAAGATCGCGTTCATGTCCGAATTAATCAAGCATTTGTATGACGTCAGTCCCGAAACATCAAGAGAGATCGTCGTTCCGGATGTGAGCGGCGATATTCTCGGTCGTGTGATATTGTTCTGTTTCCTTTTCGTGTCCCGATGATTCAAAGGTTCACATCACTGCGATAATCCCATGCCCGAGATTGAGAAGCCTTTGAAAAGTAACAAGATGGAGGAGAATGTGGACAAGTGGGATGCAGATTTTATAGACCTGGAGGATTCTGTACTGTACCAAATTGTTACTGCATCGAACTACCTCATGATTCAATCCCTCCTTGACTTAGCATATCCATAGTGTCTTGTTTCTTTTTTGATTGTAGCAGAGAGCAGTTCCTTCACTCCCAGTTGTGCCAAGATCGCTTCATATATTAAGGGAAAGTCCGCGGAGGAGATTCGCCAGCACTTTCACATTGAAAACGACTTCACAAAGGAGGAGGAGGAAAGAGTATACCAGCAGACGCTCCTAAACACTAGATACGGCAAGACAACAAGTGGGCAGAAGAAATGTGTTCTCTTTGTTCCAACAAACAAGTTTCTTCATTTAGTCGTGTCGTCCGTAAATCTCGTGGAGGTCCTTCACGTCGATCGCGCCGATAAATCTCCAGCCCTCCGGCTTAATCAGGTATACTGCCTCTCAGCGCTCTCCGCTGCATCCTACCGTTGTTGATTCCTCCGCTCATCGCATCGCGGTGCGTGGCGTGGTAGATCGCGCGTCGACCGAGATCAATCGCTTCATCATCTGTGCGTGAGCGTTACCTGCCAAAAAGAAGAAACCCGTCATATCGTAGTGATAGAGCTGATCGAGCACGGCGTACGCGTACGAGCTTCCAGAGCCCACCGAGAAGTAGCTGCGCTTCTCGTCCGCCTTTAAGCGCGTTCCATCATTATCCACATAGAAAATCTGCGGACCCGTTTTGTCCCAGCCACAAATCATGGTTCCCACGCTCAGACCGTAATCCTTGTAGTGATATAAGAAATCGGACAAAATCTTGCTGGCGGCAGCCACGGAGATTCGCTCTCCGTTTCTGAGTTCATATAATCTGTTCCTCACGAAACAAAGTATTCACAAACCGTGCTTCCACTCCCATGCGTCTCTCCCAGAAATAGCAATCAGCAGCGCCTCCTGCCATCGTTCCCAGCAGGAACGGGTTGATCTCGATGACTTTGTGAACGGAGTTGGATGCTACGACGTTAGATCTGCCAACCGCTCCCCACCGATAAATTGCCCCTGTGTAGCTCGCGAATCGACTGATACAATCACTCCTCCCTGAAATTTAAAGGCAAGGGTGGTAGTTCCCTTGCAGAACTTTACCATTTGATGACTATCCTCATACTCAGCTCCGAAGTTGCTTTTTGTGTACTGTGAACAGTTAGGAACATTAGGAAGCAAGAAGGCGTTTCCATGCAGGTCTTCTCTCAGTTCCTGTTCCTTCTTTGCGTACTCTCCAGGAAATGTAATCGGCATTGAATGATCAATAAGAAGTGAAGCCATGCCGGCACCCGCGGTTTTCCCCGTCTTCTGACGGCCCGCCCGATCGCTTTTCAATCAAACAGAAAACAACACTATAGCACAATTATTATTGCAATAGACAACTATGTGATGCCATGGCCGCGGTTGTACCTCGGAGCCTTCAACAAATCGGGCAAAAATTTGTCCTGCAGAGCATTGAACATGTACTGCGCCTTCCCTGTGTTCTTTTCCGCGTTCATAATGCGCGTTCCATAGCCTCGAATCAAATCCAAGTACCACTGGATCGAATCATTGCCGATGATGTTGGCAAAGCCCATGGCGCGCACTTCCGAGAGCGAAACCAGCATTCCGGTCCGGTCCTTTCCACTCTTGCACATCACCGTAATTCCGGCATGGAACTTCTTGGCCAAGTCTGGACATGATGATCTCCATCCCGCTCGCCTACCCAAGAACGCGAGAATCAAATCGACGTTCTTCAGCACCTTCGACTCCAGCATCCGCTTCACGCTCTACGATGCACCCGCCTCCCGAGCTCTACGCGCAATTCTTCGGAAACCGCGGGGAACTGCGCGTTAATGGCGTCGATGTCCAGCGTCTGCGAGCAGTCGTAGTTCTTGAAGATGTACTGGAAGAAGCGCGGCATGTGGATGGTGGTCCCCGCGGGACTGTCGGGCGCGTTGTAGAGCGCGATGGAGAGGGGTCGGAGCCGGTCCTTGGAGAGAAGCTGGACCTCGTAGAGCAGCAAATCGCGGAAGCAGATGCGGTTGATGTTGTTCTCGATGGTGATGTTCTGCTGGGAGATCAGGTCGCTGATGGTCTGGTTCACGTCCACGCCCTGCGGGTGAGAGAAAAAAAGAAGCGGGAGCACGATGGAGGCGAAGAAGGGGATCACGTGGATGGTGAGGGAGTGCAGACGCGACGTGTTGATGAAGTCGAACTCCGTCATGTGCAGATGCTGCGGCAGCGCCGTGACCACCACGGGGATCACCAGCTTCCCGCCCTCCACCTTGAAGTCGGGCTTGTAGGACACTTCCAGCTTCGCTCGCTAGGCGTGAGCAGAGAGAGCAGAGAGCAACGCGCTTGAGCGTGATCTTGAAGACCACCGAGCGCAGGCAGTACACCGAGACGAACGTGTCCAGGATCATCGCCTTCTCCTTGTTGTACATCGACAGCAAGCTCAGATACATCATCTGCGTCGCATCTCGCCGCCACGCCTACCGGATAGCCGTGTCTCCGCCACTGCACGAACGTCGGCTGGTCCCAGAACCGCGACTGGCAGGACCGCAGCAGCGTGGTGAGCTACGCCTCAGCCTTTCTGCTCTTTCTTCCCTACATCGTGGATGAACGAGGCGGCCAGGATCGCGATCCCCTGCGACGTCGACAGGTCGAATCGCTCGCGGATGCGGATCCCGAGCGTCCGGTTCTTGTCCAGCAGGCTCGGCTTGGCCGGCTTTTCCGCGTCCGCGTCGGGGTCCGGGCAGGGCACGCGGCGGTCGCGCAGCCCCTTCAGCTGGAGCAACAGGTCGAAGAGCCCGCCCTCGGAGAAACCCAGCGCGTAGGCGTTGGGCGTCCCGCAGGAGAGAACGGAGAAGTAGGGAATGGGCTGAGGGAGGAGGCTCTCTGCGAGTGAGCGGAGCACAAAGGAAGGGACCGAAGATGGCCTCGAAGGAACCCTCGAGGATGTAGCGCGGCGAGACGAAGAGCTCGTTGATGTGGAGGTTGGTGGGGATCAGCGCGCACTCCTCGACCTTCTTCATCGTGCTGGGCTTGAACGTGAAGTTGTGCACCTTCCGGTCCGCGTGCTGGTTGCTCTCCAGGCGCCGCTTGTGCACCTCCAGCTTGTCCAGGCAGCTCTACGCTCGAGGTTCTCCGTTTCCACGACCTCGTAGAAGTGCTGGCTGTTGATGAAGTCGCGCGAGCGAATCAGCAGGTCGTCCATGGTCTGGAACTCGTGGTGCCGCAGCTGGAAGTTCGCGATGTTCTTCTGCTGGTTGTGCAGGCGGCGCAGGTCCTCCGTCTCGTGGTTCCACAGCGACTGCGCGTAGCGGCAGTACGCGGACGGCATGTCGAACGCCGTGCTACGATCGACGCCGCGCCCAGCACCCACTCCGTCTCGTTCATGCTCTCCATCACGTGCGCCAGCGACGTCTTCCCGGGCTCGGGCGGGTCGCAGCCGAACAGCACGCGCCCGTTGTGCCCGCTGCTGTCGAACACGAACTCCTTCACGAAGAACCGGCCCTCCACGCGCGGACGCACCGTCATCAGGAACACGCCCAGCGTGTACTTCTCCTTCCGCTTCTCCCGCAGCGCGTGCAGGTTCCGAAAGTCCAGACTGCCCACCGGCACCGAGCTTCACGTCACGCGCAGAATCCTCGCCCACCCGTACAGATCGAAGCTCGTCGACAGCTCCGACGAGTTCGACACGCCGCTCAGCTCCTCCTCCGCGTGAGAGTCCTCCGCCGACCGCACGGCGAAGTCGCGCTGGCTCGCCCGTCTGGAGAGCGCGGACTCGCGCAGCGACGCGGGACTGAGCTCGCCGGGGTGGTCGAGCGAGCCGCCCGTGCTGAGATAGGGCGTGTCGGAGAGTTGGCCGTTGCGCCGGATGCAGTAGCGCATGGAGGGGAGCTGCAGGAGCGAGTTGAGCGAGAGCGACTCGGCGAAGAGCACTTTATTGTACTGCGATGAACCGCCGGCCGGCCATTCCCTACCTTGTTCTTCATGTACACGCGGCTGTTGCTCTCGTTCGTCCCGATGCACTCGAACTGCAGCGTGATGTCGCGCAGCGCCCCGCGCTCGCCCCGCGCCGCCGACCGCTCCGTGAGGAAGCGCTGCAGCCGCCCCGTGGGCGAGAGCGACCCGCCGTCGGACACGCCGAGCGGCAGCGGGATCACGATGCAGCAGTTGAACAGATAGCCCTTCTCGCAGGGCAGAATCGGCGTGACCTCCGTCTCGCCCGCCTCGCGCCAGTCGTTCCGCAGCCCGCCGCGCGCGTGGTACTGGTAGCTGCAGCGCACGAACACGCTCTGGTAGCGGCCGAACAGCTTGTACGTGTTGCTCAGCCGCACGAACACCGCCAGCGAGATCTACGCAACACGCCCCGATGTCGCGAGCTACCGAGCACGGCAGCGACCGCCCGCAGCGATCCTGGATGCTGATGTCCGTCGCCGCGTCGGGCGACTCCACGGACGACTCGGTGGTGCGCTCGGAGAGCTCCGGCTCCTCGTGGGTCATCGAGGTCGACGACTGGCTCATCTCGGCATGCGCGTTCTCCAGCAGCGGCCGCGTCTGCGACGTCAGCGACGTCAGCGACGTGTCCGACAGGCCAGACGGACCGCTCAGCGAGACCGAGCGGATGCTGAGCGCGATGCTGTTGCTGCGGTCGGACTTGGTGCCGTCCTCCTCGGAAGAGGCCTCGCCGTCCGCCGAGCGCGGCACGACCGAGTCGAAAATCGACCGGAGCGACTGGTTGGGCTGCGAGGACGCGCCCACCGAGCGCGAGGACAGCGTGTCGTCGTATTTGTACTTCAGGTGTGGCTCCGTGTAGAAGTTCAGGTCGCTCTGGTAGATGGGGTTGTCCTCGATCTGCCCGATCGTGTCGATGATGTAGTGAAACCGCGGGGAAAGGCCGATCTTGTCGAGAAGGCGAGTGTAGAGCGAGCCCTCGTTGGCCGTCGACGAAGAATGCGTCGACTAGGCCTCAGAAAGGAGAAACGTGGAAACATAGTCTTTGATGAGAACGAGGAGAATGACGTTCGATCCGATGGGGAACAAAATCAAAGCGGAGAGCGTGAAAATGGGATCCAAGGTGCTCCAAATCATCAATCTGCGCTTGATTCCACCACAAAAGCATAAAAACGCAGAAAGCAAAATGCGGATACACAGAATCACGAGAAGCAGAAACGTGTTCGTGATGATCAGAGCGATATTCTTCGCGATCACGAGCCGAATCTACGCATGACTCTGCGCGGACATGGCTCCCACGCTGCAGCAAACGTCCTGATAAACCATTTTCAATTTCCAAATGATGTGGTTGCAGGATAGCAAACAGAGCACCGAAATCATAATGTTGCTCACAATGTAGATCGATTCGGAGAGATCGAACCATTCGGGATCGAACTAGCGATTACACACACATTCCACACTGCGACTCTTCGAATGTATCCGTAGAGACACAGAACAAAATAGCATAAATACACGACGATGCAGCAGACTACGCACACTTTCACCACCTTCTTCCTGAGTCGAACTAGGTAATCGGTGAAGTAGCGCATCATATGGAAAAGAACAGTCACCTGCATGCCCAGTTCCAAAGTGCGGTTGATTAAGAGAAAGAGCTGACTACGATCAGAATCAACAATAAAATTTACAGCTCGCCCGAAAATGATTTGTGGCGGTTCAGGATAGAAAACATTATCCCCGTCAGAATGCTTAGCATGTAAAACACAAAGAACCTATCGTTCACCCGTCTGCAATTAGAGATACATTTGTCTGTGTCGGTTGTTCTTAATGACAACAGATCGCAAGCATATCTATGCGTCATTCCGAAAACCAAAAGTGTACGATTCCTGCAACAAGCAATACTCCATAGAGAATGATGCTCGTTATAAAAACAAAAAATGTAATTCTTGATTCACTTTCCTTGTCCAGCATCTACATGTCGTTTTTGGTCCTACACGGCTACAGTAACGTATATTTGCTTGGTGTATGCCAGGCCCCCTTGGCACAACAGCAATGACGAATGAAGAATGAAGCCATTAACTCCACCGCGGTTATTCCCTGTCTTTTGGTGAAGTACAAAAAAGTGAGTGCAGAAATCGTACTTTAATATACAAGGGACGTAGGAACCCAATCCTTTTCCATCATTACAATTGCCATATGTTGATACTTCGGCTCTCATCACCTCCTAAGCATGAAAATATTCCTAATACCGAGAGAAAATGATGCTCTCATGTTGTAGACAAATAGTATTTTGTGCCTATTCAGTTGTCTCGCTATTCACAACGGATGAAGAATCTCCATGATGTCTAATGACACGAATGCGTTTAATTATTGGTGTAGAGATCAATTCTATATTCCAAAGCTGGATCCCGAGTTGTGTATGTGTGTAAATCATATTCATAGAATGTTTGCGAGCATAGTTTTCAAGGGAATCACAACAAGCGTTGGGTGGGAACACATTTAATAACTCCAAATGTGGAAATCGAGTGTCCTTGTGATGGTGAACAAACATCTCTCTAAGAAAACTGTTCAGATTGCGTTACATAATCCAATTCCTTCGAAAAACGCTGCAGATTTGTATCGTTGATCTTCCCCTTCCATTCCGACCAAGGGTGTCGTTAAGAGCCCCTTCACCTCCCTTTTAAAGGATATCATCGTATATTTGTCATTGTAGTACTTCGCAATCGAGGCAATCAACGTACATCGACTGGACCCCACCGGATCGACTTTCGGTTCCTCGATTTCCATCATTCGCATCAAAGCTCTCCAAACCCTGCCATTGATTTCCCCATCTTCGCTGAAGTAGTCAATGATGTCGAGCAAACTATTCACCGCGTCTCGCTGCTTCAAAAGCGACTCAAACCCGTTCAGAAGGAACGTATCCTCGATTTCGATCCCATTACTCCGCATGAAATCCGTCAGCGCCACAAACGAAGCCTCCGTCAAACCGCTCGATCGAACCGCGGGGGAAAACAAACTCGGATCCAGCGTTTCCTCCTCTCTCGCCTGGTCCCCGCGGTTCGACGCATCGGTCGCGATCCTCGCCGCGTTTGCCGCGTTTATCTGATCGATTCTTCGATTCAGCAGTCCAAAAATCCGCGATTCCTCCGTTTCGCGCTACGCTCAACTCGGCATTTCTCGCCCACCTCCAAGATTTTCCCGAGCCATTCCTCGCTGACCCGTCCCTGGGTCTCCAGGAGCGTCAAAACCCGTTCACACAGCGCGTCCTTATTGCGCACGACGTCCTCGGAGCAATCATACGCGCTACGCTTCACTCGTCCTTCGCCGGCCTCTACAGCAGCGCAAACGACACCAGGTAGCTCTGCAGAAACTCGTTCGTGTAGCTCGCGTTGTACTTCGCCAGATACGCCGCCGTGGCGGGCTCGTCGTGGCTCGCGATCGCGGTCAGCAGCTTGTACGGGAGCGCGATGTTGAACTTGCAGCGCTCGCCGATGGCCTGAATGTAGCGGAACAGCGCGTCGTACAGCTGCTGCCGCTGCGGCGCGGCGATGCCCAGCTGCACGTTCAGCTTGGACGCGTTGACCTCCTTCAGCACCTTCATGAACGACGTGAACTTGATGGGAATGGCCGAGCTCGCGCAGAAGTGCAGGACGTCCACGCAGAGCGCGTACTCGCCGTTCTACATCGCATCGCTTCGCCGTCGCGGCTCTACGCGGATCGACAGCACCAGAAGCTTCTCGCAGAGCGTGCGGTCCAGCTCGCTGGTCCCTTCTTCCTCCGCCGTCTTCCCCAGCAGCGCTTTGTACCGGTCCTGCACGGCCTCCCAGACGCAGTCCTCCTGCCCTACGTCCAAGCCGAAGCGGGAGGCTACGGTAGAAGCACTGCGCGCCCAGCGTGCTGCGGATCAGAGCCGGCAGATACGGACACGACGCGTCCAGCTCGTGGAACACCAGGCTCTCCAGGATGTTGAACTCGCGGAAGTGTCCGTCGAAGAGAAGACGCTGCGCCTAGATTAGAAACGGGCCAAAGAACCACGATCGGGACGAATTCTCCCATGTGCACGTAGAAGCGGTTGTTGGCGTCGTTTGCCTGGACTGCAGTTAAATAGGCAGGGAACTGGTGAATAATCGAAAGGAGAGCGTCTTTTCGAGACGCGAGAGCGAGCAAAATGTTCAAGGAAGCTGATTGGAGAACGATTTCTGCGTGAAAACAAACAAACCGCAGGACGTACCGTTGCGGAAGATTTTCTTCCAAAGCGATAGAATGGACTGTGTTGTGTCGTAAGACATGTAGAACGAGGACGATGTGTTCGAGGAAACGCATTGTCGATTGTAGATGTCTAGAAGAAGCGAATAGGCCAGCGGATCCTTCTCGTTCTCTGAAGTTTATTTTTTAAAAAATCGACTAGAACCGTTCACTAAACGCTCCATAAACTGAGAAACGTTCGAAGCGATGACCGGACTGCGACCAAGCAGGTCTTGGAAGCAATTGATCACGGATTGACGCTTCTCACTATTCTGATTGTATCGACGAAGTCGGCTATTCTCTTTGGAAGGCTTCTCTTTCAATGCTGACCGATAGAGCTTGCGACGCAATTCAAACGCTAGAAAATAATTAAATGCTTGTGCACAAATGAATACAAACTGTTGAGTTTTCACTTGAGAAAACGTCCTGGATACAAAGTTGGTGAGTGTCACCCGGAAACAGCGGGTCTATATGAAACGATGCATTCAATCATCACTTCCTGCACATAATCCGAGAATACGACTGTCAAGTGCTAGAGTTCATCTTCCTATCCCATCAATACGATATTCCTTTCTCCCCTCTTCACTTTTACACTCTGTTATTTCCTATTCTCAAATCAGAAGTACATATAAAACACTATTCTCCGAACTTGCTGGACTCTCCGTAGAATCCGAAAAGAATCTTGAATATGGTTTATTAAGAGACGTGGTAAGCCCCAAAACTCTATTTCCAGAGGTTTCCAACGATCTCAACTACAAATCACTTCTATCTCTCAGATTCTCACAATCGCTGAAGAACGACCGCGAAATGACATCCTCAGACAGCGAATCATTTTGCGGCAATCTCTTTTTAAAACAAACAACTTACAACATCATAAATTGACTATTCTTCGTCGCAAACATACTTCTCGAGTCCAAATGGAACCGAATCAAACTGCGAGAGATCCTCCACAATCTACCCATCATCCCTCATCTCCTTTCTCTCTCACTTGGCAGGCTCCGTCAAACTTCGACAAGTCGCTTCCAGGAAAGGCAATCGCGACGACTTTCATTCCGGCTGCAAGACCTCCCTTCACTCCCAGCGGAGAGTCTTCGAACACGATACAGTGCTCTGGAGGAATTCCGGCGATCGACGCTGCCTTTAAGAAAATGTCCGGAGCGGGCTTTCCATTTTTAACATCCTCAGCCGTCACGATCGCTTCGAAACGATCGATCATTTCCTGAAGATGGGCCAAATCGAATCGAGCGTACCTTGTGAGGAGCCAGCTTGGATCCAATTAAGGAACGAGGAGTTGAGGTTGCCATATATTGCTTCACTCCGTGTTCAAAGAAGAAGCGAGTCAACGACTCGGCTCCTCTCAGCTTCTTGAACGTGGGGGCAGCTTTCTTCATCCCTTCGACGTACCGATTTGCCTACACGATAAACCGATCCCTGAAAAATAGAACAAAGTCCTCGGGATCAATCAAGCCGTCCAATTCTGCTTTGTCCATCATCCATCGAACCCACAACTCCGTTGGCATTCCACAAATCAAGCTGTGATTCGCACTATATCAGAAAACGGTCCCAGACTGCATACAATTCGATCTCTCTTGCTCCAGGCTTCACAGATTCCATAATATCCGCAATGATATGCGAGGACTGCGTTTCCGTGTCAAGAAGAGTACCGTCGCAATCCCAGATGATGCACAAGGGTTCTTCCGCAGAATGGTGGTGAAAGGCAGACATCAGAAAAAAGAGTGTGTGTTCAACAAAGAGAGCAAACCGAAAATAAATCTCTGAGTTCGCGAATTTTCCATTCGGGAGTGAACGCTCGACTTGAAAGAATCTCCCTAATTCGACTCAGGGGAAACTTGTGCTTCTCCACGATCGGAATCAGCTTGTCTACTTCAATAAACTGATCTATTTTATCTTCTCGCTGTCGATTAAGCAATTCCACAACCTTGTATTTTAGAAACTAGAGATAAAAAAGATTCACTAGCAACACCAGAATCTCTTTATAGCGCGCTTTGTATGTCCGCATACGCATCAGCTTCTTGAAATCACTTTCCAGGCGTTGATCAAACTCCTTATCCATCGTTTTGAGGTCTTCGATGACGGGTGGTTTGGTATCATCATTTTCACTTTGATTCAAAACAACGAGCCCTCAAATACATGATGGTCATCATTTCGTTCAGCGACTTGGCCATTTTCTCGTCCTTCTTTAATCGGCGACCGATGTGGCGAACATTGTCAATCAAGCGAACATGCGAAGTCAGCGAGTTCGAATGAATGATTCCGCTTACAGTCTCGTTTACCTCCCTCAACTACATCAAAAAAGTAAGACAATCCAATAGCAATTTATATTTAAAAATTTTAAACAGAAACATACCATTTCAAGAGCTGGCTGGTCCTGGACGCTCTGCGAAGCCTGGGCTCCATTGCGCAATTCGACGAAGCGAGTTGCCAGCATTTGTATATAGGATTGGTACTAGAGTCGCATCTCCAATAAAATCAAACGATCGAATCCTTCGTATCGTATGTCATTTGATCAAAAGCCAATGGAGGGAGGCCACATTCCTCCAAAAAAGAATTAATGCTCGGCTGCAAGGCGAAGCTGCTTTGGTATTTTTGCGGATCTTCCCCGTTTGTAAGAACATCGAGGGAGGAAGAGTCGGAATCATCGGAAGATGGAATCACCGCCAACTGCATTTGGTTTTTTGCCGGTCTGTAGGGCGCATACTGCGGAATGGGCACAGAGGAACGATTGATCGGTGGAGCCTGTGCCGCTTCTGGAATGGGTTGAAATGATGGAGTATAGTAGTCAGAGAAATTCATGTGAACATCCAGCTCGGGATTGAGTGGCCGTGGCTGCGAAAGCGGGCGACTCCTTTGAAAATAGTCTTGCCGCTCCTCCATCGGCGGGATGTCGGCATCGCGAGCTTGATCGAAGCGAATTGCTTTTTCAAAATCCTATCCTCTCACATCCAGCCAGAATCCGTCCTACTCCAAGGCGAGAAGTGTTTGAGACGGAAGAAAACGAGATATCTAGAGTTCATGATGTACAGTGTCCCAACTGTCAAACAGCTCTTCGGCCGGTTCCATCCCACCCAGATTATTCATTTGCCAACAAACACTCCTCACAACAAAAAGTAGACTAATTCAGCGGTGCGAACATATCTCCCTGCGCCGCGTCCGTCTGCCACGGTACCGGATAGTCCAGCGCGCTCTCCACAGATTTCGCCTTCTTCGCCGATGAAACCTTCACATAGCGCTTTCGCGTCTTCCCCGCGCTCGTCCTCCCTTCCCGCAAGCTCTTCTGCAGTTTATCCACCGCGAGCTTCTCAAAGCGCCCCTTTATCGAGTTGATCGCCAGCATCATGCATCGGTCCTGCAGTCCGTCCTGCAGTCCGTCCAGCGGTCGCTCCATCGGAATCTGGTTCCCCTGCATGATTTCCAGATACTTCTTGTTGAATGCCGCCTTCACCTCGCTGTCGGGCTCGGAGCCCGATATCACGTCCTGCACGCGCCGCAGCGTCACAGTCGCCGCTTTCTGCGTCTCGAAAAGCCGGCGGAGGAACGGAAACACGATGCGATTGCGACAGTTCGATTTCACGCCTTCGACGTCGTTCGCCTTTGATTCAGAAGCAGAACCCGACGGACTACCAGCTCGTAGTCTTCGATCGACGTGTTCTCCGATCCCTGCACCGGTAATGGCGCGAACAGTCCGGTCTGACTGAAGTGAATTGCGTCTTCGGGACGGACCGAGAGCGGCTCGAGCGTCGCAGGGGCCGTGAGATTCCCTGGAATCAGAGGCAGACCCTTCGATTCGTGCTGAATCTGAAGGAGCTCTGGATCGTCGTCAAACAGATAGCCGCGCTCCGCTAGCTTCAAAACAGTATCGCGGTAGAGCAATTTAAAACTGTTTGAGGAAATGTCGAGATTGTACTTGCCCTTCATATGGCAAAGCGAATCTAGAAATTCTTTATGAACCGGGTTCTGAGCGATCACGTCGATAGCCACGTTCTAGGTTACAGCATGTTCCCAACCCTACTTTAATGATGGAACCCACGAAGCTCGTATGCTTGGGAACCTGGTATTTTAATTCTTTATCACTTTCTTTAGCCATGTCTTCAATCACAAATATTAAAACATCCCTTAGGGACGAGTATAAAGTATCGCCGAGCTTTGATATTTTTAGCTGATTGCCAGTACCAAAGTAATGTAGATCTCCTCTGGAATAAGAAAAATCTACATCACACGACCTCCGGATAGGATACCCATGTCTCTGTTGCCGTTTTGGATTCGTTCGACCATGATGTTCAACATTTCGTTGATGATCCCCAAAGTCTCGTCACTGAGTCTACAAATATCATATTTTTCCTTCCGTGTCGCTTTTTGATACGGCATTCACAACTGAGCCATATATTAAAAATTGTGGTTGTTTTGGGCAGTCGAAAAACAATCCTTAGCTCCCTCGTTTCACAACAAACACGCACAATTTGTACACACAACAGCAGCGTGCCGGCTGCCGGAACTAGACCAACTCCACCTGCACGCAATCCTCCAGAGAGAAGCTATTCGCCACGATGTCCGACAGCTCCTTCAATTCCTCCTCCTCCACCGGATTTCCTTTCAATTACGCTTCCTCACGACCCCTACCTCGCATACAGAGGTAGAACTTCTTCGCCTTGTTCTGCACGAAGTGATTCAAAATGTGAAACAGTCCCGTCGACGACAGCATGGTTTCTACGTTTCCACTCTCCCCAACGCGCTACGATCCACCAGCACGTTATGCAGCGACGGCAGCAGCGCGAACACATCCAGCAAATTCGCGATGCTGTTATCCGTGATTTCGTTCTCTATTTCGCACAATCCCCGCGGTTCTACCGCTCAGATTCAGCACCCGGACCGGGAGCACGTGCCCCGCGTCATGCAGCGCCCGCAGCGAGCGCGCGAGCGCGTCGATGGCGGCGTCGGAGAGCGAACAGCCGGTGAAATTGAGCGTGTCGATGGCGTCCGCGTACTGCGCGTAGAACTGCGCGAGGAAGAACGCGAGTCCCGCGTCGCCGATGGGGTTCCCTGCTCGTCAGCGGAGAGAGAAAACAAAGAGAAGGCTACGCGTCGTGCTGCAGTCGAAAACGAAGCCCTGCGCGCGCAGCGATCGCAGCTCCGCCAACAACAGGCGGTACCCCGCTTCCGAGAGCCGGTTCCCTGCGTCTCAATCGGAGAAACCGGGGAAACCTTCCAGGTTCAGGAACGAAAAACCGGGGAAACCGGGGAAATCGGAGCGGTGCGCGGCGAGCGTGCGGAGCAGGCGGAGCAGCGAGGGAACGTGCGAATCGTCCAGGTTGCACTCTAAATCTCAGCGAATCGCACCGGAGAAACCGATCAGAGAGAGGCTGGCGAGGCGGCCGCAGCGTCCGTAGGCCACGTAGCGACGCAGAATCGCGGAAACCAGATGAAACGCCCCGCCGCTCAGATCCACGTTTTTCAGGACGATTTTCTCCACGGTGTTCACGCAGTTCGCTACGGCGAGGCTGAAATAGAGCTGCAGACACGCGTCGGATACCGTCTCTACGCTCTCAGCCGATCCGTCTGCATTACCGCGAATCTCGAGATTGCGTAGGGAACCGGCCTCGATGCGCTCCTCTAACCGCTCTATAATGGATTGTTCCCCGCGGGGCATGAGGGAGGCCTGCGTGGCGCCGGTGACGAAGTTAATGAGATTGTTCTCGTGGAGGTGGATGGAGAGCAGCGTGGACGCGATATCCGTGCCGAACCGGCAGTCTGCCATTCAAATTAACGCGAAAGGCCCACTGAGGAGGAAGACTTGGCGGAGGTCGGGGAAGCAGTTGTGCTTGAAGAGGAGGAAAAGCTGGCTGACGCCTTCGTTGCCGAGCGGGTTGTCTGCGTTTGAGTCGAAGGAGAGAGAAGAGAAGTACTGCTGAGGTCGAGGACGCGCAGGTCGGGGAAAATGAAGGCTTTGGAGGCGCTGAGCGATCCGAAATGGAGTTGGTTGGTGAGGTAGGTGATCTGATTGGGACCCAAATTGTTCCCTTGCAGACGCAGCTCGCGCAGTTTGAGGTGCGGGTTGTCGATGAATAAATCGACGAACCGCGTGAAGCCGTCGTTCCCGATGCCTGCGACTAGACGTGAGGGGCGAAGAGAGAGAGAAACAAGAGAAATCGATGCATTGAATGGTTTGCGGCGTGTCTTTCGATCGCTCCAATTCCTCCAAGAACGCCATCGCTTGTTTGTTCGCGTGGAACTCGTCTACACAATGAGACCCCGCTCCAGGACGCACAGCGTGTTGGCCTTCCCTCCTTCGAAGCTACGTCTCGAACACCATTCCCATTACCATCATCAACAACATCATCAACATCAACATCATTATCATCATCTTCTTCTTCTGATAGTATGCGATATCCGTTCAGTCGCTTCAGCTGATTCCAATTCGCTTCCTGAATCGCTTTTAACTCCTCCATATCGGTTTCATCGCCGCGTTCAGCTTCGTTTGCCGCCTCTTTCCGAACCATTCCGTATTCGTCCACTTGCACGATCGACCGCAGCGGCTTTTGCAGGCTCTGCGTTTCGTGCATTGGGTGCAGTTGAAAGAGCTGCTGAATCGGGCAGCGCCGCAGCGATCGCGTCTGCTCATCGATCTCGCGCGTGTAGAGCGACTGCAAATACTCGCGGATGGGAGTGAGCGCGCGGCCCGGGCTTTGATCTCTGGGAGAACGCGTGGAACGGAAGGTGGGATCGTAATCGAGTCGTTGTTCAAACTGAGCTTCGTGGAGCCCCATTTCGTCGAATTCTACGCGTTAGCAAGCAAGCAAGCAAGCAAGCAAAGACGAACTCTTCTTCAACGCTAACTGCTCCATCTTGCTCTCTTGCAGCATGCTCCGCATTTCGCTGAGAGAGTTCTGAAGATACGCATACTTGTTGACCAAAAGTTGAGCCGTGTTCTCGAGCTTCGCGGAATGCTCAGTACAACGGTCTATATAGGATATCGCATCGTCGATGACATCCAAAGGGAAGGGCTCCTTGGAACTTTCCTGTACTTTGTTTATTACATAATCAGCGTGACGGACAAAAGAACTGGAATCCTCATAGTCGTGGGCCAAATTGTCGAGCCAAGTGTTCAATTCTAACAAAACAATATCGACATCCTTGAGTTTCTGAAAAGCATTTCGAAACACGTCGATACAGCTCTCCGTTTTAATGCCATAGTAGGCGAGCGTTTTATCATTGTCCAATATTATAGTCTCAAAACTTACAATAATGTAATCAAACTCGATATCAAGCTGATCCTAGAAGTCACCCATCCGGCAAGCACCAACACTAAGAACTTCTTTCAGTTGTCTAACCGTAAATAAGGAAGGAATGTCCAGAGTATAGGTTTGGGTCCCGTAGATAATAAAAACGCTGATTGAATAGGTTTCCATCCCCGAATTAGCCTCAAAAAGCAGTCCAAAAAATGAATATGCAAACATTCCGTTACCCCGATTTCCGGAATTCCAAAAGTTGGGTTCAACAAACAGTTTCTTACAAGAACTTCTCCAAATTCAATTCCAGAGCCGAGCCCGGGTAGCGAAGCTCGAAATTCTTGATCACCTGAGGATGCAGCACTCCGAAGTGGCCGACGACCTCCTCCTTCTCTCCATCAATGATCACAATGTCGCAGCAGCGTCCCGGGAAGAAGGCTCCGTACTCTCCCTCCCGGATATAGTACTGCTTCCGTCCCTCGGCCACCTCCTCGGCCACTCCGCTGTACCGCGGCGCAGGCGCGACATCGAGCAATCGCATGAGTCTGTCCATCAGTCCGTGGATAATCTGCGTCCCAGCCGCCCTCCTATGCCTACCTCCAGCTGCGCGGCCTGTCCCATGTACACCGCGCAGACTCTGCGCTCATTGCGCGCGCCGACATAATTGGCGGGATCCTTGAGCACGACGTCGCTGACCTCGAAGAGCTTGACCCCCTTGGCGTAGGGCACGTGCTTGTTCTCGCGGAAGGTCTTGAGGATGCCGGGGAGGAGCGAGGTTCTGCAGACCTCGAACTCGACGGTCTTGGGGTTGGCGAGGCGCACGGCCAGTCCGTCCTCCTCCAGCCGCAGCATCGCGTAGTTCTCCGCGCGGCTGCACAGCGACAGCGTCAGCACCTCCGTGTACCCCGCCATGGCGATCTGCGCGCGGATCATGTCCGATCTACCGTGAAGCCTCGCCGCCATCCGCACAGCTGGTTGATCGGCTGCTCCGCGCCCGTCGTCAGCGTCGGCGGCTGCTTCCGCTGGATGTTGTTGTACCCGTACGCGATGGCCACGTCCTCTACAGCTCGCTCCGCCGCCAGACAGCCCACCGAACACGTCGCAGGGGTGGATCACGTCGGAGCGCGTGATGGGGATGTTCACGCGGATGGTGTCCGCGTCCAGCACGGTCGCGTCCAGCTGCATCTTGTGCAGGTCCGCCAGCATCGCGTCCACCGGGATCGCCGCGCCGATCGTCGAGCAGCACTCCGCCACCGAGCAGTCCAAATGCTTCTCGGAGAAGTCGGGGTAGGTCAGCGAGCGGCCCTCGGGGAAGACGGAGCCCTCCTCGTAGACCACGTCCACGATCTCCGCAGAGAACCGGTCGTCGCAGTACTCCGAGAACATCGCGATCAGCGTGTTCAGCACGATCGACGCCTTCGTCACGTCCTTCGCCGTGCAGTCGATGAAGATGTTCTCCGTCTCGTAGTCCATCCGGCTGTGACTGCCCTTCACACGCTTCCACGTTTCTACTTTCCGTTGATGAGCGGAGGCAGCGACAAAACCGTTCCTTCCGAGTCCACCAGCACAGGGATCACCGGCGAGTCGTAGATCAGGTCCGTGTACGGCATCAGGTGCTTGCAGTCGTTCGCGGGATTGCGGTAGAAGTCCATGAGCTAGCGGGAATCGCGGGGATTCGAGCGTACTTCGCGGGCATTGAAGTCGCGCGTCTGGTTCAGCGGCTGGAACACGATCTGCTCGGCAGGGAGCGCGCGGTAGTAGAAGGGAGGCTTCACCGAATCGAGGTTGTGCGTTCCGATGGCCACCAGGTTGCGACGACGACAGATGTTCAGATGCAATTTGTCCTGCAAGTCCAGGAAGCTAAGAGAGAGAAGCGAGCCAGCGAGGCGTACTTGTTGTAGACGTCGTGGTTCATGTGAATGTTGCGAAGAACGGCGCCGACGATGTAGGGACGAATTTGCTAGCTTCAGAGGCGGCCAAAAAACGATACCTTCGTGTCCTTCTCGACGAATATCTTGATACGCTCCTGCTTAGGCTGAGTGAGGTGATACTTCTACACAACAAACTCCTCCCCAGCCCCCTACCGGAACTTCCTCGATTCCCATGAAAATTCGCAGCGCGCGGGAAATACCCTCCAGGCATAGCAGATCCTGACGGTTGGCAGGAACGTCGATTTTGTAAACAACCACCTCCTTCTCCTCGCTTCCCTCTTGCTTTCGCTTCATACGCGTCTCCGTTACGATTTCATCAAGCTCAATTCCAAACTCAAAACAAAGCTCATCAAATTCCTTGTCTGTGAAAGTTTTCCCCAAGGAACGGAAAAGCATATCTCTCTCAATCGGAACGTTAGGCATAGCTGCTTAGAATGAATAATTAGTTCTATTTCCTCATGCCGACTTGTCCAGAATTCCCCGCGATTTTACACCCTCATTCATGCTTTGTTCCGGTTCGTGTAAATCCCGTTTTCTCTAGCAAAAAGTCATTTAGGTACACCGTAGCTGCTGTCAGTCATGTTTTAGGTTACTTTGTGTTATGTCTCTGCACATTGTGGATACTCTCGTTCGGAGAAGACTTCTCGTTACAGTATGTTCCTCTGCGCTCGGTGCTATTGCTTTAGTCCTTTCTGCGATATTGGAGAGATGAGGATTATGTCACAGCGATCAGTATTCTACTCATTTCGAATGACTATGTACTGTGTTTTTAGCCTTGTACTCAACCGCAGGTTACCATGGCGACAGTTTCCTCCGCGATTTTATCCTTTTCCAGTGATTCCAAGTGTGCTCTTTTCCAGGACGAAGAGTTCTGCGTACTCTTTTTACAGCTCACGAAGTCTCTTCTGTCTCAGCCCCAATTATCGTAGCTAATCGTTTCTATACCTCATTCTAAGACTTTTACAACAAGCCATTGAGAATTTGGAGTCTTCCGTGAAGCTCCTAGACTCCGCGTCTCCTGTTCTTTTAGAGCTGTTGCAAGATCTTGTTCGGACGAGTTCTTTCCCTGAAACGAGCATCAAGGCTGGTGATGAATTGGATCCGTTGTTACAACAGCGCTACGAATCGATTCAAAAGCAAGTTTTCAATTCAACACGGTAACAGTAAGTGAGAGAAAGAGAGAAAGAAAGATGAATTGTGAAGGACAAGTTGTGGGAGCTGTGAGGGATGATCATGCTCTCAAACTAATGTCCAAAAATGATTGGAAATCACAGAGCACAAAGAGAGAGATACTCTTTGCGTCTAAGATTTGCGCATACTCACCATGTATAGATCATTTCCTCATTAACAATGATTTTTCCTACTCTTTTTCTTTCCTTCGTTCCCTCCTTTTCCATATTTTCCCATATATAAATTGAATGATTGATATTATTATTATATTAAACTTTGTTTGTTTGTTTGTAAATAATTGCTTGGTGGTCAGTGTTGATTCGATGGAGCATGTTATCAGCATTAGGGTAGTATCTCTATCCTATATACCATTTGTAGAACTACACCGAGCTGAAATTAGAGAACATCCGTCTTCGGAATGAATTAGCTGCACAAAAGGAAATGTATGAACATTGCATTGAAGAATTCCGCACTTTACTCCAAGGTAATTCAAATGCCTCGTCTTGACCGTAGAAACAAATGATCTATATATATCTCAAATCGCCGAACTAAAGAAAGGAAATCCCAGTATTTTGTTTTCGCGGATCGACATGTTTAGTACAAACTATACCAGATTCCATTCCCGTTGGCAGCAAGCCACTGCTTCCTCCGGCTCCTGTTGCCCTGGCTCCTCCGCAGGAAAAGAGGGAGATGGAGCATCCCAGGCCTGTCCGGAAAACGCGATCTACAGCCTACGTCGGCTCCTGCATTCAGGAACATTCAAAGCGCGCTCCGAAATCGCCGCAAGTTTCTTTCACCGAATCGTACGCAGTCTTCTCCCGCTTTCCCCCAGCTCCTTGCGGCGCGTCATGGTTACCTCGCTCCAGAAGAACGCGCTGTAGTTCCGTTCACTTTGTTTGATGGTAGCGAGGAACTCTTGTACATTTCCCTCCAACCTCGCTTTTCCCCGGAAACCATTCCAGCGGTCCTCTCCGCTCTCCTCAGCTGCATGCAGCAGTCCTTCTCCTTGCTGAAGACCTACGAAATGGCTCCGATGAACCAGAAGGTTCTTCTCTTTTCGTCCTTGTTATACTTCGTTATAACGCGCTTCCCCGACCTGGAGCTCGAAAACACGTGTCTCGAGCACCTCCAGGAGGAGCTGAACGCGGAGCTGGGGCAGTCCTTCGTCCACTCCAAATTCGATCGGTTCTCCCCCGCGTTTCTCGCGACCTTTCTCGTCCTCTTCGACCTCTGCGCGTTCTTTGACGCGCTCCCGCTCTTCAAGCTCTCGCTCTACGCCGCCTTCTCGCGCAGCGGCGTGTTCCCGCTGCAGCTCGTGAACGCATTGTTTCTGCATAACCGCGGGACGCTGGACCGGCTGAGCGACTGCGACGAAGCGATCCAGTGCATCATCGGCGCGACGCTGCAGCGCGGAACCGTGGAAGCGCCGGAGTTCGCGGAGCTGGTTTCGTTCTTTGGGGAGCAGGGAGGAGCGTGGGAGGAGCGTCTGGGAGAGCTGGAGAGAGAGGCGTTGGAGTGTGTGGTGGACGGAGCGGGGTACGGAGAGGACAACGCGAAGTATGTGATGGCGGGGCGATGTCTGGTGCTGCTGTATGTGTGGAGAGGAGGGAAGTACGCGGTGCGGAGCCTCGTGGAGAACGGAATCGTGGAGGCCGTGGAGAATGAGGGTTTGAGCCGGGAGTACCGGACGTTCTTGCTGTATCTGCTATGTGGGAATGAGGGAGAGGAGCGAGGCGTAGTGTGGATCGCGGAGACCAATCTGTTTGGAGGGGAATGGACGCAGATTCGACAGCAGATCGCGCAGCTGGACGTTCTGACCGACGCCGTGCGGTCCGAATTCCGCGCTCTTTTCTCACTTGTTTGTTCCAACAAACACACCCCATTTGCTTCGGCTCTTCGCTGCTTACCAGTCGTCGTCCCACCCGTCCGTCGTCGTCTTCGTCGTCTTCGTCTTTGTCGCCGGCTGCGCGTCCCAGTCGTCGTCCCATCCGTCCGTCATCTTCGTCATCTTCGTCATCGTCTTCGTTGTTGTCGGCGCGTCGTCCCAGTCGTCCCACCCCGACGCTGCCTTCGACACTTTCGGCGCGCGGGCTGCGCTGCGTGCGGGCTGTGCGGGCTGTGCGGGCTTGGCGTCCCAGTCATCCCAACCGTCCGAAGCCTTCTTCGTCGACGTGGAAGTCGAAGCGGGCTGCGCGTCCCAGTCATCGTCCCATCCATCCGACGCCTTCTTCGCCGCAGACTTCGAAGCAGAGGCGGGCTGCGCGTCCCAGTCGTCGTCCCAGCCGTCCGACGCTTTCTTCGAAGTCGGAGCCGAGGCGGGCTCCTCGTTCCAGTCGTCGTCCCAGCCGTCCGACGCTTTCTTCGCCGCGGGCTTCTTCGCGGGCTCGTCGTCCCAGCCGTCGTCCCAGCCGTCCGAGGCCTTCTTCGCCGCGGTGTTTTTGGCGGGAAGCGGCTTGTCATCGTTGAGCATCGCCATCAAATCGTCATCCGAAATCTTCGTCGGCTTGGCGGCAGACTTCGTCGTCTTCGCCGCGGTGGTTCGCCGCGTCCGCGTCTTCTTCGTGCCGCCAAACTCATCCTCCCAGCCCTCGTCGCTCTTCTTCGGGGACTCGCTTTTCGTTTTCATTCGCTCGGCCATCTGTCGAATCATCTCCAAGTTCTGCGACTCCTTCTCCAGCTCCTTGTTCTCCTCATCGCTGAAGTTCAGACCCGTGTCGTCCCAGCCGCCCATCGCTTTCAAGCCCTCGCTCTCCCATCCCTCCTCGCTCGTCGTCGTCGTCTTCTTCTTTTTCGCGTCTTCCTTGCCCTCTTCGCCCCACACATCGTCTTCCAGACTGTCCATTCGCTCCAGCGTCGACTCCGCCTTCGACGGCTCCCCCAGATGCTCCAGCTCCTCCATCGACAGCTCCGTTCGCGTGATCGCCGGCAATACCGAGTTCACCGTGCTGCTCGACACCGCTTTCGGCATTTTTTCTCCCGCTGATTCGCTTGCTCCTGTCGCTGCTGTCGTTGCCGCTGCTGTTTCTGTAGCGTTGGCGGACTTCCCGATGAGCGATCCCGCCACCCAGGACATCGCGGAGGTCACATAGCCGCCAGTGGCCTGCAGCATCGACGGCGCGTCCTTCGACGGCTCCACGGGGGCTTTGGGCTCCGAGCCGGTCTTGGTCCACTCCTGATGGCCAGCCTGCATGGAATCGACGACCCAAACCAAACGTAGATGCGGTTGAGGAGCGACTGCACGACGTCGAAGGCTGTGTCGCGCACCGTGGTCTCGACGTCCCAGAGCAGCGGGCAGAGCGACGGCAGAATGCGCCGCGCCAGCAACTAGAGAGAGAGAGGGGAGAAGCCGCGTCCTACGCCATCGTCGAAGTAATGCTGCGTGTTCTTGATCGTTTTGAGCGACTGAATGCGCGCCTTGGGGAACGGATCCTTCATTCCGCGGCCGATGCACGGGAAAGCAAACTAGCTCTCGATCGACCCGCAATCCGCCCACCTGGCGACGCACCGACGCCTCCAGATCCGCAACGATGTGATTCAAACACACCAGGATGTTCGTCCGAATCGCCGGCAGCGGATCCGCCTGCAGCGACCCCAGTCCCCGCACCATTTTCTCCTGGTTCTCGCGGTCCAGCAGCGGCGTCAACGGGATCATCACGCGGATCGTCGCTTCGCGCATGCTCGCCGACGTGTCCGACAGTCCCAGAATCACCTGCGGGAAAATATCGCTATTCACCACGCGCCGGTCGATCAGTTTGATGTAGCTATCCAGGTTCTGCGCATCATTTGCACCTCCGGACCCCACTTTCAGCAGCTGCAGCCGCGTTGCGCGGTCTCTCCGACCGAACAGCTGCGTGATCAGCGGCGAGATCTCCCTTCTACGATCAATCCCCGCGGGAATCCAAACGAAAAACGCTCGGCGGGGAGACTGCTTCCGATGATGATCACGGAGGGCAGAACGATGGGCGCGAACTCCGTCTGTCCGTGCACCAGCTCGTCCATCAGCAGCGGCAAAATGAACTCCACCGTAATCGCCTGCATTCGAGCCCGCCTTCATTGCTACGCTCGGGAATTTCGCGAGGAGCGAGTTCAGCTGGTTGAAAAACGCTTCTTTCTGGATCGGATCCTTGATCGCCTTCTCCTCCAAGAAATTCAGCGATCTTTTGGAATTCCAAAAATAGGGCCTACTTCACTAGGGGATGCTTGCTGAAGGCCGCGAGCAGACGGCTGGGCGCCGGCCGGCCAAGCGGCGCGCTCTTGCAGCGGAGCACGTAGTTGGAAAGCTGGCCGGGGATTTTGAGTCCTTTAAACACGAAGTCGATCAGTCTACGATCGATAAACGCGGTTTTGAAATTCCGTACTCGCCGAATCCGTACATGTCTTGACCCCAAATCGTGCAGTCCCCGATGAGGGAGAAGTTGTTGTCTGTTCGCTCGGGAGAGCGGTAGGCAGTTGGGAGCAGCTGCTGCTTTTCGCTGGGATCGAAATGAAACGAAATTCGGTACAGATAGAAATAAGGAGGATCTTCTTTCGGCTTAAACTCGTACGTCAGATCGAAGAAACCGAGCTTCCAAGAACCGGACTGCGTCACGAATATGCTAGAAGGGTGGATGTAACCGTGCACTTGCTTCGCATCTTCATTAAGAAACTTGAGGGCTTTCAGGATGTTCGCCATTCCCCACATGCACCACGAAACAAGGTGATCACTATGCATTACAAAAATAGTGATTTTCTCGCTTATTCAGCTTATCCGGAAGGAACTGGTAGATAGGGTTTGATTCCTCCCTCTTCTTATCTCCTTTTGCATAATCTAACCACTCGGACAGTGGGATCGCTAATTCCGTTGCCTAGAGCAAATTAACGTACAGTAACGAAAATTCTTACATAAAATACTCCAGTATCTGACTCATTTCCTTCTATATACTTTAGGATACAGGGATGCCGGAACATCCTAATCTTCTTCAAACTACACTCTAGCCGACTCATTTAAAACATACGCATTACTGGAGGATGCACTCTTCGCGTTCGTTCTGAAAATCGACACACGACTCCCATCGAGCTTGCTTTTCGCATGATGCAATTCCCAGTCAAAAGGATTGGCAAAGAAATCATCTCTTTGGAAGATATCGTAGTTTACAATCTGACTACTCTCAGCAGCTCCCATAGCAAAATGTTTGAAACAAACAAAAAGCGTATCTCAAATAACCAACAATGAGGTGCTGTGAAATTCACTTTACAAATCGGTATACGCATAGAAACAGAAGAGCTTTTGTCCGGAAGGAGACGCTCCATCCAACTTAAACTGATATCTTCCCTACAACTAACACCCAGTCCGTGCCAATACCGAAGGAGTAATAATAGGCATCTTTACAGACATGCTGAAAGAATCCTCATAGGGACGAGGCTTCGAGCAATCGGATCCCGTGTACTTGATCTTACCAAGAGCAAGAGGAAGGCTCGCTTCCTGGTATCCACAATAGTTGAAATCATGAGAAAAAACGCTCATCTAACCATTATTCTCCCACACATCGCTCCCACATCATTTCGAAGAACATTGAAATGTACAGTTCCGGATTTAACATCCGCAGTCAACAGTTCGTGTTCTGAAGTAATGACAACATCCTTACCGCGCTTAAACTCAGTCGCGGTAACGTTTGTGTAATGGAGCAAATAAGTCTTGTCACCACAGTCGCTGATAATCAGCTTTGAATTCGGGGCAGGTTGGGCCGCAAAAGCAAGGGAAACAATTAGCAAGACGGGAATAAAATTCATCAATAATAATATATGACGTAATTGACTAGGGCCCATGAGGGTCTCTATATAATTGGGTCACAATCTTATAAAACAAACAGGTTATGACTACTATTAGGCTCCTTCCATGTACTGCTCCAAGCTCTTGCGCAGCTCCTCGTTCTCCCTGCGCAACTCGATCATGGCCTTGGATACCTCGTCCTTCGAGCTTCGCACGTCCTTGTCGCACTGCTGCTTCAACTGCTCCATTCCCTTCTGCAGTTTCGCGATGTCCTGATCCTTTCGCTGGATCATTCGCTCTGACTCCTTGTTCTTTCGTCTCAGCTCGCGGTTCTTCTCCTCCATCTTGCGGTTCTTCTCCAGCTGCGCGGTCAGCAGCGTCTCCAGCCGGCCCTTGGACCCGCTCGCCTTCGCTGCCTCGTTCAGTGCCTGCAGACGCTCTCTGTACTGCTCCTTCATGTCCTCCACATCCGAGTCGCTCGACTCCGCCGAACCACCTGCGCTCTTCTTTTCCATCGAGTCCTGCAGCTCCTGGATCCGCTTGTTCTTCTCTTCGATCTCTCGCTGCAGCGCCTCCACGTCCTCGTCCGCAGATCCCTTCTCCGCCGCGCCGCGCAGTCGCTCCACCTCTTCCTTCAGCTCCTCGATCTGCTTCTCCTTGTCTTCCTGGTCCCGCGTCAGACGCTCCAGCTCCTCGATCTTCGCAGCCAGCTCTTCCTCCTTGCTCTCCAGATTCTGGTTCGAGGTCTCCGCCAGGTCGCGCACCGACTCCAGCTCGCGCGTGATCCGATCGATCTGCTCGTCCTTCTCCTTCACCTCCTTCTCCTTCTCCTCCTTCTCCTTCGTCAGCGCCTCCAGCTGTTCCTTCTTCTCCTCCAGATCGTACTCCAGATCGCGCTGCGCGCGCTCCACGTCCTCCTTCTCGTTCTGCACCTCCTCCAGCTGGCGCTGCGACTCTCTCAGCTGCTTCTCCAGATCGGATTGATCCTTCGAGCCCGCCGCTTCGCCAGGCTTGCTGCTCGCGGACGCCGCGACCTGAGTCGCCAGCTCCTCGACCTGCTTTTGCTGCTCCTCGATCGTCTTCTGCGTGTTCTCCAGCTCCTCCTCCAAGTCCTTGATCTTGGCTTCGTTCTCCTCGCGCTGCTTCTCCAGCTCTTTCGTCTTTTTGTTCAGTTCGTTCACCGCCATGGACAGCGTCAGCGCCTCCTGCGCGCTCTTCATCTTGTCCAGATTGGCTCGGTCCAGTTCCTCCTTCTTCTCCTCTCCATCGCTCAGCAGCGACTCCAGCTGCTCCTGCGTGGCCTTCAGCTCCTTCTCCAGGTTCTCCAGCTCCGCCTTCACGCGCTCCACTTCTTCCTGCGCCGCCTGCTCGGCTGCGGCCGCTCTCTCCGCGCGCATGTTGGCGTCCTCCAGCTCGCTGCGCATCTTCTCCACCTCGGTGCGAGCCTCCTCCAGCTCCGCAGCCTTCTCGTCCAGCTGCGTCTTCGCGTTGTTCAGCTCGCCGATCTTCTCCTCGTTCTCCTTCTTCAGCTCCTCGAACTCCTGCGTCTTCTTCTCCGCGGCCTCCTTGGCGTCCGCCAATTCCCGCTCCAAGGCAGCGATCTGCTTCTCCGCGTCCGCGTCTGACGCAGACTCCGCCTCCTCGGGTCGTTTCTTTATCTCATCGAGCTGTTTCTCCAGGTCCTTCACCGTTTCATCGGCATCACGAGCCGCCGCTTGCGCCTCCTCCAGCTCCTTCTCCAGCTCCTGCACGCGCTTCTCCGCCTCCTCGGCGGCCTTCTTCATCTCATCGCGCTGCTCCTCGAAGCTGCGAATCTTCGCGTCGGCAGCCGCAGCCGCAGCAGCCAGCTTGGCCTCGTTCTCCAGCTTGTGCTCTTCCAGCTTCTCCTCGGCCTCCTTCTTCGCCTTCTCCACCTCCTCCAGCGTCTTCTCGATCTCCTCCTTCTCCTTCAGCACCTGCTCCAGCTCGTTCGTCTTGCTCTCCAGCTCCTCCTCCAGCTCCTTCTCGCGCTCCACCTGGTCCTCCGGGAGAGCGTTTCGGTGCTGAGCCTGCTCGAGCTCCTTCCGCAGCTCCTCCAGCTCCTTCTCGCACTCCTCCTTCTCCTTCTGGAGCTTCTCCAGCTCCTCCTCCTTCTCCTTCAGCGAGCTCTCCTTGTTCTCCTTCATCATGCCCGCAAGCGATGTCAACTCCGTAGCCTTCACCTCGATGTCCTTGTGCGACTTGTCCAGCTCGTCCTCCAGCTCTCTCTGCTTCTTCTCCAGCTCCTCCTTCTCCTTCAGAAGAGCTTCCTTCTCCTCCTCCACTTGCTTCTTCTCCTGGATCGTCGCGTCCAGTTCCTCTCGAATCTTCTCAATCTCCTTCTCGCTCGCCGTGAGGTCGGTAGAGGACGACGACAACGACGACGACGACTTCTTGCCCTTCTTGTTGCTCTTCTTCAGCTCCTTCTGCAACGCCTTGTTCGACTCCTGCAGCTTCTCCATATCGCTCTCCAGCTTCTCCTTCTTGCTCTTCAGATCGTCCAGCTCGTGCATGGTCTTCTTGAGCTGCGTATCGGAAATCGTCAGCATGCTTTGGTTCAACTCCATCTTGTTCGTAATCTCCTTCTTCTGCTCCTCCAGCGAATTGATCGCCTCGCGCTGCTTCTCCATATCCTGACGCATATTATCGTTCTCCTTCTCCAGGCTCTGCACCTTCTGCAGAAGCTCCTCCTGCGTCAGCGCCACATCCGCGATCTTATCGTCCTGCTTGCTGCGAAGATGGTTCAGCTCGCCCTGCAGCTCCTCGATCTTCTTTTGCAGCTCCGACGACGTGGACTCCTGCTCACTATCGCTGGAGTCGCTGGAATCGCTCAGGTCGGAGTGAACATCCGAAGGACGTCGCATTCGGGACAGCTGCGAGCGCAGCTCCGCGATCTCCTTCTCTCTCTTCGTAACGAGATCGCGGATCTCGTTGTACTCGTTCGTCTTCTTCTCCACCATCTCGTAAGCGATCTGCACCTCCCTCTTCTTGTCCGCGAGCTGCTGCTCACGGTTCGCGATATCCACTCGCAAGTTGGCGATCTCCTCTTCCTTCTCCTTCGACACCTTCTCCAAACGCTTCTGCGTGGCCAGCAGGTCGTTCACCGAAGTGGCCATGCTCATCGGGTCCGTCAAGTCCGAGCTGCCGATCGTCTCGTTGAGTCTGCGGAACTCCTCGTTCACGGTCTCCAATCGGCTCTTCGTCTCCTGCAGACGGTCGCTCAGCTCCTTGTTGCGGTGCTCCAAATCGCTTTCAGGAGCAGACCGGCCCTCCAGATTCGCGATCGTCTTGCGGAGTCGCGTGTTCTCAAGCAGCAGCGCGCGCGTGTCCGGGGAGTTCTGGCTGTTGATTCTCTCCACCTCCAGCAGATCCTCCGAGCTGATGTGCACCTGTCCTTCCAAATTGTTCTTGGCGAGCACTTCCTTGTACCGCTGATTCACGAACGTCAGCACCTTGATGTTCTTCTTCGCGGCATACAGGCTGCTGGTTTCGTCGAACTCCCGATCTCCGTAGGTGTACGACACCGAGGTCGTTTCGGGACCCGCAGCAAGCTCCGGATCGGTGTAATAGTACGAAGAGCCTCGCATGCGCGCCTCGTACACGAAGTTGCTCTGATCCAGCGTCTCCACGTTGTCCTGCATACAATACTGCATGTCAAGCTGAAGCGCCTTCAGCTGTCTCTCCAGCTCCTCCACTCGGTCCATGCTGTCACCGCTCGAATGCTCCAAACGAAGCACCTTTGCCTCCGATGCCAGCAGCTGGCTCTCCAGCAGGTCGATCTTCTGCTCCATTTCATGCGGCTCCATGTCCGTGTTCTCGATCGTGCGCTGGATGACCTCCTCGATCGTCTCGAAGTCGTCGTCCGCATTGCCCTCCAGCTGGCGCAGACGCTGGCGCAGCGCCTGGTTCTCCGTCTTCAGACGCGTCTGGCTGTCCGCCGCGCGCTTCAGCACTTCGCGAACCGCCTCATCGATGGCGTCGCTCAGATCCACAGGCTTGCTCGTCTGCAGCTCGAGCTCTTGAATGCGACTCTGCAGCTCGCGCTCGCGCTGGCGATATATCTTCGCCTGCTTCTTCAGCGCGTTGCTCACGCGCGCTCCGTCACCGGGCGTCGTGTCCTCCTCATCGTCGATACTCGTTTGCATCAGACTCAGCTCGTCTCGAAGATCATCGTTCTCTCGCTTTAGCTGATCGTTCTCCTTCTTCAGCTCCTCTTGGTGGTCCTTGGCTCCCTGGGCGATCCGCGTCACCAACTCGCGGCTGCTCGTTTTCGTCTTCTCTAGCTCCTCGGCCATCTGTTCCTTATCCATAACCGCCACTGCGGTCTTCATCCTCGGCCTTCCGTCTGTGTCCCTATCCGTATCCGTGTCCGTGTCCGTGTCCACGTCCGCATGCCCTGGCACCGGAACCAACCCTGGCGTTTAAACGAAAGCAAGAGGTAGCTTACTCCTGGAGTCCGGAGGGTTCGGCAGCGCATTTTCAAACTCTAATGCTGCTGTGAGTCGATCATGATCAGCCTGAAGGTGTAAGTAATCGTCCTGGAGCTGATCATATTGCGCCAGTAACGTCACATATTCGCTGTGCTCCGCTTCCATCTACATGCATCAGCCCGCGATTCCGACCGGACCTCCTTGTATCGCTCCTTAATCTGGCGCAACTCCTTATACTCGTTGCTGTTCGTCAAATACGCCTTCACTGCCAAATATCCACTCTCCATCGTTGCGTATTTACGCTCCATATCAGCAAGTTTATTCTACTTTCACAGTTCCATCAAAGGACTTACCTTGAGCTCCTGAATTTCTTCAAGCAACTTTGGATTTGTGTCTTGTGAACTGGCTCGCTTTCTCATGTTAATAATCGTAGCTTCCTTTTCATTGATAATGCCCTTGTCGACCTCATTCAGAGCCTATTCGTAATCATTCCAAAAGAAAGATTTTACCATATACTGGGCTTCATTAAATACCAAGTGGGTCTTCAGTTCCAGAGGATCATCCGACACATCGTAAGCCAGGTATCTGTATCTGTTCACCAAACGCTTGAAATTCTCTTCTCGTTGTCTCTACATTCATACACTTCCAATAAAACTACCAATAGTTCAGCATTTCTCATAATCTCTTCCCAATTACTTTCAGTGCTTTGCTCCATACTCGAGGAGTGAGACTATTCATAGTATCCCTTTAGAAATATCAAACCTGCTGTCTGCGAATATCTTCCTCACTGGCATCTAAAGATCATACGAATCGATTTAGCACTACGAGTCTGAACAGTGCTTGGCTGCTTAAATTGTTTCTACACGTAAATTTAAACTGCTGTTACTTACACGTAACCTTTTGGCCTGATGTTGCTTTCTAGCAAGTTGCAATTGCGCACTGTCTAGATCCTGATAAGTTGCAAACAACTCATCTTCTATCGCATCATAGTTAAATTGTAGGTTCTGATAGGCCCTTGTTAAGTCTTTATAACTCTGTAACAAAGTTGATTCAGTTTGACCCATAATTCAAAGATTCTTGGTTAAAACGAACTTCTGTATAGTTGTTTTGCGATAATTATAGAAATTCTTAATACCTATACAATACACATACACACACAGACAAGTACATGTATCGTTGCTTATTTACTTATTTACTTTTTAGCTATGAAGAATTCACGACCTTTTATCGATGTTTCAAGAGTATTTATTCCTTTCTTTTTTTTGCTATTTTGGTGTATTCCACAGTATTGAGTAATGATTATAGAAGAATAGTATGAAAGGAATAATACATAACTCTTTTATCTGCCTACTGAATGGTAGTTTCTGTTATTACGCAGAATATTGATGAGGTCTTCAAAGAAACAAAAGAAAAAAACTAGTCTAGCAATAATAGTGCATGGCTGTTATTCATTTTTCAACCAATAAGCATTTTATTCTTTCTTTGCATTGTCATCAACCTTAACTTCCTCAGTCTTGGGTTTTTCGGCCTTAGGCTCTTCAGCCTTGGGCTCTTCAGCCTTGGGCTCTTCAGCCTTGGGCTCTTCAGTCTTGGGTTCTTCAGCCTTAGGTTCTTCAGTCTTGGGCTCTTCAGTCTTGGGTTCTTCAGTCTTGGGTTCTTCAGCCTTAGGTTCTTCAGTCTTGGGCTCCTCAGCCTTAACTTCCTCAGTCTTGGGTTCTTCAGCCTTTTCCATCTTAATTTCGACTTTACTCTTATCATCACTCGACTTTGCCTCCTTTTCCTTTTCCTTTTCCTTTTCTTTTGCCTCCTTCTCCCTTCTCTCCTTTCTTGCCTTATCCTCTATTCCATTCAACTCATTTCATCGATATCCTACCCTTTGCCTCAGAGCGCTTAAGTAACACAATGATAACCACGGCGACTACAATAATCACAATGCACACCACAGCTATCAGAATGATATAACCAACACTGGTCGATTTGCATCCAGAATCGTTTACATATTTGTAAAGTATACTCTCCCCTCCAAAGCGCACTCCTGCGTCTTCAAACTTAATAAGGAATTCTGTAGTATTTGCCTCTCTTAAGGAAGCAAAAACATCTTCACCGGTCTCAGTATTCACACAGTCTGCTGTGCTATTCCTAACAGAAACAACAAAAGAAATACGTCAGGTCATATGTCTCATTCAAAACCATATTGTTGCAAGTAACCGCAACATTCATATAGAACCACTCTCTGAACGTGACAGAGTAAGAGATGATATCTCTCTCCATAGTGAGCACAACTAGTTCTTACAGAACACAAATAAGGAAAATACATGGGTAGGACGGCTCTGAAGTCTCATTAATACTTTGCCACCGATAGGATTCTTCAAACAGGGGCTCACCACTGCAGTCTTCAGTTGCATAAGTCTTTGTATCCATTTCGTAAATCAAAGCATGTGAGCTCCCAGATCCCGTTTGCATAAACGAAGCAAACATATACTTGCCTCCCAAAGGTGAGCAACTATACTCCCAATATCCACAAGCTAATACTCAGCACGTCACCTTAATTTCTACCAGGATAACCAAGACTGTTGTCCTCAAGTCGCCGACTGCCGATCATTGTTTCACCATCTCGTAACTCGCTACATAAGCAAACTGCAATAAATAGAAATAAAATCGTCTTCATTTGATAAAATATATATAATCTTTTGAAGAAGCGACAAAAAACACAGACATGGTATTGTGTTTGGGACCAGAATTCGCATATACCCTCTATCCAATAATCCACAAGACCATGCCCCTTTTGAAAACATCAAGGTAATGGACTTGAAAGATGGAGGTTACGAAGGAAAAGGTGTACCAAACCAATTCACTAGCAAAGAGAGTGAGTTTTACAAACAGATCATACTAAAGCGGAAGCAACACTCCAGAACATGCAATCATAACGAACTCTCGAAGTTCTTGATACCTTCTGGTTGTAAGATACAATATCGCCAAAGCGATCACATAGTATCGTCAGCGCTAGACTGTGTCTCCTTCTCGCTACACAGTGTAGCATCCACACGACTTTTGCTATTCACAGTCTCTAGTTCCCTCTTCGACAGCGCAACAAGAACATCCAGAGATGACAAAACACACTTCTCATTCCTCGCTCCATCCGACCCACTACAGTTGATACTGTGTGAGTCCAAACAGGCACACGGCCTCGTTCGACTGGAGGAGAGCGCAGTGGGAGGCATAGCCGATCCCGGATTCACCATATACGACGTGGACTGAGAAGTCGTCCGAACCGTGGGGTAAGGACTGCAATAATAATAGTAATAGTAATAATAGTAGTGGTTGTAAGGAGAGGGGAGATAAGACGACTGCTGCGTCATAGGTATCGAAAAAGGTAAAGGACATGCGGCTAGGTTTTCTTCCCTCATCTTATGGTCCACCTCAAAGCTGTTCACAGGAGAACTTCCTACGATCTTCAAACCCACATAGCAGTTATTGTTGGACGAAGATGGAGAGACGGTAAAGGACCTCGCTGCCGTTTCTTGGCTTGGGTAGGACTGAGGCGGACAAACTGTGGATTTCACACAACTATCTTGGCACGGACGAAAACAAGGTAGTGAGGAAGGAGCTTGTATCACAGGGAGAGAATTCTGAACGTAATGCCCAGGCTCGACAGGTACAGTGGAGGGGTGGCACCTCTGAGAGATCGCTTTTTTAGCTTTTAAAACTGCTGGATGAGGCTTATTTCGTCTGCGGCAAGAATTACAGGTCCGCATGATTCGGGAACTATGTATAACCATGCCGAAAGAAACAAACTCATGAGTGTTGACGAATTCTTTTTCCAGTTTCCAACAACGACATCGTGAACACTTGAGTTTGCTACACATGACCGCCACCCCTCTTGGCTACTTTTGGGTTTTGTGCCGAATCCCAAGCTTTCGGCCCTTTTCACAGGTTTTCATATATGGAGGATAAAAGGGGTCATCGCTAAAACATCAGATTATCCGCACAACACTGTACAGCGAACTCTCTTCACTAGATAAATATTCCAAATGGCTCCCTTCTAATAAACACGCTGCGTTCCTTTCCAGTTGTTCTTCAGAAGGCGCCTTACCACACGTAGAAGATAATGCATTCATTCCTGGAATAAGATTTCACACAATACAAATGTGAGAAATGAAAGTGTTGATACAGATATCAATTGCTTATAAATGAAACTCCCCCGGCATTTGTCGAACATCTGAGAGAGTTTTTATATCCCCGCGGAACATCCAATAATAATGCTGTTCTTTGTCCAATTGGTATTTCAATTGTCTTTTTGCAGGTTTTCGAACCGTGATCTTGATTCCCGTGTGTCTCCACGTTATTCCATCTGTAACACAACTTAACTCCTTCTCGATACTGGTATTTCACAAACTCCAAAAATAGTCACTATTTCTTCCAACCCTTTTATGGTCAAAATAGTGAATGGGGAAGGCTTCTCGCAAGAAGACAAAGAAATCGGAGAAATTCTACAAAAACGCACAGAATAAGGGCGAGGAAAGCCCGATGTCGAAGGAGTTGCTCTACGGGGTTTTCTCTCGTTCGTCTCGTCATTTCATAGCTTGATAGTTCGAATCCGCAGATCCGAATCAGCACCAGTGGAGCCATTAGTGCAATGTTCGGAGACATGCAATCGGATCTCCACTTCACGGAGGACATGTCACAGCAGTTCAAAGACAATCTCGATATGATCGTCAAATCACAGCTTCTGAAGAAGATTATCGGAAGAACCACAGATACGGAGTATATGGTGTGCATGAACATCCTCGGAGCACTTCGGTACTTTCTACGTTTGGCGCTCCAGTGTAGAAACATGTGCATTGTTGGAGGAGACGAGTTTGTTGGAACACTCTGCGGGTTGAATATCATCCTTCCACTGAAGCAACTGCTCTACAGAGTATCTCTCTGCTAGACTTTTCAACTAGAATTTCGCCGCTCTCTCAGAAGACAATATTGAAAAGAAAATGATCGCCTGCAATCTTTATTGCCAGCTCTTCTCGCTGCTGACGATCATTTTGTACACATTCCCGCCTTTCGTGAGGATTAGTGATTATGATTCGAGCGGTTTTTACGAGCTGGAGTCGGACACTTCCGGCTCTCTTTCCCAGACGCTCATTTCGCTTCTCTCCTACAAGCCCGCTGGAAGCGAGAAGCTGAAGCATCTCGTGGAAGGAATGCAGCTTTCCGTCGGTACGTCGTTTTCTCTCTCTCCTCGATCGTAGCTGAGTTCATTTCGGTGATCGGCGATCTGATGAACCAAACCGACTTCGTGCAGTCGCTCCGCAAAACGATGCCCGATCTGTCCTGGCAGCTTCGCTACAAGCTCCTCACCGTCTACGTGGACTCGCTGCCTCTCGCGGAGAAGGTCAACATTCTCTCCAACACGGTGTCTCTCCTCCAAGAAGCCCAGTTCGTGCATTTGTTCGGCGCGCTGACGCAGTGCTACGCCAGCTTCGATGAGCTCAAGAACGCCGCGGCCTCGAAAACCGATGACATGGTTCTGGAGGACGCGGAAGCCACGTCGAAGATGGAGAGCGAAGCTCTGGACGTCGGGTTCCACGATACGGAGGGCGAGATCGTTCAGAAGGGCGAGGCGTTATCGCAGCAACTTCGCAACTATCTCAGCGTTCTCGATGTGATCACGCGCATTTTCACCCCAGCCAACGACTCCCTCCCGTACCCCTCTCTCTCGACGCATTCATCCGCAGTTCCATCGAGGAATCGAATCTCCAGACGCTTCTCTCCTGTCTCCTCCGCGTGCTCTCCATTCTCTCCTCCCAAGTCGCTGCCTCCTGCGTCCAATCCGAGTCTATCCGCGCCTCTCTCCTCTCTGCCATCGAGGACGCCATCGCCGCCATCCTCCCCGCCACGCACACGCATCTCCCCGCCCTCTGGTCCGCCGTGCTGCCCTCCCTCGCGCCCTCCGCGCCCTCCGAAGTCCTCGAATCCGCCTCCAAGCTCCTCTGGGTCTGGGCGCAATGCACCGTCAACCACCCCAACTACGCCGATTCCATGAACCCGCTCTGCTTCCCCGAGCAGACCGCTCCGCTGCTGGCCGCGCTGGAGAGTCGCGTACCCGCCGTGCTGGTGCAGCTGGTGAATACGATCGCGTGTCTTCTCGCGCCTGTGCAGGTCGCGGCGCAGAACGAAGCGATTCTCGGCGAGGTCTGCGGCAAGGTCGTGCATGTGCTCGATGCGGCGGAGAACGCGCAGAACGCGGAGATTCTGGGGTGTGTGCTCGATTTTATGATGACGATGTGCGGAGTGCGGGATGATTGCAATGTTGTAGATTCGGGGAAACCAAGTTCGTGCCCATCTTCCGGAAATTGGAGCTGACGTCCTACGCGATGAATGCGACCAGCGCTTTGCAGGCTGCGCTCGAAGCGTCCGCGAAGGAGCTTGATGCGGACTGCTTGGAGTATCTGAGCGAGATTTTGAGCAATGCGGTCCGCTTTGTGGAGTGGATTCAGAGTGGGATGAACTAGATGCACGTTTCTTTTAATTTGGATCTGTTTGTTTGAAAGAATTTGAACTTAAACTTCTTTTGGGAAATTGAGCGTATGGGGCAGTTGCTCTCCGTTCTTGGACTTCTCTATGTCAGGAACTGTGATCGAGACAAGGTGATCGACGACTTGACACTGTTTCCTCCCTATCCTGTTTCCTGTATATTTAGATGTTTCGTTTGTTGTAGATGATATTCAGGAAACGGAAAACCACTATTCAGGGTTTTATGGAGTTGATAGGGCACAACGCGCCATTCCTTCCTCTATTACTATATGCCGCATTCCTATTTCGAACGAGAAATCGCTCTGTCTATTTCATTATAAAAGACAAAGTTCAGAATATAGTTTTCACTCAGAACAAAGTCCTAAGCGCTGTCTGATTATCAGTCATGGAAATGCGACAGATATAGGTTGCTATATTGATGTATTGCAGATTATGGGTGATGAGTTGAACATTGATGTGATCATTTATGATTATGAAGGGTTTGGATGCAGCGACGGGATCGCCACGAGCTCTACTCTTGTTCCGAATCAAAGAGCTGTCTACGATTATGCAACACAGTTTTTTGAAGGAAGAAACATCTTCTTCTTAGGAGAAAGCTGTTGCGTCTAGCTACGCGCCTTACTTTTAGTGGGAACTGTTCCTGCGTGCTTTGTAGCCTCCTCTCTCTTTTTAGAATATCACGAACATAAACGCCAAGGTCTAAACGCACAATATCCATTAGGCGGTGTCATTCTTCAAGGACCCGTTTATTCAGGTACTGCTCTTCGTTCCCTCGCTATTTTTAGGACAGAAGATCCTCCCATGCGGTTGTTTGTTTAGCAAGAACGATCCTTACGACAACGCCAGCGTGATCACAAAGATCGAAGTAGCATTCAAACCTTCTCTTTCATGCAGTGTCCCGTGTTTTTAATCCATGGAGAGCAAGATACGATGATCGACGCTCGCTGGGTGCAGCAGCTGAACGACATAACGTTGTCTCCGTACCCTCCATGGTGGGTGAAGGATGGCGGCCATCTCAACATTCTGTCGAAGTTCGAAGAAGATTACATTCGGCAAGTGATGGATTTTATGAAGTACTGCGATGGACACAACTTTTTGATGTGTTCTGTTTGATGGAACAAACAAGCAAACCACAGTTCACAGTTCACAGTCCATAGTCCATAGTCCATAGTCCACGGGCCATAGTCCACAAACATATAAGCGAAGAACAAGAAAGCAACGACTAATTGATCTCCGAAGCAGAAATGCGCCCCTCAAGCAAGTATAAACAGAAGGATGGCGAAAACAAAAATCATCAGACTTACCCAAAGCATGTATCCTTGACTGTTCTCGTCCGCTTTCCTCAAATCTTTCAGTCCCTACGCATCATCATCACACATCGCGTTTTCTCACATCGTCCACATAGTCCTTCGCCTTTTCCACGTTTCGATGAACCAGCTCCACCATCTCGTGCTGATCCACAACGTTCATCGTGAACTCCTTCACCATCTGCGAAACTTCGCGCGCGTTTTTCTCCACATTTCTACAGTTCAACCGCCAATCAACCGCGACTTCACCGCGTCCAACTCGCGTTCCAGCGATCTCTACAACCATTCACCGCGCAAAACAAACACAAACTTCGATTTGAACACTCTCCGAGAGAAGGCTTTCTCGCTCGGCTTCCGACATTGATTTGAGGGTGTGTTGGCGTTCATATTCGGAGGATAAGGGCTCTACGCGACGAATCAATTTGGGTGAAGAGAGAGGATTGGGAACGTTTGTGAAGCGAGTGAGACTGGGCTCAATTCTGCAATTGGAGATGGGTACAGCAGCAAAACTACATTGATAACAGACGCTGATAGCTGCTGTGTGAAGTAAGGATCGAGTTGAATAACTCCTTGGCATCTTTCAGAGCCTACGGGGAAGAGAAATGATAGAAAGTACGTCCTTGATATCGTCTGTGATGGATTGAGCGATGTTTTGGGACAGAGAGCAAGACTTGGCAGAGTGCGTTTTGATTTCATCCTCCATAGTGGACAGTAGCTCGCTGACTTCCTATGGGAATCACACTGTTTCATTGAGATACGTGCTCAAAAGTATCAAAGGCTTTGTTTTTTTCTTCCTGTGATTCGTTCCTTCTACAATCATCACTGTATACCAAATAAACAATGATTTCAGTTCTTTTGACGAAGAGCGCATATAATGACATAAGAGTTGAACTTTTTTATACTATCCATTAACCATTGATACGAAAAACTACAAGAGCATATGATTCAACTAAAAAAGGATCCACTTGTGGACGAGGTTGGATGATGTCCTCTGTAGATACTTTTGCTTGGAGATTGTGCTTTTCCTTCCTTACCGCTTCCAGAAAATCACTAGTACGATTCATTGGAAAAAAGAATCTGCTCTCTTGGAATACTTTGATCTGGAGTTAGGAATGAGGGCGGCAGACCGATTGCTGCAGCTACTCACAAAATCTCTACTATCACATAAAAGGGAACGGAAACTGCGAAATGAGTGTAAAACGAGTAGCAATGCAATTTTTGTATTGATATAGAGTGGAAATAGTAGAGATGAGCTGCCTTCAAAGAAAATGGATTTTATTGATGAAAAGAAGTATAAAATTGGTTGCATGCTCATATTTAGAATTCAAGATTCTGATCTTGCTTTTAAACGAAGAGAACTGTAGCTTTGCAGTGTTTGAATGAGTTTTAGAGATGAAGATAAAGAAGGAGACCAGGTGGTCAATCTTGTTGATCCGTCAAACCCAAATAAGAAGGGTATTGCCATGAAAGAAGCAGATATTTTGGAGGACAATGATCCTGAGCGAGCCGTTGTATTGCATATCATTTGTAATATAGAAAGAAAGAAAACATATGAAGATTACACACATCGGAGCTGAGGAGAGTTATAAGGGTTCAGATCGTTCACTCTATTTACAGGTAATAGAATCAAAGCGATTCAATGGATAGAAAGAAGATCTCGGACGAGATGTGGATGGAATCACGCCATTCAACCTTGAGAAAGAGAATGAAGAAGGTATCCAAGTCGGTGAGATTTTATTAATTAGGTACTTTCGATGGAAACGGGTACTACACTTGGAAGAAAGATCGAGACGAAGTGCTCTTGGAATCCGATCCGTTTCTTCGCGATTTGGATAAAAACGGACTCGCAGTAATCCCAAAGAAGACAAAGGAGGAGGAAGAGAAGGAGAAGGAGAAGGAGAAAGAGAAGGTGTTTTCCCAGAACATGCAGATGGTTCGGTTGTGTGCGTGTTTGCAGGACGAAGAGACGCCGATGCTTGCAATGAATCGGCTGCGTCCCAAACCGGAGAAAAAGGAGAAGAAATCGCGGCATCGCCTTGCGTTTGAGCGAGTGGAGGAGAAAGAACTCTCTCCAGAAGAGAAGGAGTTCAATAAGAGGACGATCGACGTGATTTCGGAAGCGTGCTCGGTGTTGATCGAGGAGTTTTTGAACATTTACGAGATGAAGAAGGAGGAGATTAAGCGGTTGGTAGTGGTAGGCTTCGCTGCGAGGTGTGTCGTAGATCAACTTCGCTACGAACGAGAAGCGATGGGAGTACAAGTGGCAAGTGTTGCCTGATGGGAGCAAGGGCGAATCGGAAGTTTATGGCGTGTTCAGCACTGCGCAGATGGTGGAATGGCACGAAATGGGCTGCTTTGTGTCCAATCCGCTGATTCGTCGTGTGGGACAACAAGGAACGAAAGCAGAGGAATCGTTCACTGCTGCGGACTTCGACGCTGCGTTCGAAGATGAGAAGGAAAATCCGTGGATCGCCGCGGATCAAATCGATTATTTCACAGACTAACGTGCTTGACTGTTTATTTGTTTGTTTGTTTGATTGATTGATTGATTGAGGTACAAACAATGCATAAATGTACGTGCCGATTATTCTCACTCAGCTTTCTCTCTCTTCTCCTTTTCTCTTCAGTCCTTCTTCACCTCCTCCACAGGCTTCTCCACGGGCTTCTCCACGGGCTTCTCCACGGGCTTCTCCACGGGCTTCTCCACGGGCTTCTCCACGGGCTTCTCCGCAGACTCCTTCACCTTCACTTCGTTTCCCAAAATCTTCTCCGCGTCCTTCTTCGTCTTCAGCGTGTACAGCGGCGACACGCTCTGGTTCAGATACACCGCATGGATGATCTCCGCGAGCAGCGGCGCGATATTCAGCCGCTCGAACTTGGGATTCTTCTACGCCTCACCGCCGCTCCTCGCCCCCACCTTCTCGGCCTCGCACGCGGGCACCGTGTTCGTGGAGATGATCCGCTCGATCGGCGCCTTGTCCAGCTGCTCCACGGCCTTCTCGTCGAACAGTCCGTGCGACAGCACCACGCTGATCTTCCGCGCGCCCTGCTCCTTCAGCACCTTCGCGACACGGCACAGCGTATCGCCGGTCAGACTGTAGTTATCCACGATGATCGCCTCCTTCCCCGCCACATCGCCCACCACTTCGTGGCTGTTCTCGATCGTCGCGTACACCGTCGACAGCGCCGCCGAGTCCGCCTCGCGCTCCGTGCTGTCGATCACGTTCGAGTTGTTCTTGTCCACGTTCAGCACGCGCGAATGGTCCACTTCGATCGCCATTCCCATGTACGTGTTCGGGCATCGCAGCGTCTCCAGCGACTCCCGCAGCGCCTTCGCGCGGTACACGTTGTGAGCGTTCGCCGCCACCACGATCGGCGTGTCCAGCGTCTCCGTCTCCATCAGATACGCGCCGAGCAGATGCATTACCGGAATGCTGTCCACCGAAATCGTCGGCGGGAAGAAGCCTTGCAGCTGCTCCTTGTACAGGTCCACCGAGATCACGCTGTTCACGCCCGCCGTCTGCAGCATCTCGGCGACGTCCGCTCCCGTCAGGCAGTTGTGCATCGTGCCGATTTCGGTGATGCGGCCGTAGCCGTAGTACGGAATCACCGCGCAGATGCTGCTCGCCGACGCGCGGCGGGCGGCACTGATGAACAGGAGGAGCTCCATCAGGTTGTCGTTCACCTAGGAGTGAGGAAAGCCGAGGAGGAGCACGGGAGGACACGTCGATTGCACGATGAAGATCTTCTTGCCACGCACGTTGCGGTTCAAACGGATCTCGATCTCGCCGTCGTTGAAGCGGTCCACTACGGCGTCCTGAAGATTGACACCGAGATAACTGCAGATCGACTTCGCGAGCTCGCGGTTTCCGCTTCCCGAGAAGATCCTAAATAATAAAGGAACGAAATGAAAGCAACAGAAGCTCCTTATTGTGGTACTGCTGCGTATCTCCCTTGTAGATGTATCTCCCTTTCGTTGTCTTCCACTCCGGATGCTCCTACACGAGTCACGCCCCATTTGCATGCACGACCTACATTATCCTTACTCTGAGCAAAAGCTCTCGAAGTGAGATAGCAGCAAGTCAAACCAAGTGCACCCGCTCCCAAAATGCCACCGACATTCCAGGAAGCCTGGTTTGTACCGGTAGATTGAACTCGAGTCAACGCCTTTCTCAGCAAGGGAGAATTCGCTCGATTCACAAATCGTGCCGTCTGCTTGACAGAACACCCAAACAGTTTGCTCCACATCGTATTTTTGCAAAGGAGGTGGAGAAAGGGAGTTTCATCGGAGCTAAGTGATTAAAACAAAGAGAAGCAACGTTCCTAGTCATCCATCATCATTCGTTTTTCTTCCTCGTCCTCTGACTTGTTCATTTTCCGCTTTCGCCGCTCGTTGATGAAAGTGAACGGATCCACAACGGCATCCAGATCTCCATTCTCTCCGAGCACATAAAGGACATTTTTCTGGAAACAGATACCGATGATCCGACTCCGACTCCGGAGATTGATCGTATGTCTCTCTCTCAGAGCTGCATCATTCTCCTCCTTTCCACTTCCATTGTAGAACAAGATTTCATTATCATCGCCGCATAAATACATCCCCAAAATGCTCCCTCCACTTTCTTCGTCTTTTATCGTGTCCGAAACGGCTCCTAATATTGTGCTGCGAATCGGAGCTCTCCATCTATATTATTAGAATATATATTGAGTAGAAGATTGCATACCGCTTCACAATCTTCAGATTGCGTGAGTTCAGAGAAAAAACGCCGCGGTCGTTTTCCGTGCAGGCGCAGACGCTCCCATTGGAAAAACTGCAAACACAGCTCACAGGATTCGATCCTATGGACACATGATGAAAGGCGGTGATGTCTCGGTTGTTTGAAATGTAGTACTGCGTTAACTGCTTTCCCTCTCCGACTACGATCGTGCACTCGTCTCTCCAGCAAGCGCAACGCGGGTGACCCTGAGCAAAGATGACAGTTTGGTTGCCGTCCACCAGCGAAACCACATTTAGCGTATTTGACAAGCCATGAAGCGAAAAAAGCTATATTTAATATAAGAGTGACACAAAGTGAGTCGAACCATGTTTCCCGAAGGAGAGAGGCGGATTTGCGTCCAGCTCTCTTCCAAGGTGTTGTGAACGGAATCAGAGTGTACAAAGGTTTTGAGCAGATCAAGTTTCCCGGGTGTGGTCTCTTCGAAGACTTTAACCGTTCCACAATTATCGACAGCACAAACCAAAACTACCATCCACACAATGAATAGGGACTACACTTCTGCAACGAACTTGAAAACCCGGAGCACACACTCTGAATTGGGCGGGAAAGCTTCCCAACGAGCGATGCAGATACCATTTGAATAGGCGATTCGCGCTCGGTGACCGATAGTTGCGACTCATCGAACGCCGGAAGCTACAAAATTAGTCAGCAAATTAGGAATACATTCAAGAAACAAATATCGCAATTTGATACAAAGTATACACCATTCGTCGAAGAACTACAAGCGGCAGCCTCTGCTTGCAGTGCTCCGTATCGGATTCCGTATCTACAATCCGCGCTTTCAATCCTGTAGCGGTACATGAGGATAATAAGACTAACACAAATCCTAAAACTATAATTCTTTTCGAACGATCGTGTACTTGTTATTCCTAATACTTCCATATTGGAATGGAGGCAATTTCTATTCAAGAATGCTTACAAAAGCTAAAAACGGAATTTGACGCACCTGAAGAGGTTTTACGAGATGTAGCAATGGGTGATAATTCTGATGTTGAGATAGTCATAAACTGCAATGTGGACTATGTGGATGCATCCAATATGTGTAGGGACCTCGGTTTGACTCCTAAACACGTTGTGAGCAATCATTCCACTGGAGAAAAACCGGCCCCGTCATGCGAGATGGACGACACTATTTGCGAAGCGTTTTTAGAGTACTCTTTTTCTGATTCCCCAAACATAGTGATGACATTTTAAAATTGCATGATTTATTCCCAGACAGAGATATAGCTGCTCTTGCGAGTCTCTACTGGGACAACAACAACAATCTCCAAAAAACAGTGAATCATATTCTCAGAGAGCAATCAAGTCGATATTCCCTTCTCCCTTCATCTCAGAGTTTAAACGTGACACTCCCGAGATCGAATCGGAATACCTCAAATACAAATACTCCTTTATCCCCTCCGATCAAATCATGTCCGCTTTTATTCGCAGCAAAAACGACTACGACGCCTGCGTGCAGCTCATCGAGACCGAGTTCAAGGCGCAGATCCACGCGCACTGGACGGAATACTCGCTTTTCAAGCGGAAATACCAGAATTGCAGCCATCGCTATGTCGTAAACGAGCTCAAAAAGCAGGTCACGTACTGCAAACCCATCCAGATCGAAGACGACGAAGAGTATTCGCCGCCTTCGTACGTGTCACGTGCGCTTTCCGCGGTTATTTGATGACGTGTAGAGGACACGATGATGAGCACCGCGAAGCGACACGAGGTTTGGAAGTGCCAGCAGAATCTGCGCGTGCTGCAGAATAAGCGAGCAGAGGAGTGTCGTGGTAATGGGAAGTATTTAGACTCAACCACGCGGGCGGTAGAGGCTCATGCGATGTGTGATGTAGATCGCGCGACAGAAAGAGCAGTGCAGTCTCTCAAACGAAGAGGCGGGTCGTGTGATTTTTCAGCAGCATAACGGAACGAATTCGCTGCAGTATTTGATCTCGAAGTTTGGAATTTTTAGCAAAAATCGTGACATTTAGTGGGTATAATATCGATTTTCATGGACTGCAAGTGCGCGAGGTGGAGAGTTATATGGACAAGATTTTGGAGATTGGGAGAAAACGGAAGTCGCGCACTCGTGTTACCGTGATCACCGGATCGGGAAACCATTCGTAGAGATCGAGAGGAAGCGTGAGGCATAGGACGAACAACATCTCAACGATTCGAAGGTATATTCAAAACCGTTTGCAGAGAGAAAACTGCCCTTATACTATTAATGGAGCCTATTTGACTTTCACTTGCTAGAAACAGCGTTTTACTCGGTATTTGTTTTACGTTTTTTTGAGCCGTTTGTTTGTTATTCAAAGGAGTGTGTGTGTGTGGGAGAATGAGAATTATATTTGTTTCTCTACGAGTTTCACGGTATGTCTTCCCGAGTTTTCCCTTCGATCGCTAGACAGTTGGCAAGAGGTGGCCGCACCTTGTCTCAATCGCTGTATCATTCACTCTTTTCGTTTATTTACAAGAGTTCGACCACAGAGACAAAATGTAGTATTTGGAATGATGAAGAGAAATCATAATCTGCTTCGTTTTGCTGAGTTCGGTGATGCAGCTTCTATCAATACTTTGAGCAAGATGAATAGAATGAAGGCGCTCTCTAGAATTGGAGTATAGGATTCTTGTTCTGATTACTGAAAGGTGACCCGTTTACAAGTCGCCGCTATGTCTGCGCTGATTCTCTCTTCGTGCAATACAGTTTCTATGCTGAGTGAAGTGCTGACGTCGATGATAAGCGAGGAGGAAGATGAGGAAGGCAGTGTCTCGTAAGCTATGGTATTTGCAAGTTCCCTGTAGTCGTCTATTCCTACTCGACGATGTATAGCACGTGTTTAAAACAAAGACGTTAATCGCTTTTTAGTAAAAATGGTTGTTTGAGTTTAATTGATTTGTCCACTTGCGAATGAATTCGTTTGGCAAACTCCTCTTTCCCCTCGTCCTTCGGCGTTTGCCTCGCTATCAGCATCACCACATGCTTTAGAATCGGCGTCAGCGCTTCCGGCGACAAAAACGGCAGCAAACTCCACCTGCACTTCGTTGTGAGCATCAAATTCTCCGTGTTCACCGCGTTGATCTCCGCGTTCACCGGCACAAACGGCGGTAATCGGCCGTCCTTCCCACACTGCACCACCTCGCCGAAGACCTTCGCATACGCAGCTTTGTATCGACTCAGCAGTTTCCCTGGTTTCCCCGGTTTCTCCGATTTATCAGCGGGTCCTGGCTTTCCGAAGAAGGATCGAATGTCGGCCTGCGCGCGTTCGTTCTGCCGGTTTTCGGCGATTAATTGATGCTCCTGCAGCCGCGCCTGCTGCCAGGCGATGCAATCCACCCAGTCCGAGGGGAGATAGGGAGATAAGGCGATGTGATACTTCTTCTGCAGGCTAGGAGTGAGAGAGGAAGGCGAGTCAAGACGCTTCGACGCACTTGACGCGCTGCTTTGCAGAGACATCGAGACAGGCGGTGAGTTTCTGAACGTCTTCGGAGATGGCCAGAAGCAGCTTTTTGGGTCTGTGTGATGAGATGTGGGTCGAGAAGGGACATGGAACGATCGGAAGCTTTGGAGAGATCGAGAGGAGATTCGAGAGTGGAGGGCGAAGGCGATGGACGCTTCCTTGAAGGAGCTGAAGAGGGCGGTTCGGGGAGAGAGGAGTGTGTGTGAGACGCAGAGGAGGGAGTGGTTTGTGTAGCAGAGGCAGAAGAAGAAGAAGAAGAAGAAGCGGTCGGTTTGGCTTTCTTCTCGGGAGATGGCTTTGATTTGGGTTTGGGTTTGGGTTTGGGGTTGGGGTTGGGGTTGGATTGAGGAGAAGTGGAGGTGGGAAGAAGGGTTTCTTGGCTTTTAGAAGGGTGGAGAGAAGATGGATTTGAAGTGGAAGGAGGGGGAAGAAGGGATGATGAAGCGGGTTCGAGGGACTGGGAACCGAGCGAAGTCGATTTGGAGGCGTGTTGATTGAAATTGATGGTGCTTTGCATGGATTTCTGCGTGCTTTGCATGGATTTCCTCGCAGTCTGCGTCGTCTTCGCTCCCTTGATCCCCGGTTTCCCCTTTTCCACCGCTATTCTGCTTCCCAACCCAATCTTCCTTCGAATCTGCTCCGCAATCGACTCTTCCTCCTCCTCCTCTTCTCCCCCGCTATCGCTGAATTCTCCGTTCGCGTTCACGTGATACATCTGCCCACTCCGAATCCTCGGCTTGCGCCACTCCCTTCTCTCTTCTTCCTCTTCCTCTTCCTCCTCTTCTTCCATCCGCTGCTGAAACAACTCGCGCGCGGTTTGGAACATTCCGAAGCCTCCTTCGTGCCTACCGTCCATCGCTTCGCTCACACCCACGCTGTCGATTTCGGCGGAAAACGCAGCGTCGAGGACGGCAAGCGACGCAGCGCCACATTGCTGGCTCGCACCTGCTCGGGGTTCTACGTTTCACCCATCCCCTTTCCGCACCTTGCAGTAATCGCAGCACTTCGCAGGGTCGGTTTTCCCCTTCTACCCCTCACTTCGCTCTCGGCATTGCCCACCTCCTCTTGGAAATACTGCAAAATCCGCTTGCGCCGACACGCGTTCTCCGAGCAGAACTGCATCACCGCCTTCAACTCGTCCAGCTGTCGCTCTGCGCCTCACTCGCCTTCCTCTCCCCTACCAACCCGCTTCTCGTCGTCATCCCGCTTGATCATGAACGCCATCGCGTTTCTACGTTTCTCCAATCCTCTCATCGCCTACACGTCTTCTCGACTATAATACACCACGGAATCGGACGGCAGTCCATCGCGCCCCGCTCGCCCGCTCTCCTTTCATTCACCGCCTCGCCCCGCCCCGCCTACCTGATAATAATTATACAGCGACTGCGGGAGATTCCAGTGCACCACTAACCGCACATCGTTCTGCGCCTCATCCCTCACTCTCGCTCCCACTTTGTTGATCCCCATCCCGAACGCGATCGTCGCCGCGATCACGCGACAGCGATCCTCCGTCCAGCTCTTCAGCGCCTCTTCCTTCTCCTTCCCCTATTTCTCAGCCCTCTGCACGCAACGCGACGCTCAGAGACCCGTGATACACCGCCGTCGCGAACCCCTTCTCGCACAGAAACTCGCGCAGTCGCTCCGCCTCGTCCTTCTTCCGCACTACAATCGATCCCCGCGGGAATCACCACCATAAATGATCACCGATTCGCCGCGATGCGCCTGCAGGAGTTTCACCAAGTGCTCGTTCTTGTCGATGTTCTCCGCGCGGACCACCTTTCCCTCATTTCTCCTTTTCGCCCTCACTGAATAGAAAATGTTCGGACGGTCGAACGACTCCGAGATCGTTTTGGCCGCGGGGATCTGCAGCTGCACCTTCACGTCCTTCACGATCGCCTAGATCCCAAGCGATTCCCGCGGTTACCTCCGTCGCCGTGGCGGACAGCGCCATGATCGGCGTGTTGGGCAGCGCGGTGCGCAGAGCGGATAAACCGCGGTAGGCAGCGCGGAAGTCGTGGCCCCACCTGCAAAAAAAGCCACGAATTTTGGCAACGTGCTGATGCAATGCGCTTCATCGATGGCCAGAGCGACGAGTTCCCCGCGGCTCTCGATCGAGCGGAGGAGAGAGAGGAAGTCGGAGAGCTGGAGACGCTCGGGCGTGACGTAGAGAAGGCGGTAGCAGCAGGATTTGGCGCGGAGCGAAGCCAGAACGCTGCGATACTCGGAGGCCGACTGGGCGCTGGAGAGATAGGCGCAGGGAATGTGGCGTTCGCGGAGTTCGCGGACTGGAGGGGAGACAGAATGGCTAAGAGTACGCTGGTCTTGCATTAGGGCGATCAGCGGAGAAACGACGACACAAAGCCCATTTCGAACGAGGGGAGGAATTTGGTAACACAGAGATTTCCCTCCTATGCAACAGAACACTTGATAGACTCATACCTCCGGTTGGCATCAGCACAACGACATCTGAACCTTCTAAAATCGAGCGGATTGCGTCTAGATGAAAAGTATCTAAGAATTGCAAACCATATTGACGACTGCGGAATTCCTTGTATCCGAACCTAAAATCATGACGTCAACTCCGACAACACTACCATTTTCGTAAAGCAGCATAGATTTCTGTTTTCAACTTATCCTCAGTTTTTTCCGACATCGATAGTGCGGATTTATTACACAGACGTTATCGAAATCAACTGCAACGAGTCCAGGAGATATCAATAAAGAATCTACACGTCAATTCTGGCGGGAGAGTTTGTTGGATCTAGGAATGGATGAGAGGAGTCCACCCACACCGTAGAGCTGCCCCATACCAACCAAGCTCATTTTTCCAACAAACACAAAACTGGGCAATATCCATATAGACGTAATCGAAGTCAAACACATCCGGGTGTCCGATGTGCTGCACCGCCTCATGCGACTTCATCCACTCGCTCCACGAGAAGGGAGGCACGCCATCGACCGTCGGTCCATTCACAGCCCACACTCCCATGTTATTGTTGTGGAGCGACGTCGAGGTCACCTTGCTATCGATGGCTCCGAAATGTCTCGGGTTGCTCGTGTCCAGATCATATCTCGACGCGATGACCTACGCTGGAGGGATCCCACCCATTCGCATACGTGGCGCGGATTTCCCTCAGCCAGCGGATCGTGCAGGTAGTCGTTCGAGCGCAGAATCTTCAAGAACCCGTCGAGATCCTTCACGAGCGGCTAGACGAAAGAGAAAGAGAGAGAGGGAGTACGGCATCGCGCTGGAAGATGTTGTGTCGCGAGCAGTTGTAGTAGTCGTTTTCAGGGGTCGCTGGCTGCGAGGGATAGCCCGATTTCTCGTAGATTTCGCGGATGTAGGGGATGTTGTACGACGCCCAGTAGCCCTATCTCTAAATCGTGGAAACCGTGGAAACCGTCTCGCGAAGCGTGCGCGTGACGTCCTCCTTGATGGTGAGTCCCGGGATCTGCTCGACGATCCACATCAGATTCTCGGTCTTCTGCGCGCCGTTCAGGTCCACAGCCATCCACTAACTGAAAGTTTCCCCGTTTCCCCACCTGGTTGTTGTAGGTTCCGCTGTTGTAGAGGGAGAAGATGTCCACCCAGGTCTTGGGATCGTGCGCGAGCATGTTGCTGACCTGGCTTCGCTAGGCTGAATGGCATCGACTAACGCTACAATGAACGAAGGGACCGTGTCGGTGGTGCAGTACTTGTAGAGCTGCTCGTCGTAGATGGCGTTGGTCGTCTCCATGGCGCCGATTCCAAACCCATTCACGTAGAAATCGTCCTTGGAGTTCACGAAGCCTGCCACTCAACCACGCCCTCTTCGCCGACCTGGCGACGCGGAGAAGCTCAGCCGCACCGTCTCGCTGTGGTAGTGGAACTCGTAGAACTTGTAGTGGCGCAGCATCGCCGCGAAGTTTCGCCACGTCGCGTGGCCCATGTAGATTTCGCCGTTCTCCATGCGACGCACCAGCGCGGAGCAGTCCAGCATCGTCAGCCACTACGCTCGATCCAGCGCTCGGTGGGATTACCTCGCGGTCTCCGGGGTTGAACATGTCCAGCAGCGTCTCCATGTCTCCGTCCGCGTTGTGCATGTACATCTCTTGGAACGTGATCTGCTCGTTCGGGCCGCGGCGCGCGTTGAATCTGAAGGGAGAAGGGTAAAAAACATGGAGCTACCCGTTCGTCAGACCCTCCACCTGTTTCATCATCAAATTGACGTAATGCCAGTAGCGCTCTTCACCCTTCGGGGGATTTGCTAGGCAGTTATCGAAACGAGGAGCACGTACAAACCATTTTGCGAATGAACGCGATCTGCTCCTTCAAGTAATTCTCAATTCCTGCGGGAATCGGGTTTGATCCAAAGTTGATCGCACGAATGTTGCTGACATGCTGAGCAATGCGCTCGTACTCGACGTATCCTTCAAGATATCTAGCTATCACCGCACACCAAGAAGATACCCTGCAGCTTCTGCCTGAATCTCATCGGGGTAGTGGCCATCCGTCACGACTTTGATATGGCCCCATCCGTCCTCCATAATCTTATCCTCGTACCACAGTGTCGCGATCGATGATCTTAAATAGCCCTTCGACACTTTGTAACTAGTTTTGAGGATTCCCAACATCGCTTACGAGCCATCTTGACCTTGGTAAATAACTGAATATCTCTCGGCCGAGACCAGCGCGATGAGGAGAACACAGCACAATATAGCAGATCTCATAGTTTCGTATGCGTACTCTAAAAAATACTGTCCAAATCCGGGGCAGAAAATGAACACTGTCTCGTCCAATCAGATGCGTTTTTCACAAACACGTTAAAGACAAATACGATTAATCCAATATTACTTTAATCATTACGAAACGATGAGGAAACATCATTACAAGAGCACAGAAAAAGAAAAAGAAAGGAAAGTGGGAAGAAAACTAGCGCAAATCGAACTCTACTGTGGACTTTCTCTGTTGTGCCTCTGCATCTCGCTCAACGCCTGCTGTGCGATGTATTCAATAACGGACAGGCAGTCATCGTCGTCCAACTTTGATTCCATTTCGAAGATGTCGTGTGAGGTTCTCCCAAACCGCAACAAATCACAACACCGCCTTCTCAGCTTCTGAATGCACCTTCTCCAATCGAGTCCTCTCTTTTCCACCTCGCACAAAAAGAGCTCCAGTCGGCGGCAGAACTCCACGTCGTTAGATTTCCCACAAAAATGGCGCTTCTCGTCGAAGTTGCGCTTCTCTAAGTGCCGGTGAAACAAGAGGGCATTCTGCGTGGAAGTCTTTTTTTCCTTCCATTCCGGAAAAACGGAGTACACGGCCGACTACGAGTAAGTTATTTACACTGTGAATACCCAGAAGAGCTTGTTTTCGCTTCGATACTGTTCCTCCAAGGCTAGATATCAAACGTGGAACAAAAAGGAACAGGCTGAACTCACTGAATTCGACGATTCCACTGACAAGGATCTGCTTCGTTGTTGAGCAGACGCATCTAAACTGAACCTATAGCGATAGGAGATAGGGATATGAGGAAGGATGGTAGATAACATGCGGTAGACGTTGACGTATTGCTGCTTTCTATTTTCGTGCAGATTGCACCCTGAACTCTTGAGCTCACTGAGAAAACATCCCAGTCTTGCGACGGAAAACTGAATATTCATGAGTGTTTCTTCTATGTCTGCAGAAATCTCTTCTTCCTTCCGCGAAGCCAATGCAGGAGACCCTCCCACCTGCTTTCCGTCTGAAGTGACTACAGTCCTCTCTTTCGAATACACCCTACCCGTTATATCTGTATATAGATTTCTATCGGCACTCATCGGGAGTCGTACAAAATAGGACAGAACGGTCACTTTTCGATTCTCCATTTCCCTGTTTCTCCGTTTGATTTGACGAACTTTGTCAAATCAAACATAGAAAACCGGCCGAGCGATTTCAAACAAACACACCAAACTACTAATCGGACGAATCAGAAGAAGACGAATAGTGAGCACGTCGTCGATCTTCTGAATGAGCTTTCGTTTCAACTCGTTTTCTCTCCATCCCTTCTTCTTCTTCTTCTCTATGTCCCACGTTGGACTCATCTCTCTGTCTCTTCTTCTCTCCCTCCTTCTCCTCATCCGAATAGGAGTACGAATAGGAGTACGAGTAAGAAGGCGACGACGAGCGATTGGCGTCTTTGCGCTTCACTAACTTTATCGGCTTTTTATCTCCAGGAGCTTTCTTTCCGTTCAGGATATTAAACGCTTCCGGTTTTGATTCCTTCTTGTCAATGTCCTTCTGGCTGAGCTTCTGATCCTTTTCCTCTCCTTCCGAATCGTCGGAATAGGAATAGCTGTAGCTGTAACTGTAGCTATAACTGCCATCCGAACCCTTCTCATCGGGTTTGGAGTAGGAATAGCTGTAGCTGTAGCTGTAGTCAGAATAGGAGTCACTTTCGTTTTGATTGCCGTTTCCATTCTTCTTCGATGCTTCCAGCAAGGCTTCGGACTGTTTGATCAATGCGTCGCGTTCCTTCTGTTGCTTCTCCAACACGTCTGGAGGCAGCTCTGTAGTTAGAGGCCGGACGAGTTTCGGATGTTTAAGCTAGGAGTGATGAAAACAAAGGGGAACCCAACTTGTTGCGTTTCCGAGGGTCGAACTTGATAAACACGCTCATTTTTGCACTCATATGTATAGTGGTCCGTGGAATAACAGCGCTGGCAGAATTTCGTGCCTACTGAATTATTTCACTGTTCTCGTCTCGTACCCTGGTTCTTTTTCTCCTTTTCGCGCTTCATATTCGTGAACCAGGTGTGGCCACGATTCTCTCGTGTTCTCCAATCTGGCTCCTCTGGCTTCTTCCACCGCCGATTCTGACCCGAACTCATCCGTAAAACGAAAAGGCAGTTGTTAGAGAGTAAATGTATACCACAAACACGTCAAATATGTACAGAACGCACACAGGCCTCTAGCATATACATCTCGTCCGACAATTTCCGATATTTCTGATAGAACTCCTACATTACACATCCCTCTCTCCACTACCTTCACTTCGATCTCCTGGTTGCACAGCTCCGTCTTCATCATCTCCAGCTGCTGCTTCCGCATCTCGATTTGCTCGTTCACCGCCTCGATCAATTCCCGCGGTTGATACATCTATTTCGCACGTTTTTGCCGCGCCTACCTTCATATGACTGCTGATATACGTCTGCATCGTCTCGATGCTCTGCTTGAGTTCCTTGTTCTCCTTCTGAATAGCCTCCGCCTCCTCCAGCGTTTTCTCGAACTACATGCCAACCCTGCCTCGCTCCCCACGCTGCTCGCTGCGGTTTCGAAGCGCTTAATCCACTCCTCTGCAGAAGGGAAGCGCAGAATTTGCTGAATACATTTCTGACTGTCCAGCAGCGAATCGGCTTTCTCCGGATGCGCCAGAAGATCTTGCAGATAGTCCTCTCTACAGGTTGAATGAATAATTATGGCTTTGGTACGTCGACGTTTTGGGGAGAATCGCAGACACCTACCTGTCAGAGAATTAAACAGAACCTACCACATAGGGCCACCAGCCCTCACTGGTGTCCGGAATGTTTATCGGAGTCATTCCTCCCATTCCAGGAGTCGGGGGACTCACGCCTCTCGTTGTTTGGGGCATCATGACTCCCGAAGCGGAAGATGTGCTGATCACGGATGGAGAGTAGCCATAGATGTGGGAAGCAGTAGGAGGAGGCAGAAAGGAGGGAGACTTTCCATGGTCAATGGGATATACACCTGCAGCTTGCAAATCCCTAAAAACAGCGCTCACTACACATAGCAGAAACGAGAGAAAAGTACAAACATCGGAAAGCCATTGCCTTCCATCAAAGTTGGTTAAGCGCGGATCATTCACATAACTGCAGTTTTTACCGATTAGTTTACAATCAACAGGCTTTGTGAACTCCAAAATCACACCTCCTGATGGGAAGTTGTTCGTAAGAGTAAGTTCTACACCATCAGCACCTCCATCCGCACGCAATACTCATATCATAGGTGAATCCGGAGAAGGACTGCTGTAGATAGAAGCAATTTCCAGTCTCTTTAATATTGGGAAACGTTTCTCGCAGACGCATCTTCTGCTTCGCAACATCAAACGACATGGCCATAAAGTCGATTCAAAGAAAAATACTTTTATAGCAAACCGCGATTCTAACAAACAGCCCAAACAAACTAAAGTTTCGCTAAATAATCGTCCAGCTGCCCTGCAGACGCCAGCACCAGTCCCAGGAAGGGCGGCGATGGCTTCAGCGGTCGGCTCAGGAATTCGGGATGATACTGGCAGGCGACGAAGAAGGGATGATCCTCGCCTAGAATCTGACTCTCCCGCTTCTGCCCTACGCTCCATCTCCAAGACCTCCATGCGTTCGTTCTCCGTGCAGGTGGCGACGAACTTGAGTCCCTGGGACTCCATGAAGGGAACCACTTCGGGGTTCACTTCGTAGCGATGGCGATGGCGCTCCACGATCTCTGCCCGTCACTCCGCGCCCTCTGCCCCACGCTTCTTTCGTCCGTACAGACGGAACATGATCGAGTCGGCGGCGCTGTCCTTGAACACGGAGATTCGCTCGCCCAGTCGCATCGTGCCTCCCTTCTGCTCCACGTCGTGCTCCGGCATCGAGATCACCACCGGGTGCGTCGTCGTCTTGCTGAACTCCTGCGAGTTCGCGTCCTCCCACTCGCACACATCTCTACGCCTCGCCTCGCCCTCTCTTCTCTACCTCGCGTAGCTGATCACCGCCACCTGCAGACCCAGACAGATCCCCAGATACGGCTTCTTCTGCACGCGCGCGAACGACGCCGCCTTCACCATGCCCTCGATGCCGCGATCGCCGAACCCTCCGGGCACCAGAATCCCGTCCGCCGCGTAGAGTCGGTCCCACGCGGCCTGGTACTTCGCCGGATCCGCGTCCTTGGTGCCGTCCTCCAGATCCGTGGCCTCCACCCAGTCGATCACCGGCTTGCGCCCGATCGAGTACGCGGCGTGCTTCACCGACTACCGCTCAGCGCGCCGCCGCAGCAGCAGCCCTACCTTCGAGACGGAGATGTACGAGTCGCACAGATGCGTGTACTTCCCCACGATCGCGATCCGGACCTCCGTTTCCACGCTGTCCACGCGGGCTGCGAGCGCCTCCCACTCGTGGAGATCGGCGGGGCCCACGGGCAGCTCGAGGAGCTTCAGAATGTTGCGCGCGGCGTGCTGCTCGCGGAGAACCAGAGGGACGTGGTAGATGTTGCTCACGTCCGGCACGCCCAGCACGTTCTCCACCGGAACGTCGCAGAACAGAGCGATCTTGCGCTTGGTGTCCTGCCACTCAGTGGGGTTCCACGTTTCTACCTCTTCGAGGGGCGTCGCGGTGCGGCAGATCAGGAAGTCGGGGGAGAGGCCGGTGGCGCGGAGCTCCTTCACGGTGGTCTGCGTCGGCTTGGTCTTTTGCTCGCTGCCATCGAGGGAACACTCAAGCACTACCCGACCACGCCGATTACAGGCACCAGACTCACATGGCAGAGAACGGCGTTCTGACGACCCACTCGCTTCATCAGCTGGCGGATAGCCTCCAGGAAAACCATGCTCTCGATGTCTCCCACAGTTCCACCCACTTCGATAAGACACACGTCCGCCTTGTCGCCGTTGTCGTTAATGGGCAGATTGGCCACACGTTCGATCCAGTCCTAGAGAAAATGGATACGAATAGAGCCAGGCAAGTACTTGGATCTCGTTCGTAGCATGGGGAATAATTTGCACAGTCTTTCCGAGGTAGTCTCCTCGCCGTTCCTTCTCAATTACACGCTGATATACCTTTCCGGTGGTGATGTTGTTATCTCGAGTCAATTTTACATCCAAAAACCGCTCATAGTTACCGAGATCAAGATCGACCTCGCCTCCGTCAGCAAGCACGTACACCTCTCCATGTTCATAGGGGCTCATTGTACCAGCATCGCAGTTCTACAGCATAATCATGGCGAAACCATCCGCTACTAGATACGGATCAATCTTGATAGAAGTCACTTTCACTCCATGAGCTTGAAGCAATCTACCCAGGGAACTGATTGTGATTCCCTTTCCCAGACCACTCAGTACTCCTCCAGTAACAATGAGGTATTTCATTTGGAATATACTAAAGAACTCTGAAGAAATCGCTTCTCCCACAAGAATCGCAAAAATACCCAAAAGGTTCGATATATGGCATCAAATCCACTGCGCTTTTTCTTCGCTTTTGGGTCACCCCTTGTCTCAAAGATGGCTGCTTTGCTTTTTGCACTTTTCTGGGTGGATTTTCCCACCTTGGAAATGGGACCTTGCAAAACATAATGTATACGAGTAGAGGATAATGTAGCATGGGCTAGAGAGTCGTTTTATGCGGTTTTTAGGTCGGAGAACGTCTTGGTGTAAATAGTGCAGAAATAGGAAGTAGAATAGACAGGGGAAATGAACGTCCCGTTCTTTTGCAGTATTCGTTGGTGAATATGAAAGTAGAGTTTGAGTGAACGATTCTTGGTGGATTTTTGTTAGAATCGTAATATTTGATTGATTGCAAATAATTGTTATTCCTTCAAAGCACTATCTAGTTGATTTCGTTTTCTCTTCTTTCACTACACCCAGAGTTGCCTCTATTTACACTTCCTAACCTATTCTTACCATTCATATCACAAAGGACTGGAGGATTCGGGAACACCAAAACCCGATCACACAACCATAAACGCTTAATAACCTTGTTGTTTTTCCTGTATTTTGTTTTCTCGATATCGGCAGACTATGAATAGCAAATACACCAAGGCAACGGATCTCATTTTCAAATCGAAGCAAAACCCGCTCACTGGAAAGCCCTTCTCGGATAATTATTACAAAATATTGGAAGAAAGAAAGAAATTACCCGTTTTCGAGTTTCTTGACACACTCGAACAAGCCGTCGATTCCAATCAAGTAATTATTGTGGAGGGAGAAACAGGATCGGGCAAAACAACCCAAATTCCTCAAGTAAGTAGTTTTCGAGTGTTTTGAATGAAATAGGCTTTAACGCTTCACTATTTGTCTAAAAATCCTGATTCGAATAAAATGATTTGCTGTACTCAACCTCGTCGTGTAGCTGCTTTGACTGTTGCAAAACGTGTTTCCGAAGAAATGGACGTTGAATTTGGGGAGGAGGTTGGTTACACGATTCGATTTGAAGACTATACGAGTGAACGAACAAAGTTGAAGTATATGACAGACGGTATGTTAGAACGAGAAGCAATGAACGATCCTTTATTGTCTCGTTATTCTATAATTTTGTTGGATGAAGCTCACGAACGAACATTAGCGACGGATATAATGATGGGTTTACTGAAAGAACTATTACCGAAGCGTCCTGATTTGAAACTAATCGTAATGAGTGCAACTCTGGATGCGGGTCGATTCCAGGTATGCAAAACAATGCAAAGCAAAGCAAAGCAATGCAATGCAAAGCAAAGCAATGCAATGCAAAGCAAAGCAATGACTAACACATAGAAATACTTCAACAATGCTCCTCTTTTCTCTGTCCCTGGCCGCGTGTATCCAGTGGACATTTACTTTACTCCCAAGCCAGAGCGCGAATACGTGGAAGCGGCGATCCGCACTGTGATCCAGATCCACTTGCTGGAGGATCCTGGCGACATTCTGCTTTTCCTAACAGGCGAGCAAGAAATCATGGACACTTGCGATCGTTTAGAAGAAGAGCAGGCCAGTTTCCCGAAAGACAAGCAGAATCTGATTGTATTGGCTGTTCTCTGTTTTTCTCTCTCTCTAGATCCTGCCTCTCTTCTCCTCGCTTCCTCCCCAGCAACAGCAGCTTGTGTTTGAGCCCACTCCGGAAGGAAGCCGGAAAGTGGTGATTGCGACGAATATCGCGGAGACTTCGATCACAATCAACGGGGTTGTGTATGTGATCGATCCAGGATTCAGCAAGCAAAAAGTCTACAATCCTCGAATCCGCGTGGAGTCGTTGCTCGTAACTCCAATCAGCAAAGCATCGGCTCGTCAGCGTGCGGGTCGCGCAGGCCGAACGCGTCCAGGGAAATGCTTCCGATTATACACGGAGGAATCATTCAACACGCAATTGCTGGTACCATATGGAGTGATTCGCAGTGATGTACTAGGAGCAAAGCTATCCAGAAATCATGCGAAGCGATATCAGCTCTGTGATTCTCACAATGAAAAAGCTCGGGATCGAAAATCTGGTTCGGTTTGACTTTATGGATCCGCCAGCACCCGAAACGATGATGCGTGCTCTGGAGAATCTGAATTATCTGGGCGCATTGGACGATGAAGGGGAGTTAACGGAGTTGGGAAATGAAATGGCGGAGCTTCCGTTGGACCCTCAGCTATCGAAAGCCCTTCTGAGTTCGAAGGAGTATGGATGTGTTCCTGAAATGCTGACGATCACGGCCATGCTCTCCATCCCTCCCCCGTTCCTTCGTCCTCGCGAGAGCGCGCGGTTTGCGGACGAGGCGAAGAGCCAGTTCGTGCACGCGGACAGCGATCACATCACGCTTCTGAACCTGTACAACGCGTTTGTGGAGGTGCCGACGAAGGCGCGATCGAAGTGGTGCTACGACAATTACATCAACTACCGATCGATCTCGTCGGCACTGAACGTGCGGCACCAGCTGGAGGGCATTTTGCGCCGTCTGCACTACGACGTGACGAACGGAAACCACTTCGAGAGCACGTACTACTTCACCAACATCAAGAAGAGCATCTTCGCGGGGTTCTTTATGCAGGTGGCGCATCGCGAGCGGACTGGGCACTATCTTACGATCAAGGACAATCAGGTGGTGAAGCTGTATCCCTCCTCCGTGATGAAGAACAAGCCTGACTGGGTGATGTTCCACGAGTTTGTATTGACGACTGCGAACTATATGAGGACGGTCACTGCTGTGGATGGGGAGTGGCTGATGGACATTGCTCCTCAGTACTACGACTTGGACTCGTTCCCTGACTGCTCTGCGAAAAACGACATTATTGCAATAGAGAGAAGGAAGAAGTTGATTCGCGAGAACTCAAAGCGACGTAAGCACTAGTCATTTTATGAGATTGTTTGTTGGAAGGAAACTTTAGGGTGGATAGAATGGGAGTGAAATAGGTCTTCCATAGCTCAGTTGGTTAGAGCGTGCGGCTGTTAACCGCAAGGTCGACGGTTCAAGCCCGTCTGGGAGAGTTTCCTTTTCCTTTTTTTCTTATTCTTATTGAAAAGGCAAAAGGAAAAGAAGAGGATGTTTGCAATGGTCATGAAAAGTGTATAGCCATTTCTGCTTGATTCTATGTTTAGGAGAGGAAAATGGGAGATACTGCTAAATCGTGTAACTTCTTCTTCATACTGGAATGATGTTTTTGTGTGAGTACTCTATTCACGTAGGATATAAAGATTCTGGTAATACGATTGACTTGAGGGATAGTGTGTGATAGTGGCATTTGATAGAGGAACCGTTTGAAATTGGATTGTGTTTTTGGGAGTTGGATGGGATTCTAATAGAAAGAAGGAAGGCAGAGAGTAAACTTGGCATATTCCATTGGGTTGGGAAAAACAATGACTTCGGACGATCCGTTTTATTTTTCCTTATTACCCGTTATTGTTAAAAAACTAATAATTATTAACAATGGAACTGACAGTCAATTGTAGTATATCATTTTTGATTCCTATGTGATTTGTATATAAATAGGAAGATTTTTAATAACAGGAAATGTTCCTATCAATGTACACAATAGAAGTTATAGTTGCAATGTGAGATACACCTTATAATTAAGCAGGAAATGGGTGGTAATATGGTTTTAATATGCGATTATCATAATAGTATGTATCCACTATGTAATATTGATTTTAGTAAAAAGAGATTGTATCACAGTGATGAAAGTCAATGGTATTGATCGAAACTGTATAGTGAAATGAGAGATAATGAACATGTTATGCCTTAGGAGCGTCAATTACCAATTACTCTTCTATCATAATCATTTTTAGTGTTTCAAATATAGCATCCAACGTATTCTGTTTCAATAGCATTCTTCTTTAAAAATCCAATTCTAGAAAACGTGATTGACATCCGTTCTTCGCATTCAGTGCCACAGGTGTGTAATGAATCGAATACAAATATGAAACTGGAAAAACCAATGTCATACAGAAGTTGTTCCATTTCTTCAGTTTCCATCTATTTTGAATTACAGCTAAGTAATGTTGCTAATGATTAACCAGTGATAATCGATGGTAATCGATCTGAATTCAGCACAATTGTATTTCCTCAAGATTAATAAAGAATTGAAGCCAAAATTGTAGTGATACATTTTTAGATTTTGAATATAGAGGAACAAACGCATTCATAAAATAAGAATAGTTGTCTATATGGAAATAACAAATACAAAACAGTTTGTGAAATAAAGAATGGAAACATTTCAATCATGAACAAAGCGATTAGGAATCGATGTGTTGCTTTAATTAGTCGTTTGATGGTCTTGTGGATTTGTTGACGTTGTATGGACCGTGAACGATGCTCAAGGAGAGTGGATGAAAAGCGATTCGGATACTAGTGTAAAGTTTAATTATTATGGCGATCTGAAGGATAAGCGAAAGAAAAAAAGGGAGAATTAAATGTCATAAAAATAGGGTAGAATGATGAGAAGAATATGGAAGAAGAGTGGGACTATTTAGATCATAGTAAAGATCGAAGAAACTATCATGATTGAGGTAAAACAAAATAAGAATATAACCATAGTTCTGAATGCGAATTACGTGAATATCTTTGATTTCGTTTATGATAATCCAAAGAACTGTATATTCGAAATAAATGAGGATATAGGATCGATAGTGAAACTCGGATTGCTATTCAAGAAATAATAGAAAACAGTAAAGTAGAAAAGAGTTAATTGAGAAATGATACATTCACTCACTAAATTGAATTGAATTGAATTGAATCAATTAGACAAGAAATGATGGAATTCAAATGAAGTGAGAGTGAGTGATGATAAGAATGCGATATATAAATAGGCAATTGAATGAAAATAAAATGAAAACGGCCATATCTGATGGAAAGCGCCCTAACCCGTCCGATCTAGGAAGCTAAGTCATCACGAGTCGAGTTCATACCAGTGTGGGTGACTCGCTGAGAAGTCTCGATGCTGTTTTATTTCTATTCTATTTCATTCCATTTCTTATCGATACTACAACCTGTGGGCAGCCACGTATGTTCATAAGATGTCACAATCTACCCACTCATACACATCCTTCCATATATCCGTTTATTTGCTCATCAGTCTTTCACAATATTATCCAGTCCATTATTCTAAACCAAACTCCACAACGATTTTGATTTTGCATATACACAAAATGTCAAATCGGGATCAATGGAATTAACACACATATAGCCAGTCATTCGATTCGGGCAAATTTGACTGGTAGCTTTTGCCCAATTCCTCACATCTCATTCGAGTAGCAAGTATTTCTGCTACACAGCCAGTTAATTAGTTTTACAGTTTGTGGTGAAGGATGGAGAGCTATTGCTTTGAAACAAGTTGGATCGGATTATACGGATGTGGAATCGACACTTCGTCCGATTCGAATACGGTTCATTGATTCCTAATCGTTTTCTATGCGTTAAAAATGTCTGTTTGAGTGACAATTACTATTTTTATATTAATTCAACATTGCTTCCTTATTTTTTGATGTAGGTCAATTCAACAATCGCTCGCATGCATATCATTCAAGATTCGCTTTTCTGTTATCCAACGTTGTTGTAGTATGAAAAACTATTCCAATTGGAGTGGATAAGGCTCGATTCAAAACTGAGAATTGGATGATCAGCAATAGAAGTCATTACGAAATCAAGTCACATCGAATCCTATCTTTTCACTCATTCAATCCATCCATATTTTTATCATCATTCCACTTCCCCTCGATTCATCCAGTTAGACACAATGGCTCTTTGCTTCCACAAAAATCGCGGGAATCCAAACACACCCCAAAGCTACCAATTATCTTCATCCAACTCAGAAATTACCATTCCATCATGTAAACCAACAACCGCATTAATGAATCATCCACTAAAGCGTAGTCGGACTATCGAATCTTGAAAAAATAATGCAAACAAACAATAGACTCTCCCGAAACAAACACTATCTTCCTTTATTCTATATTAGCACGATTTCCAGTGTGGAGTACCAAAATACATTATTCATAATCATATTGTTCCACATTAAATCCTCTTTACATTCAATACACTACAATAACAATCAAATCAAATATATAACAGAAAACCGATAATTACAATCATCGTTTCCAGACAACAATACGATTATTCTACTTGTCATTCTAATCGAAATACTTTTCATTCTAATCCTCTGCAACATTTTAACATGGCAGAAATACAATTGAGTGTCTTCTCGTCAAGAAAACCAAGCTATCATACTCATATGAACATCGATGCTATATTCTCTTAAGCATATTAACATCACATCTATTATCTATGTATGTTGTTATCCAGGAATTATCAAATCATGTTCGAGTCTTTCCTTAGAATTTCACTCAAAAGGCTCTATGTTTCTATATTGAATGGTGCTTTCTTTTCTTCAAAATGCTTTCATTATCAAAACAATTCACTCTTTTCATATAGATTATTCTATACAACACAATTGGCCAATACGATATATAATATGGAATTAGTTTTTTCTATTAATTAATCAACCATTACTACAATAGGAAACATACTTATGCAAACAGCAACAACAACAACATCAAATGAAAAATGGAATAATCAAAAATAGATAAGCCACATTAAAACAAATAGAAGAGAATAATGAATCATTGAGTATTATCCAAATTAATACTATCTCAACAAACAAATATGGATTGTGTCGATTCCTATTGATTCAATTCGATTAAGTGCAATGAATCTTGTCAAAACGATTCGATTGAAGTCGTTCGATCAAGATTCATTCGAAATATGTGATTTGTGGATTCATCGGTGTAAAATCACAAACAGCATATTGAATATACAATCAAACAATGGATTCCAAGAAAACCCATTATCGAAATACTCATATTCAAACCACAACACAAATGGTTCTCACAATATGCCTCATTATTGTATTGTGATTATCAAATGCTGATTCCATATTGACTTGTTCGAATGGGATCTAATGATTTGAATGATATCAATAATAATGATAATAATGATCAGAAAGAAAGAAAGAAAGAAAGAAATAAAAGTATTGTTATGCAATACAGTACAACGATAGATTCCAGCTAATCCAATGATCGAACATAATGATTTCATGAATCTCGATCGATTCAATTGCAAAACAACCATTGAGACTACAATGTGTTTGAGTGATTGTTCCATTTGGATTCGATCGAATCAATTGTATAATTCTATCAGTCGATTGGATCGCTATCAATGAATCATTCGATCGATTCTATATCATTGATAATCGAACAAATACAAAAACAAAAACTAATACTACTACTACTACTAATAATAATAATGACGAGGATTGATGGTTGAATACTCATCATCAATCTGATTCTGATTCTGATTCTGATTGATCGATCCTATCCAATCATTCTATTCATGATCAACAATACCAAAGTGATCTAATGGTATTCAATATGCTGAAATAGACCGATGAATAATGTGGATGATGATACAATCATAATGATAATAATGATAATAATGAATGGATATTGAAAACTAACCAAATACACACCATTCATTCATTCATTCATTCATTCAATCGATCAATGGATTGAAGAACCTTTCTATTCTTATCAGTATTATTGAGTATGAATGATGAATTGATTCTTTACGATATTCAACATTCATTTGCATTTTGAATCAGCTATCTTTCATCCATTGAATGAGTGAATGAGTGAGTGAGTGAATGAGTGGTTTGTGTGATATTGAAGAATACGACATTCCATCCAAATATCGAAATGTGAAACCACGATTGATATTACTACGAACTACAACTATCAAGTATCAAACACATCCGGTTTGATTCCATTATTATCAAATTGATAAATCCATGTTTTGTGACT